AAGGGTACACAACCCTAGAGGTAGTCGTGATTCAAAGGCCCCGCACTCGTCAGTGTACATGCTCAAGGATTGGCTGGGTATCACAACAGAGGGACTTGCATGTATCTACGCCAGTATACACTATATTGTTTTGCATCCCATAAAGTACACTTGTGATAGACAGATGCCGGTCAAGTTTTCCGGTGAGGCGTGGTGGACACCAGTTGTAGGTGTGGAGTGGGGTGGGTGAGGGTAATTGGTAGGGGTGAGAATCCTTCCATCAAGGTGCAAGCATCACATTATAAGGTGCTTCGTTGTTGCCTGAGCAGATCCCTATATTTTCTTTTAGTGGCAGGTGCGTAGGAGACACACCAAGAAGTACGGGTTTAGATTGATCCGACGTTCAATGACTTGGTCGAAACATGCACCAAAAAACCTTAACCTTTATTCAACTCTGGAGTCACTGTCGGATGGTAGAACTCGAGGAGAAAATGTGATAGATGAGAGTGAGGATTGTTCCTGTTTGTAGACGGGATCGTACGTGAAGGATCAAGTACCTCTACTCTACATGATATAATTCGGGGTAGCGGAATTGTGTACCGCATGCACCGCAAGCGAGACAAATCAAGGTTGATAATACATAGAGGTATCCATCACATGCGGGATATGTCTTGATTGGGCGTATCTGAGCAATGTAGAGGTAGATTATCCAACTTGAGATCGGTTAGGTCGTCCCTGCTCAGCCCAGGTGGCTTTTCATCTTACTAGAATAGGAAGGATGAGCCGAGCCTTGAGTTCTGACTGTCCACGAGCTGTTCGCCATGGAACAAAAGAACGTGCTTGAACGCCTAATCCCTAACGCCGCAACCGGGAATTGGCAAACACCAAGGTCGGGTACCTCTACATGCCTACCTCTACTATTAGAGTACCTAGCTGACAGGAGGCATCATCGGATAATCTTGATTTTGCCGACGGAAGTCTTTCCTTGAGTTTGTTGCAGCCAATTGAAGTCCCATCACGCCTCCATGTGCTTCAAACAATCACATACGGTATCATGGAAGGATTCAGTTGATCGCAACGTAACGCATGACTTTTGTTTGGCATCGAGGCCGTTGTCTTACTCCAATCACCTGATACGACAGGACCCTTACCGGGCGCAAGGGACTACACTAGGTATTCGGTACAATGGAGAAGAAGAGGACGTTGATAAGGCAGCGAGGCCCAGGGAAACGTCTGCACACCCCTCCGTGCGTGATTTATCCGACACTTCACTCATACAAGAAGTGCTTATGTCTTGCCGCCTCGCACTTCAGAAGGATTGCCAAGCCTGGGACTTTAACATTCTGTCGATTTTTGGCTGTACAGTATCCCACCATGAGCTTTGTTCCCGCCCCTCCTCGAAAACGACCAATCTCTTCGTGTCTACCATGCTACAATCGAAAACAAAAGGTTGGTGGGACAAAAACGTTGCGGATGATCGCATCCCAATTCCATCCTTCGGGTTTTGAGCCATGTGCTAACAGTGCTACGCCGACAGTGTAACCGAGAGATCCCGTGTAACCACTGCTCTCGCCGACGGTGCATTGAATCTTGCGTCTACTACGCAAACCCCAGTTCCAGCTCAGCGACCAGTCCCGGTGCATCATCCGCATCGTCGTCATCCACGACAGCGCCGTCGATCACGTTTGGCATACAGAAAGAACCACCACGCCGGTTCGAGAGATATTCCGCCCGATTTGCACTAAAAACGGGAGAGTACAAATACACTAGTAATCAGCGACGGAGGAGTGGAAGTTGGGGAGGCCGGGATCTGCTTCGGAATGAGTGGAGCCGGTGGGGGGGTACCGCCGGAGCGGGAGCGGGCGCGGGAACGGGTTCTTACTATCCGGGATGTTCGTCCGGATCTGCGAGACCCCGCTTTTGGACAAATACCACGGAGACGTGGTCGGGACGGGCTCTGGCTGAATCGTTTGGCTATTTCGAAGGGAGTAAAAGCAACACACTGGCACTCATCCAAAAGGCGAGTGGAGCTCCATGTCTTGGTCCCAAACGTATACACAACTGTAGAGACGTGAGCTAACAATTGATGTAGATGGGACTCGGCCAGGACAATCTCGACTCTGAGAGCTCTCCAGTTCTTGTAGCTGAAGCCGCCGAAGATGTTCATCGCGTCATGCGCGACATTCCAGATCGACAGATCATTGACTTTCTGGTGCAATTCTTTGTAAGAGAGATCAGCTGGTACGTCCCACGGTTACATCCATCCTCCCCACCCCAAGCTTCATGTCTGTTCCGAACTGACCATGATTCGTCCCACCAGGATGGATCAGGTAGTCCACGTTCCGTGGCTGATGAGCAAGTATCAAGACTGGTGTAACACACTCTCGGCAGAGGAATGCCGTGCTGCCGACGCCAACGACGTACCCAGGCAAATCCGCGTAATGGACGTGGATTTTGGCGTCCTGTTGCTTCGCATTGTCTCATATGCCTTGCAATTCCTACCTTCGCCGATTTATCCACTCGATCGGATCCGTGGTGTGCTGCTTGCCGATGTGCGAAATGAGTGCGACGATATCGCCAATACTCTGGAGGCCATGAGCTGGGCGCTCGATGGTCGAGGATCCTTGATTCGAGTCCATCAAGTTGCATTTGCCGCGCTCAAGTCCCAAACCGAAGGCAACATCAAGGCCTGCTGGGAAGCCGTGAGTCGTGCTATTCGCATCGCCCAGAGCATAGGTATTCACAGCGATAGCGTAACCGCGATTGGGGCGAATGAAACAGAAAAGGAAATGGCTCGTCGCATCTTCTGCAACCTTTACACTTGGGACAGTCTTCTTTCCCGCCAGCTAGACCGCATGCACGCACTTCCAGGCCGCCTACACCCCAGGAACTGGCCTCAGCTGCACGCTCTTCCCGAGTACAGAGACAAGGGAGAACAAACACCACCAACAATGCCCCTCAACCGCGGCCTGGAAGCGCCCGACCCCTTCACTGAACGGCTTCTCCAGGCCCGTCTGGCCGACTTTTGGCGCAGCGTCAGCCCCCTGCAGGGCAACGAAGATGACATTATGGCAGCTGAAGAGCGATACGACAAGTTTTCGCGCGAGTTCCTCTCCCAGCTCCCTCCAGCATTCGCTCTTGCAGACGCAGACGAGTCGTGGGACAGACTCTTGCCCAAACTACCTCTGCAGCGACAAATGCTGCACATGGCCATTTACGACTCGTTATGCTGGAACTTCCGACCGCTGCTGTTTTGGCATCCCTCGAGTTCGTTGTCCTTACCCCCTTACAAGGTACTCCTCCTGAGATACCAGAAGAGAGCTGTGGCCGGTGCTGCTTTGCGGTCGCTCGAGGCTGTCGCGCGTTTGCACGCGCTCTTGGGGGGCTATCATACTCGGCTTCCGGGCATCGTCATGTCGACTTTTGAGGCGGCTGTGCTGTTGTTGCAGTTGTGTGCGGATCCATCATTTCTGGAAGACGATAGCTGCTTGAACATGCATCAGCAGCAGCAGCAGCAGCATATCACACCCCGGTTGGACCCAATGCGGGCAAACGCACACATGGTCAATAGGCCAGCTTGTATGGAGGCTGTGGAAGGAGCTGTTAAGCGGCTCAAGATGCTTGCGGAGGTGAGTAGCCTGGCGGATATTGGGGCAAGCACGCTGGTAGAGCTGCTAAGAAGGACGACGACTTCGCAAGAAAAAAGTGGCACAGAGGTGCTGAGAAACAATCAACTGCCCCTGGAGACGAATGTAAGCAGATCAAAGACCTTGACAGAGACGGTGAATGATACGATTCATGTGGCAACCCAGGACCACGCCGGCCTGCAGGTGCCCCAGGGTCAAGGGCAGGAGGTCGAGTCTGCCGAGAGCTTGCACAATACCCCTAGGACGACTACAAGCTCTCTAGCGGGTGAGACGGTGGTCGATGAGGCTACCATGGTCACAGGCTGGAATGCCGCATCTGCCGAGTCGGTTGATGTGAGCTTGTCGATGGATATACCCTCCTCCCTGCAGGACTTCATGTCGACGATTACGGTGGGGGATATGGCGACCTGGTCTGCCTTTGATGAATCCAGCATCTTTCCGCCGGAATCTGAGTACGTAGGCGACATCCCAGCGACAGAGACATTCAAAGGTTGAAAATTTGTACTTGTAGTGAGTGTGAGTTGGATGGCGGTTGAGTTAAGGTCCTCGACGCGGGGATGGGCGGCGGGGCGCGGCAGGGCGCGACTTTCCAGGATGTTGTGGCACCTCATTGTGGAGGTCGGGTTTAGACGAACCTGCAATGAATTAGATGCGCTATTATCTCAAGAACCCGTTTACCACTGTAAATTCCGTTAGTGTAGTAACGACCCCGCGATGCGGTGGACCCCTCTTGGCCCTTCAATCCCTACAGCCCCGGCTCCCACCAACAGGCACTGAAGGGAGACACCCGCGCTTGACGAACAGGAAGGACTGTCTGGCATCTCGATTACATTCTGGATTGGGAAACGGTAAGTGGAAGTCGGAGGCAGGAAACGAATCATCAGTGGAACTTGGTGGAACCAAGTGGAATTCTTGAGAGATCCAATATTGACGTTCAAAGGGCTACTACAGTACTTACTTATAGCTCTCCTCGTTGCCATGTATACAGTGCTCAGAACACAGTAGAACCCCCTCCGCGAATGCAGGAATGTCAATACGACTGAGAGCAGATTCAAGCTCTTTTCTTTCTCATTTTAGGTCTTCAGGGGTGAGAAATGGAGGGACGCTACTGCATCGGGCGTCGGTTAATCGGCCATTGTGGTGTCATGAGCCGATGACCCCCAACCATTGGCTGATAAACGCTGCTGTCTGTACTGTGTTCGAAGTAAGTAAGACGACTGGAAGGTCAAGAACAAATCATGGTTCAAACGACGAACCAAACCGTCACGAAGGACTCTGGCTGACAAATTGTCCTTCCTCGCTTCGACTCGTGTTCGCTAGGTAGATGGCAGGGTGTGCCACTTACGAATGCAACACCTGTCTATGAGGGAGAGAGCTTCGGAGATAAAGCATCATAGATCCCCGGACAATCTGTTCCTACTCCAGACCCTCAAGCGTTCAGGATCGATTACCTTTCAGCAAGGAACCAGTAACATCCATTTAACTCCAAAGTCTCAGTCAAGTATGGCCTCCTTCCTCATTACCGGCGCTTCAAGAGGTCTTGGACTCGCCTTCGTCAAGGAACTCGCCTCTCGCAAGTCCTCCGAAGTCAGCAACATCTTTGCTGGCGCTCGCAGCAACGTCCCTGCCCTGCAGGAGCATTCCAAGACCGACCCCCGTGTCCAATTTGTCAAGCTCGATGTCACCAACCCGGATTCCGTCAAGGAAGCGGCTGCCCAAGTCGAGAAGAAGCTGGAGGGCAAGGGACTCGATGTGTTGATCAACAACGCAGCCGTCTGCCACTACGACATGCAGAAAATGAGCAACCCGACGCTGGAGAAGGATATCATGAGGGAGATGTAGGTTCCTCTTTTCTTTATTGGTTGCATGTGTGTCGTGAATTTTCAGAACCTGTACATCCTCTCATGCGTACTAACTGTACCCTCGCAGGACCGGCCTGGAGGAAGAATTCCAAGTCAACGTCTTGGGCGTCCAGTACACCACTCGTGAGTTCCTTCCTCTGGTGGAGAAGTCCGAGCTGAAGAAGGTTGTCAACATGTAAGAAACCCCCCCATAGAATCTCGATTGTAACAGAACAGGAACTAACAATTTATACCCACATCCAGTACCAGCACCTTCGGGTCAATCTCCTCCGCTTCCGACCCAGCTATTGCGTGGTCGCCTTGCCCGGCCTACAAGATCACAAAGGCGGCTTTGAACGCTCTGACTGTCCAGTATGCGCTGGAGTATCAGAACAAGGGCTTTTCCTTCATTGCTCTCTGCCCAGGGGTACGTCCATGTCCTTTTCTTCCGTGAATCATGTGTATGTGCATGGGCGGTGACTGACATTGATGTGTAAACAGTGGCTTAAGACAGATCTCGGCAGCCAGATGGCTGATCTGACAACCGAGGAGGGTGCCAAAGCCTCGTTGGACATTATCCTGACACCTGGACAGGTGTACAACGGGAAGTTCCCCATGATCAAGGTCAAGGGCTGGGAGACCCAGGAGGAGGCTGCGTCCCATGGCGGATACGCTGGAAAGAACGTGTACGATGGCCGTAACATTCCCTGGTAAAGGAGAGTTGGGGAATATGGATCCTGTTAATAAACGTCAGCCAGCCAATCAGATTACCTGAAGTTGTAATGCTCATCTTTATACCAAGCAATACCGTCAAGTATCTCTGAGCAACAGACTGATATATCTTGGGGAAGACCCCGCAGCAGTTGCTCGGGTATGAAACGAATGAGATGTGACCTGGAACAGAAAGATGTGACGCCTGAGGAAACTGGAGTTGCAAGCAGCGCCTTGCAAAAGAAGAATTGAAAAATCGGCAGATCACATTCTGCCACATCAATACAATGACACACGTTTTTTTCAAAATACCCAAAACAAAAGAGAACAATCGCTGATTCTACGCCCATTACTCCTCCTGTTCCACCTCCGTCATCTTCAACGCTTCTCCAACATCGCTTACAAAGTGTCCTTCACCTCCGACCAAGTCCACAATCCCGCTCCTCTTCATCATCTTCCACACCTCACTGTCCTTGCCTCCGGGGACTCGACTAAAGAAGACCCTCACGCCCCTTTCTCTATAGCCCCTGACAATCTCCTCCAGCACCTGCGTCCCGCTCCCATCCATGCTTGTCACTCCGTGAACATCAAAAATGATGTTTTTGTTACTGTCTTCCTGCCTCAATCGGGGCAGGGCGGGATGGGCCTCGTTTGTTCCGTAGCGCTCCAGTCTTCTCAGCCTTGACTTGAGTTCGCCGGTGTTGGCAAACGTCAAGGGCTCGGGAATTTTCACAATCAGACATCCCTCAATGAATTCCAAGCGGTCGGGGGAGTCAGTGAAGAACTCTGCGTTCTCGAACCGGTTGGTGCCGGGAATGCGCCCCAGGATCTGGATCCGCGGGCGGGTGGCGTTGCGAATGACCTGCAGCAAAGAGATACCGACACCGATGGCCATGCCGAGAGTCAAAGAGAAGAAAATGGTGGAGAGAAGGATGATGGTCATGAGGGCGAGCTCGGGCCAGGCGCGCAGGCGCAGGAAAAAAGTGATATCATGCGGGCATTCTTCGATGAGAGACCAGGCTACGACGCTGATAAGGGCCGAGAGGACGGGTTTCTGTGCCGAGTTAGTACAATATCAAGCGAAGAGAGAGCCGTCCTTGAATGGAGCCGCCGAGAAAAATACTTACCGGAAGATAGTAAAGATAGGGAAGGAGGAACAAGATGGTGAACAAGGTCAAGAGGCTGAGGAGGATCGAGCTCATAGGCGTCTTTCCACCAGTAGCCTTGTTGACCTTGCTCCTCCCATACCCTCCAAAGGCAGGTAAGCTCATGAAGCATCCGCCAACAAAGTTTGCCACGCCCAGAGCCACCAGTTCCCTGTTTGCGCTCAGCTGAATCCCAGCAAACGGCTCGCTGCTTGAGAGACTCTTGGCCGCGACCGAACTCTCAAAGAACCCGAGCAGAGCAATCAGGAACGACGTGCCCATCGAGTCCCTTATGAGTTGCATATTGCTAGGCTGGAATGGCCATCTGAACTTGAAGGTCTGATGACTCGCCGCCTCCACTGTCCCCAACACCGCAACGCCCTTTTTATCCCACTGGAACCAATACGCCAAGAAGGATGTCAGAACCACGACCAAGAAACGATCCGGCACGTATGCAACTCCCGGGTACCTTGGCTGCATCCGCCTCTTGATCTCCCTGCAAACCATGATCACCACAAAGCTCGTACCGGCCACCACCGCTGTCAGTTTATGTACCTTATCCAAGTTTCCAAGGATGAACCGCAGCTTCTCCACCGAGCTCCCGTGTCCGATGCCGGGGTGCTTCGCGACAAGATGGTTCAAGCCGAGCTCCGGAATGAGCTGATCAACAGCAATGACTACACCAATTGCAGAGATAAACCCTCTCAAGAACGGCCTAGACAAGACACTATCCAAGAAGCCCAATCTCGCCACTCCAGCAGCGAAGACCATCGCCCCGGCCATGCCAGCAACGATTCCACAGATCTTGGCATGAAGCACCCTGTCTTCGTCTCCTCCTCTTCCCAGGTCGACACTAGATTTCACCGCCGCGCCCACCAAGAGACTGCCAGCTGCTTCGGGGCCAACAATTAGAGCGGGACATGACCCCAATAGCGCGTATATGAGCGGATTCCAGACGAAAGAGTATAGGCCGTTGATAGCAGGGACGTGTGCAAGGTTATCGGCCAGGGAGAGGGCCATGGGGACATACATCCCTGCGACTGTCAGGGCGGCAATGAAGTCGCCTTTGAAGTAGGACCAGCTGTATTCACGAGCCCAGACAAGGACAGGGAGGTAATAAGAGAGGTACATGCCGGGGGTGTCCTTAACACCATGACGACGGGCAAGATCTCTCGAGGTGTGCATTTTCTGGGTGGTGATGTGAGAGGAGATCTGGCGCTTCCAGCTCTTTCGCTTGTGTTTGGGTTTTCCTAATGCTGGCCCTTCGCCGTTGGGCGACTCGGAGTTGTAGGGGGAGAAATCGAGATCGGTGTCGGTGGGTGCGTCAAACGGGAAGCCGGGAAGCGAGTCGGCGTGACTAGCATTGCTGGGGCTCACGGTTCGGGCATCGATAAAGGTGCCGTGGCCGCGCTCTTGGGAGAGGAGGCCAGTTCTCTCGTTCGGAGTAACTGAGCGGACAGTATTGTCATTACTGGGCCCAGCGCCGCTATCCTCATCGCCGTCGCGCTCAAAGTCCGAGGTCGAGCTGTATGATGACGAGACAGTGTAGCTCTGTCGGAGACCGCTGGGATGGGCTGGGGCGTGGTCGTGGGTCGGCCCCGTTGGTGTCTGCGCATTAGGCGGGTTCGAGTTCAACGGCCCAGCGATAGAGCGCAACGAGGAAGGTCGGGAGGGCATATTCGCGGCCCTTGGTGATGGGATCCGATCAATTCAGAGCGCGTGTGTTGTTGTCGTCGTCGTCGTCGTCGTCGTCGTCGTGGTAAGCCTCGGCAGCTTGTAGGACTCGGTCGCTATGGCGAATACATCGGTCGGTCGGGATGGCAGCCGTGTTTTTGATGGCCCGATGTCGTCGTCTCGTGTCTGTTGCTGGGTCGGTCGATGGAGAAGATTAAATATACAAGCCCAACACAGCTGACGTACACTACTCAAAGCCTGTTCTCAACCAGGTCAGTCGGAGACCACGGAGTGAAAAACCGAAGTGGGAGATGGTGCTTTACCTAAAAGTTACAAAATGTTTTGTTTGGGAAATGGCTTGGCTGCAGTGCGGTCTGCTGCGGTGCGATGCGGTTGGCCATTGGTGCGGGGGACGTCACAGGCCCCTCCAAAAAGACCCCCCCCTTGTAACTTGGAGGATCTAGGTGTAGGGGTCTGGACCAGCTGACCAAGTCATGTTTTTGACCTCCAGTCTAAAACCATGGTTTCGAAGTGTTGGAGGCGAGTCACTGACACATCGATCTGGATGTCCGGGCATCTGTCAGGGGTCTTCTTGTGGAATCGAGATCGGCCCCACAAGGCTACGGTGCCCGGGCCGCCGGACGGGACCTGGCCCGACGGGCGGGACCACAGCCGGACCTCGTCCTCGTCCTCAACCCTAACCCGGATTACCTCTTCCACACTTCTTCTTCCAACCATCTCATCGGTGATGCTTGTCACTCTTGTAGCTCTCTGTCACTGGATAAATATCCATTGTTCCGTACTCCTACTCAACAGCTCGTGCCTTTAAAACAATTAACTCTTACCTCCAAAGCATCTGAACGTCAGGCCTCTCATCTGGAGCGAGAACCTCTGAGTCCTCTTGTCCCTCTCCATTTGATGCATTCATCTCGCTTTATAATGCCCCTTCACCCTCCAGCTTCCGTACAACTCTCACAAACTCGTCAACTGCCAAAGATTAGCCTTGTCGTTTCCAATCTCGCGTTCCATTTAACGGAAGAGGCCACGCTTATATGTAGTAAATAAGGGAAGCCTACAATCCATCTCCCTCCCCGTATCCACCCCACAATCATTGCACGCCCTCTCGAGTTGCTTAGCATCCAGCGTCCGTCCACCAAGTGCCTGAACAGCCGTTACAGCCTCGCGGACCGAGAGGGTGTTATCGCCGTCGCGATCACCTGATTGGAAGGCATTACGGAGGTCGTCTTGGGATGCCTATGTAACAGTTGGAGTTGGATAGTTGTCAGTAGAGGTAGAAAGATTGGAGCTAGCTGGAGGGATGAAGGTGGGGTCAAGCGAATTGGTCATCGATCGAAAGCGATTTGACATCTTACCATTGTATCCGAGAAATGAGATTTGCTTGGTCCGGTCAGCAGGTAGGCGCGGCAATGATGCGTGAAACCAAAAGCAGATATGGGGATGAAGCTGAAACTCAAGAAACCGAGGGGCAGCGAGGGAATGCTGACCTTATACCAATACCAAGCAGAGGGGTTCATCGCTCAATTTAGAAGCCAGACCTTCGAGTATCATGGTAGCAAGAAATGTCGCATGCAGCTGAGAGATGCTTTGAACATCATTGGGCCACTCCATCCCATCTATGACTTGTGGCTGGCTGTTAGCAAAATCAGGGGCAACATTGGACGAATCTGGACCGGGTAAGAACCATGGAAACTAAAGAAAAAGGTGGTAACCAAGAAGTTGACTACTAATCTATCATCGCTAAATCTGCCTTACAACACCAATACTGTAGTCATCTGACGCTCGATAAAGAAGTGGATGGTCTCAACAACCGCGCTATATGCTCTGAAACGCAACATGATGCAGTGGCTTGCTGCACCAACCAGTCAGCCCACAGCTCCAAGCTAACAGTGTGTTGCAAAGTATGTGCCGAAGAAAGATGAAGAATCAACGCCCTTCCCAAAAGCGCAGATTCCTCTTGAAAGACTGGGCACGCATTGAGTCCCAGGTTAAAAGGTTCAAAAACACCGCCCTCTCTCAAAAGTGCAGCTAGAACCACGAAGGGGGGCCAGCTTGCTTTTTTACTCTAATGTTATTACACGCCTCTTTGCCACCTTAATGGTTAGTCAAGGACTTTTCGATGGCGTTCACAATCTAAAGCCAATGTTAGCAAGTAATGATGAGTCGTCAACCGGCACAGGAAACAGGTTAAGCACTCACCGAAGAATCAATAGCGTTGTGGTTGACCAGATACTTTGCAATGAACAGCAACAACTTCTTATGGTCGTCAATAGTCAACCGGGTCGCCACAATCTCCAACACCTCGTCGAAATCGACCTTGGACTGCGCGATGAAAGTGTGGTAGTAAATATAGGCGAAGAAGCCCATGATGAACTGGCAGTCCATGCGGTCGGTAATACCGCCATGGCCCGGAATCGAGTGGCCAAAGTCTTTGATCTTGAACGTGCGCTTAAGACCCGAAGCAAAGAAGCCACCGAACGGCGCAATCAGCGAAGCGAACGTGGCCCAAAAGAAGGTGTGGATCTGCATTGGCGCCATGGTGATGCTAAAGCGCGTCTTGGTGGGGAAGAACAGCAACTCGGGCATGGTCCAGGTCTGGGGGATGAAAACCGGGTTGGGCTCGCAATCCAGTCCGGTAAAGATGTTGGCGCCCAGGTCATTAGCAGGGCAGATGAAGAAGCGGGAGCGCATCAGGATATGGGTGAGTAGAATGCCGAAGAGGACGGTCATGACCCAGGCACCCAGGAAACCCTCCACCGTCTTCTTGGGAGACAACTTGATCAGCTGGGTGCGGCCAAAGGTGATGCCGCAGACGTAGGCAAAGATGTCGTTGGTGATGACGAGGGCGGCGGGGAGGAAGAACCAGATCAGGCCGTCGAAGACGTTGTTCATGATAAAGTGCGACTGGCCGACAATGAGGAACAGGGCCATGTGCGCCCAGACGAACTGGGTGAACTGGAACTTGAGGTGGCCACCCTTGAGAGTGCTGACGAAGAAGACGAAGCCTGGAGCAGAATTATGTTAGCTTGGCCTTTGCCTCTTCAGGAGAGAAGGAGCTGCGCATACCAACGACGTAAAGGGTGAAACAGATGAAGCGGTGGTGGGTAGCCAGCGGCAGGAGGACTCTATCGACCATGACAATATGCTTGAAGTAGTAAATGACGGTTTCGCCGTGTAGAAAATACATGGCTACCGCCAGCCAGTACCAATTCAAGCTCTTGGTAGACTGAATGTCCCGGGCGCGACTAGCTCCGCTCGAGATGGCAATGACCTCTTTGAAGGAGATGATCTGGACGGCCGTGATGATGACGACAATGTAGATGTGGCCCATGAAGAGGGCGGCGAAGAAGCCAGCGATCATGACAAAGGTCCATAAGGTGCGCTCGATGAAGTTGGCCTTTTTCTTTTCGTAATCGGAAAGCTGCTGGTTGTCGCCGGCATCCTTTGATTTCTAGAGTGGACAAATTGTTAGCCGAGACTGCACGAGCAACAACATGGCAGAGCTGTGAGCTGGGCATGATGGCAGCAGCGCACAACATGGGTAAGATAGGTACCTCTTGGATATTCGCGAGCGCCCTTGTCTTGGAGGGGGAGCTCTCTTCGCTGGCCTCGCTCATGCTGCTGCGACGGCCGCTGTGGGGGAACTTAACCCCGCGACGAGACCGGCCTGTCATGGCGGTCGTATGTGTATAGCCAAAGGTATGCGATCGGGGGGAGTAGTGGCGGTTGCTATCGCGATGCGTATGGCACTATGCGCAGGTCTTTGATTGCACTCGAGTGGAAGGAGTTCCGTTGTCGTGGTACTTGGTGGCAGAGGACAGCGAGATGCCTGGTGTTCGGGGGACGGAGTCAGCAAAGACGGACGGGAAGATAGGTATCGATGGGGTCCGTTGATGGAGCAGTCAGTGGACTGGATGGGGGAGAGTCCACCTCGGCGTTAATGGGCCGGCTCGAGTCGTGATGCTGGAAGTTCCTAGCGTACCTATGTCGAGGCTCGGTTTTGCAGCAAGGCGACAGCGCCCCAATAGTACTAAGGTAAGTAGTCGAGATGGTGATGCCGTGGTGATGATGATAAGTAATGATGATGCCTTGCAGACAGACAGACCTATTATCGATGTGTCCGTCTGGCTTCCCTGATCGTCGGTTCCAACTTTTTTTTTTGTCCCAAAGTGGAATTTGCTGGACTGGAGCCAGCAGATTGCGATTGTTGGGACGGGACGACGGGACCAGGAAGCACGACTGAGAACAAGCGCGGAGGAGCCACGGCCAAGCATCCAACACTAACACCCGCTAGCAGCCAGCCCAGAGCGAGCCAACAAGCGGTGCTACCTGTGCTACCGAACTTAAGTGGAACTGTGTCGACGCCGAGGGGGGACGTGCTACGTCAATGTGGCTGAGCTTTGTCCATCCGTGCACAAGGATTGGTCAAATGGGGGACGAGGAAGTGGCTGGTTAGTATTAACTTGGTAAGCTGAGCCTTGTCAGACTCGCGCAGTTCAAGGAAAGGCCGTCTTCTCACAGCGAGGCAATCACGACGACCAGTCAGGTGCTCCAACAAGTCATGAAAATATTTTCTCTTCCAAGCTGACCTCCACGATCCCGCAAAATGCCTGCCAAAATCTTATAGAAAGCTTCAGTCAGTCATCTGATTGCACATCGATGTATGGTAGCACAGCGGGAATCTACGCCCTGAATGTGGCTTGACCTTTCCACCCAAAATCACATGCGTTGAGAGGAACACTCCCCGACTTCACTTCCCTTTCGTCTCGCAGCTGTCCATCACCCAATCATCAACCGCATGTGAACTGAAGAGTCCCGCTACCCCACAAAGACAGGATGCTGGAAGGGTACGTACCTGTCAAAGGCCAACGCAACCGCGACATCTATGGACAATCAGACTTCCATTGGGTTTGACTGACTATTTCTCAATCTTTTTCTTGAACCCCTGGCCGCTTTTTGTCCAATTCTGTTGGGAATTCTGTCTATCAAGGTGGCTCTGTTAGTAGCAGGCACATATTTGTAGCAGTAAATCATTTGTACCCTAACCCTGGTTTTCTTTCGTCTTCACAACCCGCGTTTTCCTGTCGGCTGTTGCCTGCCCGTTGCCATGGCACCATTCCCAAACAGGCTGAATGACAACATTGAACCCATCCCCATGTTCTAATTTTCCTTCTCGATCCGCGTAGACCGCGACATGCTCGGCCGGCTCATGGCCATGACCAGGCGCATGCTCGCCCACCATGATGGACCTAGACTCTTATTCCGACGAAGACCTCGATAATCTCGACGGCGATCTCCTTCAACAACTCGAACACAATGCCATCCAATTCACCCAGAGACAGGCCCAGTCGCAAGCCCCGCCACGCACCCAATTCCAACTACCCGGGAGCACCGCCCAGCAACCGCAGTACATATCCGACGGCGACGACGACTACGACAATGGCGAAGTCATAGACCAAGCCGCTCAACCCCTGTCACTCCCACGATCCGGCCTGCCCAACCCAGCGCCCCAGCCCTTTCGTGCCGTGCCCAGCATCGCCGGCCAACAAAGGCTGAACCATCAACGACAACAGGCAAACCAGCAGCGATATGGCCAGCAACAGGCTTTTCGACCGAACCCTCAAATTGCCCCGTCGCAATATCCACGAGGCCCTTTGGGAGCTCCCGGGCGCCCGCTTCCCCAGTCCCAATTCCTCCGCCAACAACCACACCGGCCACCTCAAATCATCCGCCCCTATGTCGGCCAACAGCCACCGACCACCCAAGGCCTCCGTGGCGCTGGTCAAGACGTCGACAAGCAAAAAGACGAAACCATCCGTTCCCTCGAAGCCGAGCTCTCCAACCTGCGCACCCAGCTGACGACGGCCAAGGGCGAAGCCAACCTCATGCGCTCCAAATATGACCGGGACATACCGCAGCTTAAGAAGGAGATGGCCGAGGAGAAGGCCAAGATGGAGAAGAGGCTCCAGGAGGCGCAGAAGGCACAGCAAGCGGCTAGTAACGAGTTGCTGTTTGCCAATGCAGACCTACAGGAAGAGCGGGGGAGAGCAAAGACCAAGAAAGTGGGCAAGGATGGCGCCATGACGCCGAGTGGCAGGAACAAAACGAAATGGATACCGGACGGGTTCAGTGACGTGGATGTATCGGGATTGGGGAGTCCCAGTAGGGATAAAGCGGGGAGGAGAGAGCGGTTGAGGGATCAAGGGAATACCGGTACGCCGACAAAGGGGAAAAGGAAGCGGCCGGCGGTGGATAGTCCGTCTTTTGCTTTGGAGATGGAGACGGACGGGGCTGTTTTCGAGGACTCTGACTTGTTTGCCCCGAGGTCCACCAGTACAAGAACCGGACCGAGTTTGCCTTATGATGTGAGCGAGCCCACATCCCCCTCTCCGCCAACGCCTTCAAGTAAACCACTGACCTTCTTTGCAACAGTTTCTCAAACTCGTCCTCGACCATTCTCCCCTCCCATCCCTGCCTCTAACCTTTGAAGCCTTTGCGCGATTCTGCTTCCCATCAAAACCCTCCGCTTCCTTTGCCTCCATCATCTTCCGGCGTCTTCCCCAACTGGGCGTCTCCAACCTTATCAACAGCTCCGACAATGACCCCTTCCGTCTCCTCGTCGACTTCTCCGAACTCCTTCTCGATATGTGGCAGCAATGCTTGTCTGAGCGCTATCATTCGCCCATCTACTACCTCGCCGGTCTGTTGCAGTTCATCCTGCAGCTGAACGCTGTGGATGTGGCGCCACGGATCACGAGCAGTTTGGTGCCGGTGGTGGTCACCACTTGCCAGCTTGTGGCGTTGCCGAGATTAAATTTGAAGATGGTAAATGATGGAGGAGGCACGGTGGAGGACTTGGAGCAACATCCAGACCCTGCCATGAGGCTGTTAGCAGCAGATATCGATGTTACGCAATGTCTTAGGTTGCTGTATCTCTGTGCTGTGGGGTGTTTAAAGCCACCCAGTGTTGATCAACACATGACATCACCTCAAGCTCGGTTCTGGAAGACCATGGATTTGGAGTTTGTTGTCCTGATGCTGAGCGCTAAACAGCCGGAACAGGATTGGAGGGAAATGTTAAGTCTGTTGAGGACGAGTGCTATGCCCGGGAGCGTAGGACCGTTGCCGAAGCCTGACTCTAATGCTGATAGCAACACGATGTTAGCGGTTCGAAGTCGACCACAGGTTCAATCTCGCGGCAGCGGCAGCGGTCATAGTCGGGGCGGTCGTGCTGGTCAAATGCTCCCACCCCCTCCTCCCATCCGCAACGCTGACAATGTCGACAAACCACCCCAAAACCCTGAACCAGGCTCACAAGAAGCATCAACAGCCCAAATTATCATCGACTGCGTCTCATCCTACTTGGTCGATACCCCTCCGAGATGGGCCTCCCCCGGATCCGCGCGCGAGGTATCTATCAAGCTTGCTGCCTTGCAGACGCTCATGTCTTTTGCCTCTAGCTTGTTTGGTTTGTTGCAGCTCGCTAACAGCGATGTGGCCATTCCGAGGATTGTATCCGCCTTGTGCTGGGCGGTTGACGGGCTTTATGACGCTGATATTCCGTCCATGGCTTTTGATGACCTTTCTATCGCTTCTGATGACACTAGGAGGAGGAACGATATCCAGAAAGAGGGGCACACCAATCGGAAGAGGCACGGATATGATAGTGGAATGTCGACACCGCAGTTATTGTCACAGCTGATTTCCAGGTCGACGAATCTGTTACACGCATTGGTCACGCATCCCAAGACTTCCGGCATCGTCAACCCTATCTCCCGCAAGCTTGCCACACCGGTATCACCCGGACCACCGACATTTACACATCCGAGAACCGGCCGCGGCGCTTCTAAGGGCCGCAACACCACACGCGGTGTTCCCATTCGATCCACGGCCCTGCACGCCCTGCACAGCCGCGCAGCTCCCAATGCCGCCACCAGGCATGGGCAGAACTCTCGCCATAACCTCCAATCAAGCGTCGTTAATCCTCACGCTGCGGCCGTTAGCAACATGACCGCTGCCCTCCCCCATCGTTATTTAGTGTCTCTCGGCAGGCTCAACTTCGCCGAAGAAGATCTGGTTTTTGAGCAAGGTATTGACGAAGAGACGGTCGAGCGAGCGCATGAGTTGCTGGAGCTGGCAGTGGAGAGGCGAGAGGGTGAGAAGGTCAAGGGGGTTTTTGAGGGAGGGCAACATGAAGTTGACGGGATATGAGGAGGTTGTAATCAAGGCTGACAGTCAGGCTTGGGGTGGGGGGAAGGAGAAGGGAAGGGATTTCACTTTGGTTTTCTTTTTGATACCCATAGATCTTTCGAAGTTTACTGTTGTGTGATAATACGAGACATGATCTGCAATTTGATCAGATCGAAGATCAACGTTTTGGTGTCCTTCTTCCTTGGGCAACTTCTACATTTTAATTTCGTGACAATGAGCCAAGTGTAGCTGAGTTTATCCTACAGCCCATGGACGAGGTAGGAGATACCGTGTTTTCTTTACGGAGCAAATATTGCTCGACGGAGGAAATTGCGGTAGAGGTTTAATAAGGTGACTTGAGTGTAGTTAGTTACTTCCAAGGAAGATATATCGATCTTTTGCACCCTACTTGCGTTCATGGAGATTTGCGGGAAGAATACTTTGGCATGCTCAGTCCTCTGTGGGGACATTCCTGTCTCATTGACAACTAAACCGGAAATGGGGAAGTTAAGTGAGCGAGTTCTCTTTCCGATTCCGCCACCGCACTTACCTTCTCGTCAGTATTTAAAATCTTCCGGCAACACGCCAAACAGTTTCTTTCACTCCTCGACAAAAAGGCCTTGCCATCTGCAAGAAGAACCATCTCCAGGGTCACCAACACATATATATATAAGTAGCACAATTCTCTTTTCCATCCTTTCACCCAAGGGAATCGGGCCATATCCAATCTCAGCAAAGAACCATCCTCCACACCCAAGTCTATTCTACAGCCCCCATTACCCGTAGAACCAAAGGACACCCAATTATTTGCAGCAAAACTACACTTCCACTCGCCAAACATGGATCAGGATGCCTCTGAGTCCGGCTTCGAGTTCGTTAGTCATCACTTTCTCCGATCCTGGTATCTACGTGATGGAAAGAAGTCGATCCCGACACTTGACCAAGCACACTCCAAGGAGATGATTGAGGAGGGCCAGATGCAGACCCCCTTGCAGCTCGTCGCCTTAATCCATGGAGGACATTCAATGATACACAAGCCCTGGTGGTCTCGGGTCTTCCTTCCCATATTATGTCCCACCAGCCTCGCTCTGGAAGAGATGTACAAGCACTGGTTCTACTCCACCAAACTCAACGAAGGGCGCGTGCTCAAGTTTAGCCTAGCTTCCATGAAGATGGCCTTTCACCTCGGTTACACCATCCAAGTCTTTTGGATCCTAACCACCAAGCGCCCGTTAGGCCCACTACCGACGGCAGCCCAACACGAGCCGACAACGAATTTCTTCGATTCAGAGCCGAACATCCGGTATCTGGCCAGATTTTTCGAAAAGCTTTGGCTCAAGCTTTGGAAACAGCGGCGAGGCATCATAAAAGGGCAAGAGAAGATGACTGACCCAGACTCATTGCAGCCCGAGTCATGGTCCTCATGGAAGACCAGCAAGGGATCCATGGACAATTGGAGGGATTTGGAGGGGGCCTTGGCAACATTATGGCGAATCTTCACACATGAAATAGAAGAGGTACCCAAAGAAGAGACGTAGTTCGGCCTCCAGTTTCCGGCCGAGCTTGGCAGCATGAGAGAGTGGGAGTATATTCAGCTGTCGGCGAAGGAGGAGGCGTGGTATGGTATCTCTGGTGACGGGCCAGGCACAATGTCACCGCTGGCACTGGGGCTGAAGGAGGCGGAGAGGGTGCAGAGGCATTGGGAAAAGGAGCAAGAGTGGGTGTATCCCATGTACCCGGCTGAGTGGGAGGGATGGGCAGTGGTTTAGGCTGGAAAGGGAGCAGTGGTAACATGTAGTAGCGATAAGTTTGGGTGTGGATAACAGATCATGATACCTCTAAACAGTATTGGCGTAGTAGTCATAGCGGTAATTCTCTGTTGGCAAATTTCACTATTCTGAAGGGTTGACAGCGGGAACAGAAGAAAGCAGGGAAGTAGAAGGTACCTAGTTTGAAAATATGATGTACTCATGACTTACACGTGCCTTTTCAGTCACATACAGCTACAAGCCTTGGACACTGCACCATAGAAAGTGTCTGACTGTCTGTAAACGTATGCTTACCTCTGATGTAGCCTAGCTCCAGCACAATTAGCAATATGAATGGTAATATGGGCATATTTGGGTGGTTCATGTCGTCATTATTATGTTTGTACAAGATCAAGCGCCGCCAATGTATACAGAAAAAGTGTGTGGTATCGCTTTCAACTATCCAACTCCCATCCAGAGTCCAGACCCTGGGTTTGTTTACTGTTCGTTGACGAAAAGACCAGCCATGCCCATACCAGTACCAATGCACATGCTTGTCAACAGAATCTTCTTGCCCGATTTCCTGCACTCGGCCAAACCAGTGACAATCTGTCTAGCACCGGTGGCACCGAGGGGATGGCCGAGGGCAATGGCACCACCGCGGGGGTTCATCTTGTTCCAGTCGAGCTGGAGCTTGTCACGGCAGTAGACAGCCATGGAAGCGAAAGCCTCGTTGACCTCGACGACATCGATATCGTTGAGGGTGAGGCCGTACTGGTTGAGAAGCTTGGGGATGGCGATGGAGGGGCCGATACCCATGATGCGAGGAGCCAGACCAGCAACGGTGGAGCCGACGTACTTGCCGAGAATGGGCTGACCGAGCTTGACGGCGGTAGAGCGCTTCATGAGCAAGATAGCAGCGGCGCCATCGGTAACCTGGGAGGCGTTACCGCCCGTGGTGGTGGGACCCCACTGGGGGAAGGCAACGCGGATCTTGGAGAGACTCTCGGCAGTAGTGCCGGGGCGGATACCTTCATCCTTGGTGAGGGTGACGTCCTTCCACTCGCCATTGGCGTCCTTGACGCGGGTCTTGATGGGGACGATCTCGTCGTCGAAGAGGCCGGCCTTTTGGGCGCGCTCGGCACGCTGGAAGGACTCGGCGGCGTACTTGTCCATTTCCTCGCGGGTGATGCCGAAGTCACGGCTAACGTTCTCCGAGGTCCAGCCCATGGGCTGCATGCAGTCGGCCGACTCTTGGGACTGGGAGGTGACGGCCACGTCGAAGGGCTGCTCGAGGGCGTCGCCGCCAACGCTCATGGACTCGGCGCCCATGGCGATACCGACCTCGATGGAGCCGCACGAGATGGCGTGGGCAATGTCGGCGACAGCCTTGAGGCCCGAGGAGCAGAAGCGGTTGAGCGAGTAGGCACCAGCGGTGTTGGGGAAGCCGGCAGCAAGGGCGGCGGCACGAAGCTTGTAGGCGGCCTTGCCATCGGAGACCTGCAACCACACAGCCATTAGCCTCTGCATGTGACAGTCAGTGACAAACAATGTTGCGTACATTACCCATGGCAATATCCTCGACAAGCGCGGGATCCATATTGCAGCGCTCTTTGACCTCCTTAAGGGTGGCATAGGCGAGATACTCGAGCGAGGTGTCCTTGAAGCCGCCCTTCTTGGCCTTGGTGAGAGGGGTGCGGATGGCGAGGGTGATGACAATGTCGTCGGGGTTCTTGGCTGTGATGTTGCTCAGAGCGGTACCTGGGGTCAGGTGCTTGAGGATGGAACCGAGACGTTCGACGGCCATTGTGACTGTTGTTGTGTTTGTTTGTTTGTTTTGGTGGTGATGGCTTGGCTTGGCTTGGGTTGGGAGACGAGTGAGGTTATCCGGCGGCGGGAGTTGGAATCGACAACGGCAAGGAGACGACAGACGGTGACAAAGACGAAGACGCGGCTGTTGTCGTGGTTAAAAGGGATCGGCCATGATGGGCTGGCGGAAGTAGTGGCGGCATCTTCCACTTCGTTGATGGAACAATCCAATGCGACTGGAACGGAAGAGTGGGGTTGTGTTTGCCGAGGCACAGCGGGAAGTGGAAGTGGAAGTCGGGTGTGAGAGTGGCAGCGAGTGGTCTGTTGTCGACGGATGTCAGTCAGGGTTGAGTTGGTGTTTGGGTTTCATTGTTACTGGCTGTTAGTGGAACATTGGGGTAAAGAGATCCTGTCGTGGGTTCGTTGCCGCTGGAGACATCAAATTGTCCGGGGCGAACCGATTTCCCCGCATGGGCTTGACGGGGATTTCCCAGACTGCCACATCAGTCCTTAACAGCTGCCTCTCAAGACGCACTGACCATCGTTCAACTGATAGTCGGGCACTTGCAACGGCCGGGCGGCCCGCGGGCAAACATGCAACCCCACCGCTCGGCAGTTCATCCTATTTCCTCCACTGGAGTTCATTCAACACCACCATCATGACCTCTTTTTTGAGGCACTACGTACCTTACAGGGAGTCAGATCCAACAAACATCACCTCAACGACAAAACCTCCTGACCATTACAGAACCGCGACTCGAGACAGTCTCGAGATATCTACCTATCTGACATCATGGTCATCAAGTGGCTCACCGTGGCTCACCGTGGCTGGCGGACATGGTCTGGCTGGGGCTGACAACGAACAGTTCTCGTTTCTATCTTCTTCCTCTTTTCTTTTCTTTTCTTCTTGGCGTCATGGGGCTTTTAGTACTGTACCTGAAGATGGCGTCTCTGGCTCCTCCATCGATGGCTGCTTATCTTTAGCCGCACTCCCGTCTCAGCTCGCATGCCGTCAGCTCGCTTGCCGTCAGCCCGCAGACGCCATCGAATTTCCACATCGGGACGGAAATGTTTCTCTGGGCGCTGTCGACGCGCCTGACTGGGCGGTTGCAAAGTGGCAAATACGAGGCTCGGCGACCGTCATGAAGGAAGAAAAATAAAAATCTTTGATGGCCCTCTCTCTACTTGCTGACCTGATGAAATTTAGACTTCCAGATCCCAGCTTCCACCTTCAGGTCCCACGACATTCAGCGAGAACAAGGCTGGCTCCCGTCGATACGACTTTCGTAAAGCTGGTCCAAGTAACTATCCGTCAGATCTCCGGCGTCGCGTCTGTCGAGTCGTCAGCAACAACCGCTGATTGCGAACAAGTTCAATTCCAACAACTTCGACTTCAATTACAGAAGAAAACGCCTTCGATCCCATCCCATCCCATCCCATCCCATCCTCACCACACCCGCGCCATCGACATGTTTACCCGAGCCATTGCGGCCGCCGCCAGCCTCCTGGTCGCATCCGCTTCCGCCAACTCCAAGCGCGGCCTGGTCTTCACTCCTAACTCGACCTTCCCGGACGACGCCTACATTTGGACTGCCCCTCCCACCGACTTGACATGGTACTATAACTACAAACCGCTGCCTTCCCAAATCTACTCGAACGTGTCCCAATCAGACTTTGAGTTTGTCCCCATGCTCTGGGGCGCTCCCTCCGACATCAGTGACAAGTCCTTCTACAATACCATCAAGACCTTGATCGACGAGCGCGGTGTCAATGTCACCCACATCCTAACGTTCAACGAGCCTGATGGACCCGGGCAGTATGGCGGTAGCGACATTGACCCCGAGGTGGCCGCCCAGGTGTGGGTGAACAACATTGTGCCGTTGCAGGAGGATTACAAGGCACTAAGAGTAGGGCTGCCGGCTTGTACGGGTGCTCCCGCGGGCATGGAGTGGTCCAAGAAATTTCTAGAGGCTTGTTCTGGTCTGATCAGTGAGGGTGAAAAGACCAAGAACTGCACCTTCGACTTTGTCCCCATCCACTGGTATGGCAATTTCGAGGGGCTGGCTAGTCATATGGGAGAATATTCTGCTGCGTAGGTCAACTCCTTTCTCCCGCCTCTTCATTTCTACCTCTCCGCGAGCACAGGCTGACCTCCGAACTGCACAGCTTTCCCAACAAGTCCATGTGGGTCACCGAGTACAATCTCGCCAATGCCAACCTACAAGAGACCCAAGCTTTCTACACAACGTCAGCGGAATACTTGGACCGGCTGGACTTTGTCGAAAGATACTCCCTTTTTGGCGCTTTCCGCTCCGATGTGTCCAATGTTGGCCCTAATGCTGCCATGTTGAACCGTGATGGCGAGTTGACAGACATTGGGGCTTGGTACCTTGGGAGACAGGCCACCGGTGTTGATCCGAACAGTGGTAAGGGTGGTAAGGATTCGGGTGCGGTGAGGATGCCGACTCCCCGCCTTGTGACTTTGCTACTTGTCTCCTTGCTTGGTTTGGTGAACTTTGCGTAATGACTGATCGACGAATGCAAGATAGACAGAGCGTTGATTCTTCCTAGAGGTATGTATTCTTTTTGGTGGTTGGGCTTTGTTGGTTATTTTCTTCAAAATCCATACCTTAGATAGAGCTGCTCTTTGGCTTTAGGTGGCTAGCGTAGATGCCTGCTTGGCTATGAAAATTGTCTATACCTTTACTTACCTTCATGTTTACTCTTCCGCATGGATCACACCGAATGTGTGGCATTATGGCATTGACACTTTCACGACCTCTTTCTCAGACCTCGAGCCGTTATCCACCCCCCCTGTCCGATATCCACGCGGCCAAGGATGCTCATTCATGCCCAGCCATCCCCAGGAAAGGGTTACAATGCTGATCTGACTAGGGGTTCCCCCGTCAGTGACACCGGACGTCTCGTCTTGGCCAGCGTCCCTACCAATTGCACGTGTATCCCCCGACCTCACCTCTCAGCTCTCTCGCTTTATTTACAGATCGCCAGAGCTCTACATTCAGCATTCGATCGCCACGTCGTTCTTCAACCCGTATCTTCAGGGGCCGAGAGGGGCAGAGGGGTTCAAGGGGCTCAACAATCCCCACCTCAACCTTATGCACGCCCGTTGCAATCCCTGTTTTTTTGAAGAACCCAAGCGAACCATCCAATAAATAGCATTATAAAATAGGCCGTTGTGCCCACCGGACCCGCTTGACATTCATTAGTTCCGCGTGCGGAACCATGCGGCCGCCTCCAAAGCTCTTCAAGACGACAGGAATGGCCAGTCCGAGGTTCATCGGCTTCTCAAGCTTGCGGCATGCTAATTTTGTTGGAAACTGTCACCGCTTTCTCCCACGTTCCACTTACCATGTGCGCATGTCACCGCTTAGCGTTCACCGTTACAAACCCTTGCGCCGCTAGCACAACAGTTTGACAACACCGCCCGCAGAATCACGATTCCCCCGCTCAACAGTGGCAACCGTTGAGCCAGGCACCGTGATGGGAAAACGTGTCCTGGACTGGATGTAAGGATGTCCCCCGTGGGGCGGCAAGCTTGGGTGGTGATATACATATAAAAGGACAAGAAAGGGACCCTGATATTCTGACTTTTGGATGCTCTACCATCTTCTCACTCATCTTTCTCCCATCCATCCTCATCTCAGTTTCCCAAGAGACACCATCACCACATTCAATATGGCTTCTACCACAGACTACAAGATTGACTTTACCGTATGTCCTCTCTCTCCCCCTTCACTGCCTTCTTCCGCGTCTCGTGGGCTGCCCCTGTTGTCTTCATCCCACACCTGAGCCACCTTGTACTAACGCATCTCCAGAACTTCTACAACATCATCAACAATGAGTTGAAGTCAACCCCCACCACCCGGGCCGCCATCAACCCCTCCACCTTGGCCCCCCTTCCTGCCGTGCCCGTCTCTACCAAGGCCGATGTCGACGCCGCTGTCTCGGCCGCCAAGGCTGCCTTCCCCTCGTGGCGTGACACGCCCATTGAGAAGCGTGCCGCACTCCTCAACACCTTTGCGGATGCCATCATGGCCAACTTTATGGACTTTGCCTCTCTGCTTGCGCTTGAGGGCAAGCCCCCCACGGCGGCGCAGTTCGAGGTTGACTTTGCTGTCAAGCACTTGAAGGGGACGGCGCAGCTGAGGTTGGAGGACGAGGTGATTGAGGATAACGAGGAGAAGCTAACCAAGATTCGGTACACTCCCCTTGGTGTCGGCGTCGGTATCGTCCCCTTCAACTACCCCTTCTTCCTGGGTCTCGGCAAGATGGGACCCGCCGTGTTGGCTGGAAACGCCTTCATCTGGAAGCCTTCGCCCTACACGCCCAACACGGCGCTGAAGCTCGTTGAGCTGGCCGCCAAGATCTTCCCCCCTGGTGTTGTCCAGGCTTTGTCTGGCGAGGAGGACTTGGGTCCCTGGTTGACTGCTCACCCCGATATCCGCAAGATCTCCTTCACCGGCAGCACGCCGACGGGCAAGAAGGTCATGGCTGCCTGCGCCAGCACTCTCAAGCGCGTGACGCTCGAGCTGGGCGGCAACGACGCGGCCATTGTTTGCGACGATGTCAACCTGGACGAGGTCGTGCCCAAGGTTGCTCTCGGCTGCTTCAACAACGCTGGCCAGGTCTGCGTTGACATCAAGAGACTATTCGTTCACGAGAAGATCTACGATCAGTTCCTGGCCAAGATGGTCGAGGTCGTCAAGACGTTCAAGTTCGGCGGGTCCGAAGACACCGAGGGCGCCTTCTTCCCTCCTGTCCAGAACGCGATGCAGTTCGAGAAGGTCAAGGAACTATTTACCTCGATTGAGAAGGAGGGCCTGAAGCCTGTTATTGGTGGCGAGGTCGAGGCCGAGGCGGGCGCGAAGAAGGGATACTACTTCAAGCCTACCATCATCGACAACCCGCCTGAGAACTCCAGAATTGTGCAGGAGGAGCCGTTTGGCCCTATTGTGCCCGTCGTGAAGTGGGTCGGTGGTGAGGACGAGGTGGTCAGGATGGCCAACAACACCGATATGGGATTGGGTGCCTCTGTCTGGAGCAAGGACTTGGAGAAGGCGGAGAGGATCGCCAGGAGGCTGGAGGCTGGCAGTCTCTGGATCAACACCCACCAGGACCTGGCGCCTAACGTGCCTTTTGGTGGCTTCAAGCAGTCCGGTATGGGCCACGACTGGGGTCTCATCGGTCTTAAGGGCTGGTGCAACACCCAGAGCTTGATGACGAGAAGGTCAGGCGGTATGTTCTAAGGAGGGAGCGATAGAATGCATTTATTAGAATAGTGAATTTACAGCAAAGCGTGTGATTTTTCATAGTGTACCTTAAGAGACATGATCCGGACCCAATCGTGACAGGTGTAAACTTCAGGTACATGTAGAAGTTGGCAGTAGGAGATGGTTAACTCACGGCTCCCAAATTCCGCAACAGGCGGAGCTCTCCGCTTGGTCGATATCCCGGATTCCCCGGAACTGACATGACTAGGTATCACTTCGCAGTGCCTTTAACATCGGGATGATACCATTTCATTGAGTGTTCGAAGAGGGACCAGAATTCAATGGGGTTGACAGTGCCGTGGTTACTGCTTGAGCTAGCAACGTGAAGGAGTGGTGAGTGAGCATCGTGCGTGAATCATGTTCCAAATGTCAGGAAGATTCAAATGGTGGACATGACGATATCGGGCAGTGTTTGGAAAAAGGTCGGTACGTGTAGGTACCTCTAGGTTCTTTTCTAGATGACGGGTACCTGATCTTCAGAAGGAGGCTTTCCCTATGAGGTAAGACAGAGCCATGACTGAGGCGCGGCAGTTCAATTGATCTAGATGTGCCGAGCTCTGAAATGCGAGGGGAGATGCAGTGGTCACTGGTCAGTGTGACAGTCAAGTCAGGATCTACACGAATTCGTCTTCGGGAATGAACGTTGGAAAGATGTGGTCCGTGTGCGCACCTAATGCAGTGGTCCACACAGGCTTCACGGAGCTGGATGCGCGGCATTTGGTTGGTTGAAAATTCTCTTAGCGGTGAGCGTGAGAAGTCAACCTACACTAGAAATGCAGGGTGGTCTGACCACTGGAACTGGGCATCTTCCAACACTCATCCAGACCTATTCCCGACCGTCCATTTCCGAAGACACCATCACCCATCACGCCCTCACAGCAGGAGTAGTCCTGGACATGGTGTGGGCCATTGCCAGGACCTTTTAGTTGCGGAAGGATAACACGTGAGTTGGTTGAGCTTGCCAATTGGTTTTGAAAAAACAATATCCACGACGTCACTCTCCCCGTCGGGTCAACTCTCCCAATTTCCTGCAACAAAAAAAAAAAAAAAAACGCTCGCCGGACCTGCATTAGGCGGTTGCCTAAAGTTCGCCATGTCTGTTGACTAATGTCTTTGACAGCTAGTAGGGTCGTATCTCTCGCCTAAGTCGTTGAGGTAGACAGGAGGCTAAACTCCACCACCTCACTCAACCAATATGGCTCGTCTTCAAGACCACATGCGAGCCATTGTCCGCCTTTCGGTAGATGCATCCAGTCGGACCCACGCACGTGTTATGGACTACCGATTCAAAATAGTCGAGAATGTCGAGAATGTCGACGCATATAAAAGCAGCAGTATGACCTCCGGATAGGGACAGGGAGAGCACCTAGGAATCCAACAACGAACCATTCTTTCTACGTCGTCTTACAACAATGAGGTTCAGTGACCTACTCGTGGCTGCGGCCACGGCGAATGCCTACACCATGAACTCCCAGGTCCGCCTTGCCTACCACGGCGATAACGGCATGATGGTCAGCTGGAACACCTTCGATGTCGTCAAGAACCCTTCTGTCCAGTGGGGCCTCTCGCAGAACCGTCTGGACCAGATTGCGACCTCCGACGTCTCCGTCACGTATCCCACTTCGCAGACCTACAACAACCACGTGCTGATCAGCGGCCTCCGCCCCGATACGACTTACTTCTACAAGCCGTTGCAGCTCATGAACAGCACTACCGAAGTCTTCAACTTTACGACGAGCCGTGAGGCTGGTGACAACACCCCCTTCTCGGTCGCCGTCGTCGTCGACCTCGGTACCATGGGTAGCAAGGGCCTGACCACATCTGCGGGCACTAGCGTGGCGAGCACCAACATTCTTCAGCCAGGAGAGAAGAACACCATCGACTCGCTGGAAGCCAACATCGACAACTTCGACTTCCTCTGGCATGCGGGCGACATTGCCTACGCCGACTACTGGCTCAAGGAAGAGATCCATGGATTCCTGCCCAACACAACCATTCAGGGAGGCGCCGCCGTGTACGAGTCCATCCTGAACGAGTTCTATGACGAAATGATGCCCATCACCGCCCGCAAGCCCTACATGGTGGGCCCCGGCAATCACGAGGCCAACTGTGACAATGCCGGCACCACGGACAAGGTGCACAACATCACGTACGACAGCAGTATCTGCATGATGGGCCAGACCAACTTCACCGGCTTCAAGAACCACTTCCGCATGCCTAGCGACGTCTCCGGCGGCACCGGAAACTTCTGGTACAGCTTCGACCACGGCATGGTGCACTTCATCCAGCTCGATACCGAGACCGACCTGGGCCATGGTTTCATCGGCCCCGACCAGACTGGCGGATCTGAGGGTTTCACCGGTGTTGACCCGGTCAATGCCACCATGAATGCGCAGACCAACTGGCTTGAAGCCGATCTGGCGGCCGTTGACCGCTCCAAGACTCCGTGGGTCGTTGTGGCCGGCCACCGTGCCTTCTACCTCAGCAACACCGGTGATACCTGCCCGACCTGCAAGGACGTCTTCGAGCCGTTGCTGCTCAAGTACAACGTTGACCTGGTGCTGTCGGGCCATTCGCACATCTACGAGCGCCTCGCACCAATCGCCGACGGCAAGATTGATCCCAACGAGCTGGAGAATCCCTCCTCCCCCTGGTACATCACCAACGGTGCCGCTGGCCACTACGACGGCCTCGACTCCCTCGATAGCCCCCGCCAGCCCTACAGCCGCTTCGGCCTTGACACGTCCAACGCCACCTACGGCTGGAGCCGCCTGACCTTCCACAACTGCACTCACCTGACTCACGATTTTGTCGCCAGCAACAACGACACCGTCCTTGACTCCGCCACTCTGTTCAAGGCCCGTACTTGCGACCAAGATCGTAGGCGCCACTGAGTCCGTCACTCCTGTCACTGCTAGTGACTGCGAAAAAGACCTCAACCATTCTGGCTGGTCGCTGCCTTGAAAGTTCTGTGAAGCTCGGGATGTGGCGCTCTGTAGTAGGTACGAGAGGAGCAGGACCCGCACGCAAGAGGGTCAACCCTTTGTATGAGTGTCTTGGAAACGTGGATACGTGTAATATGAGTCTAATAGATGAAAATGCTTCAAGTTAATGCACTTTTAGTTTACCTCTCGCCGTCAACTTACGTGATGTTCGTGGCCGACAATTTTGTCCCCAGTCACCTCCAACACCTTCTGATTCACAACGGGCGAAAGCTGCCGCGTGCGTGCAGTGGTCTTCTCGTCATGGTACTAAGCATTGTCATGGAGACGAGCCACTGGGTCTTAGCGCGACTAACATCAAACGATTTCAGCGGTTTCGAGTGCAAGACACCAACACCGTTTGTGATATCAATCCACGTTAATGGCCATACTGGCCCGGGCAACCATGGAGAACCTGAGTCGGTCGACGTACCCGGCTTCATGCCTGCCGCCCCCGATGATGTTGGCCGTTCTTGTGGTGCACGTGCCTTGTCCGTAGACCGTATTGGACGAAGATGTTTGACACGTCGGCTCCCCGCCTCCCAAGGAGCATATACTCTCCATCAAGAGAGAAGTCATCTTGATGATCCTCCTTCTCTGCACGCTGTGAGTTTCCTCGTCAATCATCCATATCGTCTTGTCGTCTGCCAATCTCCCAACCTACCTCCAGGTCTGTCTGTTACCCTCCTGAGCCCCTCAGGCTGAGTGCCTCTTGCAGGCCAAGCCGAGCGCGTGCATCAGGCTCGTACGGTATCTCGACCGGCAATAATATTGTTGGCTGTTTTGCTCGTCCTTGTGACGTAATGACTATTCTGACAGCGCGCCGAAGGGCTCGCCACTGAGGCACGAGAGTCTGATCGAAGCTCTCCGCATGTGTTGCCTTGGAGGACCTTGCTTCTTAGAACAATCGTTCCCATAGGTATCGCGTTAGCTCCAAGATCTTGTATATGAGTTGCTTTACTATAATGATGTGGTTCTGTCGATCTAGAACATATACCAACAATGGCAGAAAGGCAAGATAGTTGTTGAGGGACGATAAGATTATGGATTGGTTGCGAAGGAGCCCGACAAGTCCACTCAGTGTTCTGAGACGCCCAGTTTGGCGATTAGTGTTCAGGCAAGTCAATTTCGTCCATTGTTTGCGCAGCACACCATGTATTTGACTGGATGGGAGCGGGAGGCCCAGCCAGCTGAATGCAAACATGTAGCCAACCGCCCAAGTGCAAACTTCTTCAGCCAACCAAGCACGGTCAAATCTCTCTACGGTGAAAGCATCTAATACATGAGCAAATTAATCATATCAACTCAAACCATGCACACGTCATCTGAGATGGTGAGGGGTAGTGACGTGAACATTCGCTTGGTTGAGCCAAACATGAATGCATTCTCAATCCGCAGTTAGATTATGACTCTCGTCTCGTGTATATAAACCCTACCCTAGGCATCGAACTTTCTCTCACTCTCATCCTCTTCTTCTTCTTCAGTCAACGAGTTCACTACTACCCTTGTAACTTCCACTCCGTCCACTTTGACACCCTCAAATAACACACGAGCATCATCTTTCCAACCTCAGCTGCTTGATATACAGCTCCATCCACCAAAATGCCCAAAACCGAGATGACAAAGTCCGATTCTTCGCGAATCCAGTCTTCACAGGTCAGTCATATACACCAATAATGTTCAATAATTTCCAGTCAGATCTAACAAAATGATAAAAGGCCAAGGGCGGCGGTGACATGAGCTCTGGAGGCTTCGCAGCTCGTGCCCAGTCGGCCGGAGACAGATCGTCTGCTTCGCAGACATCCGGGGGTTCGGGTTTCTCTAGCAGCACCTCGGGTTCCAACCAGTCCAGCACTAGATCTGGTGCCTCTTCGGGATCAAAGAAGTAAAGTCAACTATGAGGTTCTAGGCGGACTTGGACTCGACCATTAAGTTAGGGCAGGAACGAAGGCACAGTGTCCAAGCTTTGTCCGAATGAGTTGAGATGGAATTAGGTTAGGGACGCCTGTCCGTTGGGCTGGAGCGTACCCGGGTTATCAATCTATGTATTTTAGCTAGGCCCGGAGAATCCAGATCATTCTTCACACATGTCAAATTGGAGTTTGAACCAGGTGAAGGCTCGCTTACCTACCTCTACCTTCCAAAATCATGTTCGATTTGAATCAATTCCATGCCTTAATGACTCGACGCCACACCATCTCAAGATCAAGTTCACACGGGATCAAGCAGTAGAAGAAAGACCCGCGATTCTATCTAATAAACCGATTGTTCTTCTGAAGGTGGGCTTCGATGATGACTGTACCCACCATTGCATTGCCTCCTTCTTTTTCAGGACTGAGTGTTTCTTGGGCGTACCTTCCATTGGTTCGTGTGGTCAGTGAAAGAAACGGAAGCTGTAACGCGGATGCTGACGCGGATCGATCCCGTCACCTCAAGCAGTTGAAGACTGGTATGGGGCTCGGTACCTAGAGGTAGGTAAGTGGCTGCCTCAGTGAACCTATGGGACCTTCTTGAAAGATTGACTGATGACCCCATTGCAGACATTACACAAACATGCAATGGTCGTCGAACAAAGTGAACCACCTCTTCTCCCAGAAAAGCCGAGTACAGGCCTCATTGCTGGCTGTGCAGTTGCTGAATGTGTATTTTGCTGGCTATGTGCGGAAGTTCGTTTGCCTACAAGAGGCGAGGTCAAAGAAGTGACTACTTTCTTAAGGAGCCTGAGTGGCCAGTCAAAAGCGGAAGAGTCACACGAGCTGCCAATCCAGGCGCCTCCATTTGAGGCCTACCTCTATGTTTCGCCCACTGGAATCCCAAACGGACAACATTACTTCGAACTAGATGCTTCGGAAGGTGAAGATAGTGAACACGGTATTGCTGTGGGAGCAAGAACGCCTGGTCGTTGAGCAAAGTTGAGTGCTTTGGGCTTGAAATCTTGGGTCCTCGGAATCTGGGAGCTTGGAAAGGGCTGGGTCGACCATTGTGCGTTTCGTGCCCTCGCTTACCAATCTGTAACTAGACGTGCTTTGTTAGCGATACTTCAAGCTCGGCGTTATGATGTTATCTCCACCAATGCCTTCCTTACCAAACCTTTCATCGCGACGTTACTGTCTAGTCCTAATTATGAGATACCCTTCAAGTTGTCTATATCACCGCAAAGACCAGCTTTTCCTTGTGTGATACCACCATCCCATTCCCATCCTTCAACCTCAAGCTCACGTTCTGTCGCCGTATCGCTCCTCACCTTCTGTCGCCGTATCGCTCCTCACCATGCAATCCCTTGATCTCACTGGTCTCCTCACGTCGTACCCAACCGCCAACGTCGCACTTAGAGGTAGTGCTTACCCAAGCTCCCCAAGGATCCCAAGTTCGGTCCTTGCCACTTGCCCGCTAGGTGATGTGAAAGATAGTACGGACATTCTTTGGATATGTAAGTTTTGATGTGAGTGTGACCGGACAATTTAATACACCACCTCCCTGCCTGCCGATTGCCGAAGCTGCTGCTTAGGGCTTACTCCCCCAACCCCGGCCGACTCGCTTAGAGATCAGCAGCTTACCTACGAGCTGATTGGTCCAGCTGGCGCCAACATTGCACAGCTTCAGCTCCGTCAAAGGTCCGTTTGATGGCATCGCCAACCTTGGCGCAGCATTTGGGGGCCCTTTTGGCTGCTTTAGTGCCAATCCAGACCGGAGTAGGAAGCCTTCTCGTGGAAAGAGCTTGGGAGAACCGTGCAGGCCAGACGTGTGCGAGCATTGCCGGTTGACATGTTGTAGGAATGGTAAGGTGATGGTGGCTGGAGATGTGGATGTACAGCAAAGATGCTACCTAACTAAGGGTAGAAAACGACCCCCTGGTTGATAATGGTCATATCGAACCATGTGCCCTCGTTTAGTTCGCTGGTGGATGGCAGAAAGCGGACAGGGAACAAGAATGTCTCCACCATCTGCCACTTCCTCTTGGTTTTCAACTTCCCTTTTTCCTTTGAACTTTCTCTCCTGGGTTCATCCTGGGTGACGGACCTTTGTCGTGAACCGTTCCACGGTCAATAGTTCACGTTGCGTGTGAGAGCCGCGGCCGACGTCACCACCACGATGTTTCTGTCAACGCTCCTCCCGCTGCGGCAGACACTGACACTTTTGTCTTTTGTTGCTTCACTTCAATGGCCCCTTCCTGTCAATGGGCAAAACGCCGATACGCCTTCCGATTCGAACTTCATTCGGCGTGGTTATGAACGCGGTAAGTTTCCCCTTCGTGATACCGCCTCCTCCTCCAGCTCCCTCTCTTCCCCGGCATTCCTTCCTTTCATTCCCTTATCTCACGACTAACGTACCTACCTCTTTCCCATCAACAGCAGCGGTCATCGGCTCCCACCTCTACCTCTCCGGCGGCGAAATCTCCCAATATGGAACCGGCGAGAACGCCCTTCCGCCCGACGACCACCCTGCCATTGGCATCTCCTCCGTCTTATCAATTGACCTCTCCACCTCGTGGGACACCCGCAACGCCCCCTTCCAATCCCATACATTTCCCGATGGTGACCAACCTCCTGTTTTTAATAACCACGCTCTCTGGCCCTGGAAATCTTCAGATGGTAAGGATCAGGGGTTCTACATCTATGGTGGCCAAGTGTCGTGGAAAGAAACGGTCAAGGATGTGAGGAAGGATCGCGGAATTTGGAAGTTTACTGTCGATGGGCAGGGCGGGGGAGCGTGGACGGTTGAGCAGGCCAGTAATCCGGAGGTTTTGCGAGGGTTGAATCTGACGGCAAGTATGGCTTATGCGGCGGGAGGTGGGAGGGGGTGGTCGATCGGGGGAATCATGACGCCTGGCACCGATCCGGATGCGAACATCACGTCAGGCCCGGGACTGAGGATTCCGGGAATGGTGGAGTATGACTTTGCGACGGAAACGTGGACCAATTATACCGAGGTCGGCTTCCTCCCGAAAGGTCGGGCGTTGGAGGATGGAAGGGCGCACTTCGTTGATGGACTTGGGGAGGACGGTAAAAACGGAGTGGTCATGATGTTTGGAGGGGGGATCTTCATCCTGGACGTGACGCGAAAGGGCGACTCGCGGGGGATCACCCGTCCGGATCTCCTCCTTGACTTCAACAACATGACCTTCTTTGACGCACAAACGAAGAAGTGGTACTCGCAGACAACGACAGGCACACCGCCAACTTCCAGAATGGGCCATTGCGTCGCGGGCGTTCGAAGCCAGGCCGGTACCCACGAGATGTTCGTTTCTCTTCCTGTTCACAAGGCTTTTGCTGAATCCAAAAGTGCTGACATCTAACCAACAGCTTCGTCTACGGCGGCGCTGATGCAGGGTTCACCGAGTCCTACGATGACCTATACGTTCTTTCCCTTCCCGGATTTGTTTGGTTCCGTGTCGACGACCGTTCAAACGGCGTTCATTCTCACGGAACTTGCGCTGTGGTAGGCAACCGTCAACTGTTGGTGATAGGTGGGCAGAACGAGAAGGATGGATGGCCGGCAATCTGGCAAAGTAAGGATCCGTTACCGCTCGGACTGGGTGTCTTCGATATGACAACCATGACTTGGAAAAACAATGGAAGCTATGATGCGGAGGCTGCCGAGTACAGACCGGCCGAAGTGATTGAGAAGTGGTACAAAGATGGGTGAGTGATCTTTTCGTTTCGGGTCGGTATAAATGCCATGCTGATCGGTTTCAGGGGTCTTGACAAAGTCCAGTGGGACTCGGATGATGTAAAGAAGATGTTCCTGGCGACGCCTGTGAACTTTACGAATTTGGATGAGCCAAGTTCATCAGACAAACCATCATCCGGCGGCGGCGGCAGTGGTTCCTCGGATGGTGACACTGATAAAAGCAAGGGCGAGTCCAGCAAGTCGAAGACCGGACCTATCGTAGGGGGTATCGTGGGGGGTTGCGTCGTCGTGCTAGGAGTCATCGGTGGTTGGTTGTTTTGGAGAAGGAGGAACAAGAAAAAGAACTCCGCAGGAGCGTTATCATCGGCTGAACTTCCCGTCCAAGAGCCGTCACTCCCACCACCACCACAAGGCTTCTATGAACCCTACAGACATCAGAAGGAGCTTCCGGTCCATTTGGCAGCAACAGAGGTATACACCCCGCCCACCGAACTCTCAAGTCACGCTTATCGGTGGGAACTGGACCCCGACGCGAGACCAAACGAGTTGCATGGGGATGCAGGACCGAGGGCACAAGAACTTCCATGGGAGGGAAGGCCACAAGATCTGAGCGCATGCAGATGATAGACGTAGACCTCAAGTTCGGGGTGTACATAGACCGAACGAAGGATCAAGGAATGCACATACTTACCCGCTTTCCGAGTTCCGATCCTGGACGGGAGTGCCTGGGAATCCCCGCACCGTGCATCCCGCAATGTCACATCTTGGCAGCGTCGTCGATCGTGCAGTGCGTCCGTTGGTGTGACAGCTCAGTCCGGCTAAATTGCCCCGCGGTCTGCGTTTTACCCGGACTTCTTCCATCCTTCCACCCCACCTGGGGGGTCCTGGAGAGGTGACATCAACCGATGGGCATGACAAACATGACCGTATAAGAAGACACTCGTCCCCTTCTGCAAGCTCTGGGTAAGCTCTTCAAAGTTACAGCCTGGTGACCATCTTCGACTGTCGACTATCAGCAGCAACTTGAACATCGCCCACAATGCCCCTTGTCAAAAACCCCATCCTCCCTGGCTTCAATCCAGACCCCTCCGTCCTCCGTGTCGGACAGGATTACTACATTGCCACCTCAACCTTTGAATGGTACCCAGGTGTACAAATTCACCACTCGACGGATCTCGCCAACTGGACGCTCCTCACGCGCCCGCTTAACCGCAAGTCCCAACTTGACATGCGTGGCGACCCGGACTCGTGCGGTGTCTGGGCCCCCTGCCTCTCACATGACGGCGACAAGTTCTGGCTTGTGTACACAGACGTCAAGAGGAAGGATGGCAGCTTCAAAGACGCACACAACTATATCGTCTGGGCGGACAAGATTGATGGGGAATGGTCCGATCCGGTATACGTCAACAGCTCTGGTTTCGACCCGAGTCTGTTCCATGACCCGGATAGCGGCAAGAAGTACTTTGTGAATATGCTGTGGGATCACAGGCGGAGGCCGCTTCTGTTTGCAGGGATTGCGGTCCAAGAGTGGGATGCTAAGACGAAGAAACTCGTCGGAGAAAGGAAGAACGTTTACCAGGGCACGGAGCTGGCACTGGCCGAGGCACCCCATGTGTATAAACGTAATGGATGGTATTACTTGCTGATTGCGGAGGGCGGGACTGGGTATGAGCATGCTTGTACGCTGGCGAGGAGCAAGAATATCTGGGGACCGTATGAGACGCATCCGGAGAAGCACGTGTTGACGAGTAAGGACCATCCGAGAGCCGTGCTGCAGAGGGCCGGACATGGCGACATCGTGGAGACGGAGGATGGGAGAACATATTTGGTTCATTTGACGGGACGGCCGACGACGCAGCTCAGGAGGTGTGTGTTGGGACGTGAGACGGCAATCCAGGAGTGTTATTGGAAGGACGATTGGCTGTATGTCAAGAATGGACCGGTGCCAAGCCTCTGGGTGGACTTGCTGGGGGAGAGGGATGAGAGCAAGTACTGGGAGGAGAAGAGGTATACCTTCAAGGATGGGTTGCACAAGGATTTCCAGTGGCTGAGAACGCCGGAAACGGAGCGCATCTTCAACGTCAAGGACGACAAGTTGACGGTGATCGGTCGGGAAGCCATTGGCAGTTGGTTCGAGCAGGCATTAGTGGCCAGGAGACAGGAGCACTTCAGCTACGATGCCGAGACCGTCATCGACTTTTCCCCGACCGACGAGAGGCAGTTTGCTGGTTTGACTGCGTACTACTGCCGGTACAACTTCTTCTACTTGACCGTCACAGCTCACTCTGATGGCCAGCGAGAGTTGCTCATCATGTCGTCCGAAGCGTCATGGCCGATTGGAAACCTCAACACCCCATACGTTCCATACGTCCAGATCCCGAACGAGGGTAAGGTGAAGCTTGCTTTGACGATCCGGGGCAATCAGTTGCAGTTCTATTATGCGGTATTGGGCAGCGGTGATGAAGAGCCGAAGAAGATTGGACCCGTGTTTGATGCCAGCATTGTTTCGGATGAGTGTGGTGGACATCAGCAGCATGGCAGCTTTACGGGTGCCTTTGTCGGGGTGGCTGCCTCTGACCTGAACGGACTGGCGGCGGAGGCCAAGTTTGACTATTTGCTGTACAAGCCCGTGAAGAACCAGCAGGATGCCTATGTTAGAGACAATGAATAAGTCCAAAGGATGGAGGGAGAAAATATGGATGCGAAGAGTTAGCCTTGAATGATGTTAATTTCCAGGACAATAATTATTCGGGTAGAGAGCTGCCTCCTGCTAAATCCGTGAAGTTGACTTGGCTGTTTCGCTCTGTTGTGCCGAAGCTGAGGTCCTGGCATCCTCCTTATAGGATCCGAGAAAAGTTTACCGACTGTCGATGGTGTCATCCACTAGCCCCTTTCCTAGCGGCCAAGTGTCGAAGACCGGCACTAGAGGCTTAAGCCAGACTTTGGCTTGCAAACGAAAGCCGGGTTGGAACTCGCTGTCCACCAGGAGCGTGACCGCCCTGTCCTCCACGCCTTCGGATGCTACACTGGACACCGGACATGCCCTACCACGCCGGCTCGACAAATCTCAGCGTAATCAACGCCTGCCCTCCATAGTACAGTACCCAAACGGCTCTCTGCATCCAGTCCCTATACCCTTCTGTCTCAAGCACCAAGAACTTGTCCGCCGCAAGGATCGAATCCGACGCCGTGAACATGGTGGCCCCCACAATCACCCTTCCATTCTCCAATGTGAGCGCTGTCAGGGCCATCACACAAATGGTAAGCGAGTACACCAACACCGGTACTCTCAGCGCATTGCCAACCTTGGGCATCAACGTGGCGATCATGACGGGGACCAAAACCGCCAATCCACCAGCCATTGCGGTGCGCCATCCCCCCTCTAATAGACCTTGAAAACCAGCAGCATGTTGTTGCTGCAGGAACAACAAGATGTAAAGGACATGAGCAACCATGAAGCTGGACAGACCACAAAGGAAGGCTAGGTCGCCATCCCAAGCAAGGAAGGCATCGCCGAGGGCGCTGAGGGCTAGAGCGCCAGTAAGGAATTGGGGGCCGCCGAGAAGGTGAGAGAGGTAGGAGAGCAAGGCGGTGGAAGAGGTCTTGACGAGCGTGCGCGAGTACGAGGGGCTGGATCGGACTTGAAAGAGGTAGAGGACGGCGGAGGCGAAGGAGACGGCTAGGACGGTTTTGTCCAGAGATGCGTCTGTATCGGACGACATGGTGGTAACGGCGTTGTCAGGGAGCAGGCATACCTATGAGGGGTAGGAGTTGGATTGGATTCGTGTGTGGACTTGAAGTGTTCGATCTGATAACCGCGATTGGTGACTGTTTACTTTGGCATCGTTGTCTTCATCGGGGACATTGCGGGGTATGTTTTGTTCCTTTTTCTTTCTTCTTTCTCGTCCGAGGTTGACGATTCGTCCCACGTGAAAATTCCAAACCTTGGGCTGGACATGGTCTTCGGCATGGAGTCCCTGGTCTCGGCTACACAAGTCAGCAAAGTGGATGAACATGGCGTGGGGAGGTTGGGGAATTGGGGGATACGTGGGATACGTGGGATAGATACGTGGGGGGAACACTGGGGGTCGTGGGGAGGGCGACCATGTGCACCCACCCCCCACTGAGCAACCACACTGGACGTTGTGATGGTGACCATGGTGTTGTGATTATTCCACGCTCCATACCTCTACCCTTCCTTGTTGTGCTTCCTAGTTTCCCCCGCGAACCGGTACTAGCCACCTTCCCCGCAATCCATCTCGTTTCTATCGGGCCTTTCTACGTCGCGTCGATTTATCGAGTTGGCTGCGGGATGGGAACTTGTTTAGACTGCGGGGTACCCCATCATCCCCAGACTCGTTGTTCACGGTGGGCTGGATTCGCGTGGTTGGTTGGGATCAAGGGGAGTCGGTCCAACGGGGGTCACGGGTGGTCTAGCTGCGGAAAATACCTATTGAAATGGAAACGGGTATATACGCGATGGACATAAAGCCAATATAAGGTACATTGTCAATGTGGTCAATTATCGGTCCGTTCGTGATGTCGCCATTCGCCAATGAAGTTTGGTTGATGCTTCAGTGATTGATGTTGCAGGAAGGAAGACGGCAGCTTGAAGGGAAGTGGAAGTTGGAAAAGACGCCGCTTTGGCCTGCCCCATTTGGTTGCCCGCATTATACCGTGTCGGCAGCGGCAATCAGCGGCACTGCAGTACTGCGCATACAGGTGATGACGGTGCTGTAAATGCAGCGCAATGATGTCCTCCCACCTCAGGAAACATCATCGTGGAGTGTACCCCCATCTTGCTTCCAAATGGCCATCACTCATCACTCGCCCGTCATGTTCCCGTCCCGCCGTGACATCTATGATGGCACAACCCCGATCGCCATGTTCGTCCGACGATGCCTCCTATTATCTAGAACTAGAGCTAGCTGCTGTTGATCCTAGGCCAAGAGAGACCGCCATATCCTGCCCGTCGCCTTGATTGGGTTTCCCTCGTGGAGCATCCCCATTCTTCCCCATCTTCCGCGATCCATGATCCATGGTCGGCGACCGGCGCTGATCCCCAGTTTCCCCAGTCTCCCCAGACCTTTAGTACCAGAACGGAATACGGCCCAGCATTAGCGTACATCATGGTGGACTTTCCCCGTGCCTCGATGGGAACATAAAGAGGAGCCGGTCCAGCCCTTCGTGTTCCCACCTGGGTTCACTCCGTCCTTCATCCCCAGACAGGAAGGTAGCCGGCCATCTACCTCCTAGTTGATCACACCCTACCCGATTCGCTTCGACCTTAGGTTGTCAGTCCAGTCAATTGTGCAACCATGGCAGACGGCGAAGTCGGCGTCCTCGCCCACAAGGCTTCGGGCGACCTCGAAGACATAGAAGACGGGCCCCAGGTGACCGAGACCGAGAACCAGCGCGTCACTCTAACAGAGGAAGATGTAAGGCTTTCTTGCATCCATCCGACCACTCCTCCAACCCAAAGAAAACCCCTACTAACATGCCCTGCCATTCATCCAGAACCGCCGCATCCTCCGCAAAACAGACCTGACCATTCTCCCCATCCTCGCTTGGGTCTACTTCCTCCAAATCCTCGACAAGACCGTGCTCGGCTACGGAGCCATCTTCGGCCTGCGCGAAGACGCCCACCTCCAAGGCAACCAGTACAGTCTGATTGGGTCTATCGCCCCCATTGCCCAGCTTGCATGGCAGCCCTTTTCCTCGATTCTGATCATCAAGGTCCCGTACCGCATCCTGATGTCCGTCCTCGTCCTCGGCTGGGGCATCGCCCAATGTCTGACGCCCCTGTGCAAGACCTTTTCTGCCCTGCTGGCTGTGCGCTTCTTCTTGGGCCTGTTCGAGGCCGGTTGTTTGCCGCTGTTCTCCGTCATCACGGCGCATTGGTACCGGAGGAGCGAGCAGCCCGTCAGAGTGGCGGGGTGGTACGGCACCAATGGTCTGGCAACCATCTTTGCGGCGGCGCTGTCGTTTGGTTTGGCCAAGATCCATAGCCACGTGTTGGCGTCGTGGCAGATTATCTTTTTGTTCACGGGGCTGATGACGGTTGTTACGGTGCCCTTCATTTACTGGAAGCTGGATAATAACGTCCATTCGGCAAGGTTTTTGACTGCGGAGGAGAAGCTAAAGGCCATTGAGCGGTTGAGGGCCAACAACAACGGCACCAGCGATGGCGAGGCGCACAAGTTCAAGTGGGCCCAGGTTGGAGAGGTTTTCTTGGATATCAAGACATACCTCTTCATTGCCATGTCTTTGGCAAACAACCTCGGCGCACAGGTGGTCAACACCTTTGGTCCGTTGATTCTGAGCGGCCTAGGATTCGACAACCACAAGACCACGCTGCTTAACATCCCCTTCGGCGCCGTCCAGTACGTTGTCATTCTCGGTGTCGCCTGGACGAGTGTGAAGTTGCGGTCGGGCAAGGGTTTTGCCCTCTTGATTATTCTCCTCCCCATCCTGGCAGGCATCTCTATGCTCTATGTCCTTCCCCGCGACAAGTCACACACTGCGCCCCTGCTGGTGGGCTACTACTTCCTCGCCTTCATCTTTGGCTGCAACACGCTGGTGGTCTCGTGGATCCTCGCCAACACTGCGGGATCGACCAAGAGCAGTATCATGATGTCGCTGTTCAACGCTGCTTCTTCGGCGGGCAACATTATTGGCCCCTTGTTGTTCGACACGGCCGATGCCCCTGCTTACACGCCCGGGCTAAAGGCCACGCTGGGAGTGTACAGCATGATGGCGGCGGTTGTGCTGCTGCAGCTGGGCAACTTGGTATTGCTGAACAAGATGCAAGAGAAGAAGCGCGTGGCGAATGGCAAACCGGCCAAGCTGCATGATTCTTCGATGGATAAGAAGTTCAATGCGGCGGGTGCCGCCCAAGCCCAAGAAGGCGACATTGGAAGTCGGGCGTTCTTGGACCTGACGGATCGTCAGAACGACGAGTTCATTTATGTATATTAGTCTTTTTGGGCCCGCTTTCTCCCATTGTGCTTGCAACTGTATCAGTGGTAGCCGAAACGGCATTTAATCAGAGCTCATCCACTTCAAACTTGACCAGCAGTGTACATGCCGTCTCCCTCCCCTTTAGATCCAACATCCTCACGAACCGCCACTGCCCCTTGACGCCCTCCACATACAACAGCCTAACGCTGGCCACACACAGCACCGGGTTGCTGGAGAAGGAATCATCGCTCTTGATGAACATCCTCAAGAAAACCAACTCATCGTCTTCATACTCGTCCCACTCCAGCGTCTCATCCCACACCGGATCCGTCACCAGACTGTTCTCCTCCTCTTTACTTGCTGCCCCCGTCAACCCCCCAATCAGCAGCGCACTAAGCTTATGCTTCCTAAACACGTCCGTCTTCTTCTTGGTCTGCTGCATCTCCCCAAACGGCACGCCCGGATGTAGCAGCGTGCAGGTAAGGTACGGTTTGAGTTCCTTATCCGTATCTCTGCCGCTTGGGATGGGAACATCCGACGCGCCCGCCACCACCAACCTCAATCGTTTTCTGCGTCTCGTCCTCGCCACTTGCTCCCGAAACTCTTTTTTCGCTAGTCCCACCATTGCCGCGTTGGACCGCAACCAAGAAGGTTTAAGCACGTACCCCCCTGTACCCGCGAACATGGCTTCGTTGATTTGCATGCTTGCGTCGAAGGTCTGCCAGTTTAAAGCACATACTTGTGCGCCTAAACCCCAGAAGGGCAAAGGTTTAAGGTTTTTAGAAGAGATGCGCGTGCCTTTGGGGAATACCCGCATCAAGTGGCGGGCGTTGTGCTTGGCTATGCTGGCGCCGTTGCCGGACGACAAGAGGGCGTTGAGGCCGGATTCAGATACGTTGATGAGGTGGTGGTGCGGGCCGTCTTTTGAAGGTAAGAGGTCCGAAGAGGTGAACCAGCTGTTGTCGGGCGGTTTGACGGATTGGCCGTAGACGCCCAACTCGGCGAGGGAGGGGATGATGAGTTTGGCTTCGGGAGCATCTTTTTTGGCTTGTTTTCTTTGTTTCCTTTCTTTTTTCTCGGCTTCGTCTTCCAAGCTAGAATCGGAGGAGGAATCAGATGAGGCTTCGTTGATGAGATGATGCTCCACGATGACCACGATCTTGGACCCCAGGTCGCGAAGACGAACATGTTGGTCTTGTTCAATGTGCGACTCGGTTTCTACCGGCTTATCCAACAAGTGCCTACCCCATACTTCCTTCATGATTCGCACCAGCGCCTCTTGCCCTTGAGCGCCGCAGTGGTTCTCGAGCGAAATCAACACGGGCGCACCGCCGCCGCCGCCGGATTCTTCCTCTTCCTCTACTACTTGCCGGATGATCTTGCATACTTCGCGGAAGGGGATGTTGGAGACCAGGGTGTATCCATGAGTGACTTTGGGTTCGTCCAGGTTGTCGGGGTTGTCCCAGACGTCGATCTCTACGCATCTTGAGCCGGCTTGGAGGGTGTGTCGGTAGGGGTCGGTGGAGGATTCGCCAAAGAGTTGGTGTGCGCACAGGTAGGTGTTGTGACTCGAAGAAACAAAGTACTCCGGTAGGGGGTAGTCCCTGTTGATTACCTCGCGTGGAACGGCAATATGTGGCTTGGCAAGCAAGTCGGCGACGGTTTCGCCCGAACTCAAAATATGGTTCCTGGCGATGAAGGACTGCAGAGCGGGGGAGACGCGGAGCTGCGGGCCGTGCTTGCATGTGAAATGGCCGCCGCCGGCGTGGGCGTCAAAAGGGATGATGTCGCCTGCTTCTTCATCGTCGATTGGTTGCGTGCGTCGACGGGAGCCGAGAGTGAGCCTGCTGCGGACCGAAGAGGTGAGGTCGGTGACGGTCCCGGTGACTTGCGGAGGGAGGTTCTCTTTGGCGAATTCGCCGAGGCCGGCGAGGGTGTGTTTGAGTTGGTCCATGTTAGGTACCATCTGCCCTTCTAATAACGAGTGAGAAAAGGGAACGAAGTGACTTGAAAGGGAAGGGAAAAGAGAACCTTTATGACCCCACGTGTTTGGTTCAATGTCGATGGGATGGATGGATGACCCACGGGGATCAATGTCTAGTTGCAGTGGGTGTTGGACCCGCCTAAGATGGGCTGAAACGCGGGACCAGCAGCACTGGTGGGGTCAACGGGCTCGCGGCCGCTCGGCGCTAAGAGCCAAGCAGCCGGAACTGAGTAGCATCATGCCGGCGAGTCCGTGATCATCGTATTCAGCTTAATCCTTTAGAGAGCATGTGATGCTGTGGGATCTGGTTATGGGGGGCCTGACTGTGCCGTTTTACCCAGGCAGCCACCGTCCAATATTGACAAGGTGAGGTTGGATGGGATCACGGTCTGGGCGCCCAGAACATCACGTCTCGGCACGGCAAGTGGGTGTGTTGACAGGAACGTCGAAAAATGGCACATGACGATTGCAGGTTGATGTCAAGATAATACCGATACTGTAGAGGTAAAATTGTCGTTCCTTTTTGTCTATCCTTTTCATCGTGTAACAGTTTCATCCAACGATCTTCCAGATGACATTCATCCATTGTCCAATCAAATCATCCAAACGCTTCAACCCTTTCGTTCGCAACAAGCCGTTGCCAACCATGAGTGGTCAAAGACATCACCAACATCAACACGCATTCCCGTCACAACCACCTCCCCCTTCAGTGCTTCAGCCACAGATACACAAGAACCACACCACCTAAGCCCAAGCCCCAACCAAACTCATGCCCACCGCCCCCGCAAACACCAACACACACGCCGCCGCTCTCCTCTTCCCTCTCAACGTCCTCCAACTCTCATCACTCAAAAAGTCCTCACTCAAAAGCTCCACCAGACTAGCAAAGACCAACAGTCCCGAACTGATAGCATTCATCGTTCCCACCAGAATCAGCCCCACCTCACTTTCAGGAGAATACAACCGATGCGTAGCCAACCCAATTGCCTGTCCGATAGGGGTAGTGCACCCGTACGCCAAAGCCATGAACCACGGCTGCTTCGACCCCTCCGGCCACGTAATGCTCGCGATGCGTGATCCCAAAGCAAGACCTTCGAAAGTTTGATGGAAAGCAATGGCAATAAGCAAAACGACAAAATCCGTCCCTACGGAAACGGATAGGGCCATGCCGATAAAGACAGAATGGAAAAGAATGCCGCACTCGAGGAGGACGCATTGCATGGTTTCCTTGCGGCGCTTCATCTCGGCGGTCAGGTACATGTATCCATCATGAGGCAGCTGAGATTCGAGTTGTTGCGTGCTGGGGCTGGAGAGGGTCAGGTCGGATTGGAAGATTTCCTTGTTGAATTGGGGGGTAGTGGTGGTGGTGGTGGTGTCGAGGTAGTAGTCCTCGGAGGGCAGGGCAGGGAGGACGGCGTCCCGGTCGTGTGGGTCTTGACCTTGGCGGGAAACGTGGGAGAGCCGGCGGCCGATGGAGTGCGCGCGTCCGCGGAGGGCGCCCTTGGGTCGGGAGGGGAGGTTGTTGGTGGTGTCGTCAGGGGCGCGAGCGTTGCTGGGGAGACGAGAGAGCGGGTCGATTGATTCGTCGTTCGTATTGGACTGAGCGGGTGCACCCGAAATCTGTTCCTGTTCGTGAGGTCCGTGATGCACATGTCTTCCGGGGTGAAACACCATCTCGACAATCGTCACCATGAAAATAGCAGCCAGCGCAATGGCTCCCGGCATGGCGGGGTACTGCTGCGTCCAAAAGCTGTCGAGACATTGGTTGCTGAGCGAGATGAAAGCGGTCGGCAAAAGATGCACAAACGCCGTGGCAATCAAGACTCCGGTACCAAAGTGGCGGACGGCAAAGAAGAACACGGGTGGGAGACGAATCATGGGAAAGCGGGTCATGAGGACGGGAAAAGCGCAGGCGAGGAAGGAGACGCCGAAAATGATGGCAAGGGCGGCACCGTGAAAGGCCGTGTTATAGAACTCCTCATCGGACACGCCGCCCTTGGGACAAGTTGATGCTCTTTTGAAGACCCGAGGGGTGACGGGTTCAGCGACGGCGGAGACATGGAGAGCTGCATCAACTTGAATTTGTCTATCGCTACCGTGTTGTTGTCTTGTCATGATGGTGGACATGATCAACGAGGTAACGACGACGGAGAGAACCCAGGTGACCCACCCCGGGACCGCAGAAGCGGCACGGGCATTACGGAGGAGTGGAGCCACGGAGGTCCGGGTTCGGCAGGCACGGTCTTCACCACCGGCTGCCGGGGATTTCTGCGGGGCGGGGTCTGTGTTTCCGTCAGTGTTAGTCATTCAAGTTACACTCGGAAAGGGTTAGGGACATTAACATACCAATAGACCGCCGCCCCGCAGAATTATTGTTCTTCTCCGGAGGAACTTGTGGTCTCCGGTCCGCATCATGCAGTCTTATGCCGCCGCCTGGATGATGATTCAGTGCGCAGACGCCGACCTCGCTGCCCTGGGATCCATGCCTGTGCGTCCGTGAATTGGCAATGCCATTGAGGTCCTGGCGGGTGGTCAAGTCGGCAGCCAAGCAATGGGGTTGCTGGTTCCAAAAGGGATGTTCGAGCTCGGCATCGTCATTGCGAGAAGGGCAGTTCATTTTGGGCAATTGGTAGAGTTCAGTCTGTTTAATTTCGGTGTCGGGTTTGTCAAAGTGATGCGGATCGGTTGCGAAAGAAGGTTCGCGATGGCCGATGACTGATGACTGTAACCCCTGAGTCTTGGCTTTGTTGACTTTTCTGTTCGTGGCGAATCGAACTGGATTCCACTCGATACAGTAACGCGATGGGTCGGACAGAGCTTTGTTCACGGCAGTGAGAGGAATATGAAGAGATCGCAAACAGTATTATTTATTGACTGTCTAAATGCTGCGAGACTGATGAGTCGACTGGAACAAACAGTAAACATATCCAGTTGTATTATAACAAAAAGTGGAAGCGGTCTGTTTATGAAAAAGACAACAATGGAAAGATCTGACATGTCATCTTGGGGACCAAGTCCAGGCCCTTTTAACGGTGAACCCTAACCCCATGACAGTCAACGACAGGCTCGGTCGCTTCCGTGATGCCCCGATGGCTCCACACCTGACAGAAGTCCGTTGAGATGAGTGGTCCGTTCAGAGATCCTCCAGTCTTCCCCAGATCTTGGCGTGCGTAAAAACGAACAACAACAACTGAAACATTGGAGATTCCTGAGCGAAGACATCGAATGGTCGTTGACATGAATTTCGTTTTTGACATTTAAATGGTTCTCTTGACTCCGGAAGTCATGCAGGGCTGTTCACCTGACCTGAAGAAATCGATGAAACCCTGAGCGGTGCAAGTACCTACTATTGTCGCTTCAACAAGGAAACCTTTCTCATGAACCCCTACCAACTTCAAGACTGATTCAGTTGATGATCTATCCACGCGAAATGTCCTCTGAAAGGATCGAAGGTAAGTGTATGTGCAAAGGGCACAATTGGGTAACAACCAAGGACTGTTCCGAAAAAGATTGACAATTGTCCCGAAAACTGGCGAACAATCCAGTTTGTTCGGTATTGGCTCCGGCCGATCACGGAGACGGGAAAGGTCAACAACCACAAGAAAACACACGAGATTTTCGCTTGGTGCTTGGCATAGAGGCAGGCATGGGTCGATAGTAGGGTTATTGTAAACCCGAAGTAGAAGAAAAATCACAGAGTATAAAGGTAGAGATAGCCACACACGAAAAACAAGACCTGGTAAGGAACAAGTTAAAAAAAAAAATATGATTAGTTTAAAAGGCGATGAAAGGCGTCAAATTAAAAGAGCGCCGGGAAGACGACGATGCTTTTGATGGTGTGATTATTGGAAAGAACCCTCTTGAGAGTCACGTGATAGGTAGCAGGATTGACCAATCATAGCTCCGATCACGGGCACTTCTCCACACACGTTTGTTTTACCAGCACGGTAAGGTACCTATATACCTCTAGTCTACAATTTATGCAGCTGAGAGCCAAAATGAGGGACGAGGCGACAACGTTCGCGGAAACGAGGACAACGTGAATATATCAATTGATCCCGCCAGTAACGCCCATCTGTTATGTGGTATGTATATAGCCCTTGTAGCCCTTCAGTGTAGGTAGGAGCACAAATGATTGTCTTACATTGAAAAACAGCTAGCTGAGGTGTGCGGCCTGCCCACGTTTTACACAACACCACGCTCTCGTCAGATTTCAGATGTCAGATCTGTAAGTACTGTACTGTCTTTTTAGGTACATGTGTACAGAAAAAGATTGCCCAGCTGCGTCCCCTCGTCCCCAACCACACAGGATATTCTTTCGTCCAACGCCATGGGATCAGATAGTTCCCTAATCCGCCATCTTTTTTTCTTCCATGACAAAAGAACCCAAAATGGGCCACGCGTCGATGGTGCTCACCATTTCAACAAACAAACATCAACACTTATGTCCAAGATAACAATGATGGCATCCGCCAGAATGGACCTTACTGTGGTCGGAAGGAGGATGACACAAACCAATAGTGGGCGATAGGTGCCCCTGGCCGGCGGGGCTCGCCTACCACAATCCAGGAAGGTGATAAAAGATTGTCGAGACATCCGCGCCGCCACGAGCCATGCCTTGCCGATAACCGGACCCGGTGAGACAATCCAGCGCTGCTTGGAGGGTTGCGTTGGTGATCCCGGCCCCAGGGATTCTCTCGCTGCCGTGCAACGGGGCACAGGCTGCACAAGGCCCGCTGATATCCAATAGGTTCGCCCACCTGCCCCTTCACTACCACGCTGTCGCAGCGCAGATAAGCTAACGCATGTGCCCAGGCCTTGGCCACCGATCGACATGAGATTGCTGTGCTGGGGCTGCAAGGAACGAGACACAAAAAGTTCCTTGATATAAAAACCGAGTGTGGACGTCGGTCGAACGCGGTTCCGAGTCTGTTCGTGTCTGGTTCCTCTTCCTCACCTCGACCCTCTCCCTAACCCGAGTCACTTCACGATGGCGTCTCTCGGCAAGCTCCTCTCGGCGGCGGGCCTGCTACTCTTGGGCGGCCATGGCATGTTGGCTTCGGCCGAGGACCACCTGATCAGCGAGCGCAAGCTCTCCAAGCGCTTCATCGACGAGAAGGGCAACTACAACATCTCCTTCTATCACATCAACGATGTCCACGCCCATCTCGATCAGTTCTCCTCCTCCGGCACCGACTGCACCAACCCGGCCAAGGGCTGCTACGGCGGTTATTCCCGCGTCAAAACCATCATCAACGAGACCCGGCCTTCGCACAAGGACTCTCTCGTCCTCAACTGTGGCGATGAGTTTCAGGGCACCATGTTCTTCTCCTACTACGGCGGCGAGAAGATCGCCGAGACCCTCAACCAGATCGGCTTCGACGGCATGACGCTGGGCAACCACGAGTGGGACAAGGGTGACGAAGTGCTCGGCCAGTTCCTCGAGAACCTCACCTTCCCCATCATCTCGGCCAACGTCTTCTCCGACAACGCGCGCCTCAACCGCACCATCAAGCCCTACCACATCTACGAGGAGTATGACCTCGCCATCATCGGCGTCACCACCGAGACCGTACCCTCCATCTCCTCGCCCGGCCCGGGTACCAAGTTCACCGACGCCATCCAGGCCGTCCAGGACACCATCGATCACATCCGTTCCACCACCTCCATCAAGCGCATTGCCGCCATCACGCACATTGGGTACGACGAGGACCAGCGACTCGCCAAGGAAACCACGGGTCTCTACCTCATTATGGGCGGCCACAGTCACACCCCTCTCGGCGACTTCCCCGGTGCCGTGGGTCCTTACCCGACCATTGTCAAGAACAAGGACGGCGATGAGGTATTCATTGTTACCGCCTACCGCTGGGGCGAGTACCTCGGCTACATCGACGTCACCTACGACGCCGACGGCAAGATCCTCGAGTACCACGGCGGTCCGATCCACCTGACCAACACCACCAAGCAAGACGAGGATCTCCAGAAGCAAATTGACGCGTGGCGCGTGCCCTTCGAGGAGTACTCCAAGCAGGTGGTCGGCACCAGCAATGTCGTTCTCGAGCAGTCCACCTGCCAGTCCAAGGAGTGCACCTTTGGCGACTTCATTTGCGACGCCATGCTTGACTACCGCCTGAACGCTTCCACCGATGGTCTCGCCCCCTCGTTCGCCCTCACCAACTCCGGTGGTATTCGTGCCTCGATTGACGTTGGACCCATTACCCGCGGCGAGGTCCTCACGGCTTTCCCCTTCGGCAACGCCGTCGTCGAAATTACCCTCTCCGGCCAGCAACTGTGGGACGTCCTCGCCGGCATTGTCGCCCGTGTCAACAAGGCAAACGGCAAGGCCGTCACATCTTTCCTCCAGGTCTCCCGCGGCATCAAGATCGAGTACCAACCTACTAACTCTCCCGATAACGGCGTCGGCACCCTTGCGGCCGTTACTATTGGCGGCGAGAAGCTGGACTTGACGAAGCAGTACAAGGTGGTCACCATTGACTTCGTCGCTGGTGGAGGAGACAACTTCTTTGCTGAAGCGATCAGCAACTTGGTGGTGTTGGATACCTTGGATGAGGTCCTGGTGAACTACATCAAGGAGAAGACGCCGGTGGATGTGCAGTTGGAGGGCCGTATTGCTCCCTACAGCAAGTGTGGTGGACGCAAGAAGTCTCAGAAGGCAAGAAGGGAGAGGGAGTAAGGGGGTGTACTACCTACCAATGAACTTGTATCGTAATGATTAGAGGATTACCTCTAGATGATGTAATGTGTTGTCTTGAGTTTTAATGAGCGTGTTCCACTGCAAAGAAAAGAAAGCGACGAAGTGTGTGATATACCCCCGGCAGCCCTCCATGCTAGGAGGGACCTCGCTTCACAAGCTAGAAATGCCATTTTCATATATTCATGGCAAGAGATCACAGTTGGGACGCACAATCAATTCCACTGTGACGAACCGTTACAAGCACAGGAGTATATCGCTGGGATGAACAATAAGCAACGGTAGTAGTAGCCAAAAGGTACTGATCGATTGTAGAAGCTATTGCTTGCTGAAGAGCCATAATAACGAAGGCCGGGAGGCCTTCTTATATACTGGCTTTCAGCCGGTCCCGTAGTCCCGTTATTCGGGCCCTCGGGTCCGTCCCGTAGTCCCGATATTCGGGACTCCGGGACCCTTCTAATTGGTCAATCTATCTATACTCGTTGGTTGGATCGTAACATCCACCCCATCCGGTTTTTGTGGCTGGAAATCTGAAGAATGATTTTGCAGAAAGATACCTACCTCAGCCCGAGAAGAGACCGGCCGGAGCTATACGCTAGAGAAGAAAAGAGACATAGAAAACTGCTCCGGAAAAGCCTCTTGTGCAGCGGATCGCGAAGCCTGGGTACCTCTAGGCCTTTTATCTCGTGGTGGGTAAAAATCTCCACGTCCTCAAGCGTGGCAAGTATGTGTCGTTTTCTTTCTTTAGCATGTGGATGACACTCTTTCATGTCAAGATGGGGTTCTGGCCCTTTGGTATTTTGCAATTCTGACTTCCACCCAGGCTCCAGGGGCGCAATTTCCTCAAGTCTATCCAACGATGGCAATATATGGAAGTCTTCCTTCAAATTCCCCATCCTCCACCAGCCCCTTCCTTCCACCAGACCAAAAACTCGACAAAATGCCCACTCACAATGATACCTGGAGAATGACCAGAAGAATATCTGGGAGAAGAACTAAAAATGGAGGGAGAAAAAAAAAAATTTGAAAAAAAGAGAAGGTGGAAAAGGTTTCTATCGCGAATCGAACAGGGAACGTAGAGCAACTGGAAGGGAGTAGTAGAGCCCTATTTGCATAGCCGGAAGACGCCAGTTACAAGAAACTATCCCAGAGGGGGCCCAGCTCAGTTACTTTGTCAATCGTACTGGTTCTAATCATTTGTAGTGTATACATCATAGGGTAGTACGGTGACCAGCCCAGCCTGAGGCGGCAGTATCCCTCTGGGCCTAACCCTGGTGGAATTGCAGACGGGAAGCTGCGCACCATACCGCTCGACCACTGTCCCTTTCCGATAGACCTGCCTCAAAGCTTTGACTAAATACCTACCTGTAACCCTCCAGTGTCTACATGTACCTACTAGGCACCTAGGTATGATACAGTCCCCAATTAACCGCAAACTTGTTACTTCTCAACGCCAACTGAAAACACTCCATCGTCCCTTTACTCCCCACCTTGGCATCCCATTTCACCCACTTCTTCCCATTCTTGCCCGTAGCCACCCGATTTCCGCCCTGGTGAATGATCATGGCCTCGGTGTACTCAACAATCTGGATTAAATCGATATTTCCTATCTGTGTCAAGGTCCCTGCCAACGTGCCCTTGGCAGTCTCAACACCGATGACGCAGGACCCATACGAGGCGATGACCGTCTGGCGGCCTGACCAGAATGTCCACGACCCGCCCGAGTCGATGTTGGCGCGTAGTTGGAGACAGTCGCCCCATTTGGGGGAGGCGCTGGAGGATTGGTCGATGGCGGGGGAGAAGTTGAGGCATGCCCAGTGCTTGTCGTCACGGGTGGTGAGGGTGGTGGCGTTGGTGAGAGGGTCAGAGGAGACTTCGGCGGCAGGGAGGGCAGTGGTGGTGGTTGCTGCTAGAGCGAGAAAGAGGGCGAGGAGGGTGGTAAGGATCATTTTGTTGGTTGTGGTCTCGTAATTACTTAACTGCGGTGGTTGTGCTGGATGAATGAGGTTGTTGGAGCTGGGAATAGGAGGTGTCATGATCTCAGGTTTGGACGAAGGTTAGTAGGGATTTATACCTGCACCATATAGCTGTCTGGTGGTACTCCTCCTTGAAGCATTATACAAAACAACAAAGACGCCACAAAAGGACTGCACCTGCTATTGTTTGTAGCGGGAAGAGCGGGACGACCCTTTGAAACCCAACAAAGCGCCACTCGTTTCCTTGACTACCTGCCTCTACCTACCTACCGTACCTAACATTGTAATTCGAGAAAATCTTCGGCTGATGCGTTCCAGTGTTATTGGTCTAGGTCTTTCAACTGCGGAAAGTAGATTGTTGTTGGGTCTTGGGACCAGATCACAAGTTGGATGTCTGATAGAACACTGCGTGTCAGCACTTGAACCACGAGGTAAGGGAGACAAAAGGTTCGGGAAATGAACCAACAACACAAGCCAACAAGAGCCGGGGTCCTAACCGCCCCAAGAAGCGGCAAGAAGACCTTGTGCATCTCATCCACTGCAATCTGCCTCGTCAATCGGGTGAAAAAAGCCATGTAAAAGGACATCCCATTGCCTGTTATTCTAAACCTTTGAACTTTTTTTTGGAGTACCCAACCAACCCAAACTGTTTCCTGCATTGCTCTAACATCACATCACATTCCGTGCCCACAACCCATCAAATCAACGCCGCTTATAGCCCTCCAACAACGACTCCAACCTCTCCCACGGTTCACTGCCCTCCCACGCCTCCCTCGCCTTGCCCTGAACACTCTTAATCGCAAGTCTCGCCTTCCCCTTCCACTTCTCTCCAATCTCCGGCACCCCCTCCCCAAAATTTTCCAACAACTCAACATACTCCACGACCTGTGTCACGAACGCATCCCAAGCCTTCGGGTCCACCAACCAGCTCTTCTCATTCCCTTCGCCCATCCCCGCAGATGGAAGCAGTCCACTACCAGCCGACGCAATGCCCACCATCGCGCGAAAGGCGCGTTCAGCCGCGTCAATGGCACCCGCATAATCGCGCCTCCAGTAGCGCGCCGTCTCGAGCAGTTTCCAGAGCTCGTGTCTCTTGGTGATCAGCGGCGCGACTTGTTTCTCCAGCAACTCGCAGACGGCGCGCTCCTGGCTGCCGCGGGGCGGGTCGTACACCCCTTCTTTAATGGGCACCTCCTTATTGAAGACGCACTCGCGCAAAAGCAAGTGCAAAACGGCAATGTCGAGGGCGTCTTCGGAGGCCCGGATCTTGATGATGTGGTTTAGAGCCAGGATGATCTCGGAGACGGCAGGCGGGCGCACGCGCGAAGCAAGGGTGATGACGTTGTCCCAGATGCGCCAGTTGTCGTTGGCAATGGAGGCGCCGCGCTTGTAAGCCGCTAGGGATTGAGACAAGAGAGTGGCGGGAGAGCGCTTGCTAGGGTCGGTTTGGGATTGCTCGGGGTTGGCGATGCAGGTGTCGTCTTCGTCGGGGAGGACCTCGTCGGAAAGGGACTTCTTGATGGGTTCGGCGGCGAGAGCGGCGGCTTCACGCTCGGCTTTGAGTTCTTTGACGCGCTCGACGTAGAGAGAGTAGAGAGCTGAGCCGAGGTTGGACCACGTGCGGGCGTCTTCACCGCCGGCGAGGTTGTCAGCGACTGCGATACCGCGGCTGAAGGACTCGGCAGCTTCGGCAAAGTCGCCTAGGCGGAGAGAGATGTCGCCCAGGCGGTTCCAAAGCTCGGAAGACATGCGGTTAACGACAACGGCCTTGCGGTAGGCATCGCGGGCTTTGAAGATCTGCTGCTTGGACAGCCAGTACTCGCCCAACGACTTCTGCGCTCTGGCGTACCGTTGACCGGAAATCTCCCAAGCACGCTCGTAATGCTCTGGCTTGTCCTCCATTTCACCAAGAATGCAGAACAGACGAGGCGCGTTGGGGGGAGGAGGCACACGCTCAGGACCCTGGAAGTCGGCCTCCTTGAAGTTGGAGATATCCAGCGTCTCTTTCTCAACCTCATCGTCCGCCTCGGCATCTTCCTCAGCAGTGGTGACACCCGTGCGGTGGAACAACCGCCACCTGACAATGGCCTTACCCTTCTCCTCACCACCCGCTCCACGGCCGTCTTCGTCGTCGTGACGGGCGTTGGCAGCAAGACAGAGGGCGACTTCGGCCCAGAGGCGAAGACGCTTGAAGATCTCGAGGGCCGATACCAGCGAACCAACTCCAGCCCACGAGTAGGCCAACTCGGACTCCAGATGCCATCTGGGCGGCGAGCTGAGAGCGTGGATGTACTGCAGACGGACATGTGCCGGCGCCGAATCCTCGGGCTTAGCAGCGGGGAAAAAGGAAGTGGGCTTGCTGGCAGCAGCCGCCTTGTCCTCGATGACTTCTCCATCGGCCGAGATCTTGATGGCCGGGACGTCGGACTTCTCCTCCTCCTTCTCGTTGGACTCAGAGGTGGGAGAAGCCGCAGTGGTGTCGACAATTACCTGATCAACCACGGCCTGCATCTGGAGGACACCGCGCTCGATGGTCCTGGAGCGATGCATCTCGATGCGCGACCTTACGAGCAGGGCTTGCGTGTAGATCTGCCAGTTGGTGCTCTTGTCGTTGATGACTCTCACGGCAAAAGGCAAGACCTCCTCGGAGGTCAGGGAATCGCTAGGGCTGAAGGCGTCCTTGAGCGTGGCCTCGGTCAGCAGGATGATCTGATCCAGCGGAGAAAGCTGGGGTTGCGCATCGGGCTCGAGGTCCTTGAGTTCCGCAGGAAGGCCAGTCTTGTCGTCTGTTTCGCCGTGTTTTCCCAGCTCGCCCTTGGTGAACTGCAGGTCGTCCAACAGAGTGTCGTCGTTGAGTTCCACGGCCTTGGGCTTGGCGTCTGTCTCCTCGTCCTCCTTCTTCTCCTCCGAACTCTTGGCAAGAACCACAAGCTGACTCGTGGCCTTTTCCTGGAACTTGGTCCTCTTTCCGAGCGCACCGCTCAACATGTACTGGAACTTGTTGACCTCGGCCGCCTTTTGAATCGCTTCCTTCGCCTTTACATCTTGTCCCAACATGATGTGCACATTGGCCTTTTCGACCAGCCACTTGACTTCCATCTCCTTGTTGTCCTTCCCTGTGACTTCCCCTTGGACAACCTCCAATCCTTGCTCAATCTTTCCCTGCAAGCTCGGCACCTCGCACCATTGCAGAATCTTGTTGAAGATGCTCCCTGGTCCCAAGCTAGGCTGGGTGATGAGCTTGTAATGCCAGACATCAACCCTCAACTTCAACCACTCCAGCGGCTCGCCTTCCAATCCCTTGACCTCCGCTTCCTCTCCCAATTGCGTGCTGAGGACCCATCGTGCCAGGCCGAACAGTTCAATGGAGGGAATGTACTGATAAACCGACACGCCATCGACGTCGAGAGACGAGAAGCAAAGTTTGCGAGTTTGTTGAAGGGGCTTGCTCTTGGAAGTTTTGCTGGATGCTGCGGTGGTGAACTCGTCCTCGACTTGGGCAAGACCATCGGGAACAGGGCCGGTGACGTTTATTTGCAGGAAGGTGTTGAATGCTGAGAGGGCGACGGCAAGTTTGTCCTGGACTGGTGTGTCGACGACATTCTGCTGCTGTGATTCGGAGTCGTAGAGGGTGTTGACGTATGACTTGATGAGCGTCTTTGCGGGCTCGGTGGTGAGGACGGGGACGTAGTGGCCTGAGCGGACCTGGTCGAGCAGGCTTGTCGTCGTGGTGTCCGTCATTGTGCTTATGCTGAGAGGTGAGGGGTATCGAGATAGGACGGAAGAAAAAAGGGTATCAAAACTGTTTGTGTCTATCTCATCCCCAAAGCCCAGTCTGAATGTGAATCAAACAAACGCCCAGTGAGAAGGAAAATGAAAGCAGTAGAAAGTGGAATGGAAGGGGGGGGGGTTCCGTTGTTGATTGGAAATCACAATCTGATAGAGGGGTCCCCGAATCCTTATCGCAACTGAATGTCAAAACATTTTTCTTCAGGCGGCGGCGGGCACCCCGATCGCCGCTGGAGCAACCACAGGAAAAAAAAAGCAGTGGGGGGAGGGGCACAGGCCCACGAGATCTGCCAGACCCCAGTCTTGGCATTGTGACGCACTTTTTCATCGCCAAGACTTACCGCTTACATAAGGCTGAACTCCCATCCTGTCTTCCCCACATTAACATTTCGTGGGCGGCAGGCGGGAGAGCACTCAGTGAGGCTCAACGTCCATACCACAACCACATGTCACAAGTCAGCATCACCACAGGTATAGACACGTAGTAAGAGAAACCGAATGGTACTGGTAAAGACAACATACAGTCAATACATCTCATCGCTGCTACTGATACCGCTACAGTACACTATCCGTGACATACTGGCAAGTAACCATATAACGCTTGACGCTTGACCATCCCACGTCAGTCAACTGCTGGCAGCCAAAAGACAACTTTTCCTTCATCATCCTGTACATCCCCCCTCTGCTATAACATCATCACCCTTGCAAAAAATCTCCGATCCAAAGGCAACATTGGCAGACGCCTATTTCTTGCCCTTGCCCTTCTTGGCCTGAACAACTCGAAATCCAGGCACCGCAGCCATGGGATCCTCCTTGACTTGGCTCTGCGCGCCGTTACCACCCTTCTTGGCCACCTCGGACCAACCACCATTGCTAGAAGACATGGCGCCAGTGTTGGAATCCTTCTCGACAATGCCCTTGTCGGCGAGCTTGCGACGACGGACAAACTCCTCGGCAAAGTGGCGGCCATCCATGGTCGTGGAAAAGCCGTAGACACACTCCGAGAGAATGGACACGTCGAGGGGGAGCTCGAGGAGGGTAGAGGCAAAGGTTTCGACTGTGGGAAGCATTGTTAGTTACTTGTAGCAAAGAAAAGAAATGAGCAAAAGGGGGAGGACATACTGTCATTAACACCGTTCAAACCCCTAGACAGCTCACGATGCAGCCACTTCTTGAACTCCTCCATAGCCACATTCTTGGCATCCTTGAGCGCGGCGGGCGCAGCCTTGGCCACAACCTTTGCAGCCGGGGTCACGGTAGTCTTGACAGGCGCAGTGCTAACAGGCCGGCTGGTCGCAGCCGGGCCAGTGGGAATCTTAACCTTGCCACCCGCCCCAACAGTAGACCAACCGCCACCAACAGAAGAGGCCGCAGCAGCAGCAGCAGCAGCCTGAGCAGCAGCAGCCTGAGCAGCAGCGCCGGGAGTGACCATGCCGGGGGGAGCAGAGGGCGAGGAAGTCTTGCTAGCCAGGTCGGCATAACGCTTACCAAGGGCAGAACCAGAGATGACGCTGGCCTGCATGGCGGCCTCCTTGGCCTTCTGCTTGCGCAGCTCCTCCTCGCGCTGGATCTCGGCAAGGGTCTTCTTGGAGCCCGTGGTGGTGGTGGCGACCTTGGCAGCGGCAGGCTGCTTCCAGGGACTACCAGAAGCGGGGGCGCCGACGGGGGAACCAGTACCCCAGGTGCTGGTAGCGGGCAAACCAATGTGGGCAGCAGCAGCCGCCTTCTCGCGCTCACGGAGAGCGGCAGCCTCCTGCTCAAGAGCGGCACGACGAGCGGCAGCGGCCGCTTCTTCCTTCTTGGCAGCCTTCTTGGCCTCGGCCTCCTGAATCTCCTTCAGGCTGGGGCCCTTCTGAGTCTCGGTGCCGGCCCAGGGAGCGGTAGGGGGAGGGGCAAGGACGGAAGCATCAGACGTGGTGTCGGGAGTGCCAGAACCAGAGCGCTCGCCGTATCTAGCAGGGAGCTGCGAGGCAGGACGTTGAGCAGTGGGGGCAGCAAGAGGCGTGTTAGCCTGGGGAGGAGGAGGGAAGGGCATGGGAAGGCCCGAAGCAGCGGCCTGCTGAGCAAGCTTAGCAGCATTGTTCTCGGCCTGAGTCTTTCTGATCTTCTCGGTTAAGGAAACCTCGACTTGGGGAGCGGCCTCCTTAGCAGCGGGAACCTCCTTAGTCTCCTGAGTCTGCTTCTTGGAAGGCTTGACAGTCTCCTGGGCCGGGGCGGCAGCAGCCTTGGGGTCCTCATTGGGCTTGGGAGCTTCCTCCTTCACCTCCTGGAGGACTTCCTGGGCAGCAGCAGCACTGGCCTGGGCGGCGGCCTCCTCAGCATCGTGCTGGGCGCGAAGCTCGTGGAACTCCTTGAGCTTAGTGTTGAAACCCTGCTCGTCATTGCGGAGCTGATCGACGGAAGGGAGGTTGCTGCGGAGAGACGAGTTGTCGCCGATGGGGGCGCCAATGGGTTGGGCAGGAAAGGAGCCAGGGAGACCACCATTGGCCTGCAAGTTAGCCAGCAACTGGCGCTCACCCAAGTTCAGGTCAGAAGCGAAGAGATCGGGACCCAAGCCGGGCTGGGCAGGGGCCTGACCCAGGCTAACGGGAGCCTCGAAGAAGCCGGAGTTGGGGCCAATAGCGCCGATGGGAGGCTGCGGCATACCAATGGGGGAAGTAATGCTGCCAAAGCTAGGCTGGCTCTGCAAGCTGTGGGCGCTAGAATGGTGGTGCAGAGCTCCGGGGATACCAGGCTGGAGAGGAAGACGGCCGAAGCTCTGATGATGATGCAGGAACTCCCGCTGCCTGGCGTGATACAACTGCTCTTCCTGCTTACGACGCTCCAAGTCGTTCTGCTGAGCAGCGGTCAAGGTTCTGCCGAAAGACGGGAAAGCACCCTGAAGGGGAGGAATGGCCTCAGCAGCACCGCCGAGAGCGAAAGGACCGGCGGAAGGCGGGGGCCCGTGAGGAATGCCCATCTGAGGAACGAGGAAGGGCTCACGGGAGTTACCAATGCGCCGGATAAGCTGACCCAGAGGCTCAAAGTCAGGGTCCTCCACACGCTTGACACGGAGGTCAGGCGAAAAGAAGTTGGCCTTGTACCAGTCATTCATCTCCAAGCCAGAGAAAGGTCCCTGCATCTGTCCTTGAGGATCCAGGTAGACCCAACGCATGCGATCAGGCATGACCATGGTACGCTGCTGCTGCTGACCAGGCTCGCCAGCCGTAGGGGTAGCCGAAAAGGCGGGGCCGGCCGCGGTGGCGGGGAAACCCGAAGAGGGCGCCGTAGACGTCAGACCAGGCTGGTGCTCGCCGCTTGTGAACGGCGACTTCATAGCATCAGTACCGGGAAACAAGTCCTCAAAGGCACCTCTACCAGCTCTCATGGGGCTAGCGGCATCGCGAGGCTGAGTACCAATAGCACCACGTCCGATAGCACCAAGAGGATTGGCCTGTCTAAGGTCCGGAACAGAATCACTCAGGTTCTCCTGCTCGTGGCCAGTATGCATCTGAGCCTGCATGGCGGGAGGGAACAAAGAGCTGAGCTTGTTAGCACGGCCAAGTCCCGATCCACCAGCAACGCCAAAACCACCAAGGCCACCAAAACCAGGAGATTGTAAATCACCAATAGGGCTGAAGATACTGGTTCCAAAAGCGCTGTTGAAGGGCTGTCTTTCGCGATCGGGAGTACCGACCGAAGGAGCAGTAGGCCATCCTCCGAGGGTGTTGACGGTCGGGAAGCCCTTGGCGCCAACACTCGAAGTTTGGCTGCGGTCGCTGCCATCAAAAGGGGCACCCCCAAAGGCGCGAGACAGGGTGCTAAAGTTGGACTGCGGCTCGGACCCGGCAGCGTTATGGGTAAGTCGATCGATCTCGGCGTCGTCATGGCCCTCATCGCCACGCTCGGCTAGCGGGCTGCGATACGGGTTCGTTTCAGAGGGGCTGGCGGGCCCGTTTCCCTGCTCGCTCTGGTTGTTGCCGAGATTGAGAGCCGACATGCCGAAATCGCCGCTGTTACCCTTGACAGGAGTATCGAAGACGCCGCTGCGCTGGAGAGACGACGCGGGCGGACTGTTGTCCTGCGCCCCGCCGAGGATGGCGCTGCCGGTCAGACTGTCGTCAGGCCCAAAGGGGTCAGTATCAGTACGCTGGCGGGGTCTCCAACCACGGTTGGTATCAGTACCGGGAGCAGACTCGTTTCCCTTATTGGCAGCCACATTCTCGTTTGAGTCTTTGGGAATCAAATGGGCTAGACGACTACCCCCCGTGCCGCCGAAACGCTTTTCCCCGATCGCAGACGTGGTGTTCAAGGCAAAGCTACCAAAAGCACCGATGCCCGCGCCAGGGGTGGTCGCGGCGGGACCCCACAGCGAGGCAGAGCTGCCAAAGGCACTGGACCCAGCAGTATTGGACCTAGTGAGACCGAAGGGCTGCGTTCTCGTCGGAAGGGTCTCTTCGGCGGGTTCGTCGGCGATGGACTCCCTCAGATCGGTGTTCCGGCGAGGGAGCCAGGGATCGTCTCGAGGGAAACGGCCGGCAGTGGTCGGGGAGGCAACGGCCGAGCTCGGAAAGGGATTCGTGTCGACGGTCTCGCGGCGTCGGGTGGCGGGTCTCGAAGCAGTGGCGGGCGAAGCTGTGGAGAAGTTGCTCGTGTTGGCGCTAATGGAGGTCTTGCGTCCGCCGTTCTGTATACCCTGCACGCCCTCCTTGTTCTGCTGCTGGGGCGGCTTCAAGGTCGAGTTCACGTCGGTGGCAAACATGTCGCGCTCCTCCGCAGTCATGGGCTCGAGGCCGATGGGCTTGACGGTGCCGTTCGGATCCCAACAGACGGTAGGATCTTGGGGGACATGCGGGGAATCGCTGGTCTTGCCCCACACGCGCGAAGCTGTGCCGTTAGTCTGGTTGGGATTCCACGAGGGCGCAAAGAGGGACGACATGTCGATGTTGTTGGCTGCCTCGGCACTATGCTTGTAGATCTCGTAGAGTTCGTCCTTGGAGTAGCGGAGGGGACCCGTGTTCTGCTGCTGCTGGTGCTGGTCGGGCGCGGGAGGAGCGGGTTGCGAAGCGGCGCTGATGCTGTTGATGCTGTTGCTGTCTAGAGCGGGGTTCTGTGTGGCATCAGTCGGGTTGCTAGCGGCAGCAGACTGGTTGTTGAAGGGGGTGGTGGATGAGCGGCGGAAGGTTCTGGTGCCGTTCGAACGAGCCCTGGAGATGTGGTGACGTGTCAGCGGCTGGTGTTCAGTTCGTATTGAGGGTTGTTTTCACTAGCGATGATGCGATGGTAGGGATCAGAATGGAGGAGGATGGAGGGGTAGGGCAGGGTAGAGAGGAAAGAGATAGACGTGTCTCGTGTCTGGCGAAGTGGGAAGATATTTCATCTATCTCTGCCCTGGTTTCTGCCACATGAGAAGGAAGAGATGGAAGAAGATGCCCCTCCGTCCTCATCTCTCTCTCTCTCTCTCTCTCCCTCTCCCCTCCACGCAAGAAGACAACTGGACCGGAGCTAGTACTGATCCATGCTTCAAGTGTAGATGGTGTATACTGCATAGCATAGGTAGAGGTAGGTAGACATGGGCTGGATGCTCACCATTCGCCGCTGCCCGCACCTCGGACGGAATCGCCTCGGGCACCGGATCTGGCGTCTCCTCTGGTGGTTTGGCCGGCGGCCGCAGAGGCAAAGCTCGATGGTAGCTGCGTAGGCATCTTGATTGAGGAAGATGGTGATGATGAAAATGATGCTAGTGGTGGTGGTGACGGTGGACAACGTACTGCTCGTAGCGCGTGTGTGTGTGTGTGCGTGTGCAAAGCGAGGAGATTGTGGTAGTGGTGGTGGCGGTGGTGGTGGAGGTGGACGAGTGGAAAAAAGGTCAATTGACTGGACTTTGACTGACTTGGACTCTTGCGAAGAAAAGAAGTCTGCACTGGCGCTTGGCTTTGCTGAGACTGCGTGAGGAGCGAGGTCAGAGTTGGTGGGTGGGTGTCCAGTGTAAAAAGGCGTAAAATGCGACAATTATTCGCGGTGGGTTCAGGGCGAAAATGGTGCAAAAGACTGGGGGATCCATACGGTAAATTTGTCACTGCTTGGTATCAAAGCTTGAAACTTTCGCGACTGGGGCGCCGGGGTTGCGCTTTGCAGATTTCAGCACGCGGTGACTGGTGACGACGGTTTGCAAACTTTCAACGACGCCCCCCCATTGGCCCATGGTCGGATTGACCCAGTAATTTCGCCCGCTGAACGCCCCGTGTGCCGACTGGACTTTCCCCAGCGAGGCCGAGCTCTCCACCTTTTTCATCAGGAAACGTGACTTGGCCCGTGACGTCTTTGATTCGATTCGAGGCCTGGTCAGTTGTTGCTGATGTACCTCGCTAACAATTTGGTCCAACACACCCCACGATCCATCCATCATCCAAGGACCTCTTCTGTATCTCCTTTTCTCATCGCTTGATGAAGTTGTTTCCTACCTCTCACACACACAATAGACGCCTTCTCTCCCCGCTCCCCCCGCCATCGTCAAAGCGTGTGCATACAATCTCCCAGGCAACATTCGAGGTTTATCCCGTCATGAGCTGCATGAACCACTCAAGCCTCACACAAGACTTGACAAACAGTGTAGTCACCACGCTTTGTTTACCTCTTCGCGAACTTTCGTAAACCCCTGAAACGCGTCTGGCCTTCGTGTTTGCGATTCTTTGGTCATGGTTACCTCACACATCAACACCACTAAAGCTGAGAGCAGTGTCCATGATACTCAGTGACTTCTCGTTATTTGCCCAGCCCCGGCCTGATTTTATTGCGATCTCGAAAAAGACACGCTCTCATTGGCCCGTCATACTGTTTCGAATAACCCTGGTTTTCTCGTCGCCGCTTCCCTGCCAGACATTGCTCGCAGATGGTCCTCCGACGTCGAGAGTCGCGGAACTGACTCAGGTCGAACCAAGATCCTCCTTCAACATCTCCCATGGTTGTGTCAAGTCAAGAACTACTACAGAGGATCTCATTCCTCGGATTATATTGTGTTTAACGAGCCAACAAGGGAACCATCGACCTGACCGCTCATCACTAATTGTTATCGCATCATCCCCGCCAGACCGCAAGGCTGAACCAACAGATGATCAACAATCGATCAACCATACAACTCATGTTATGAACATGGGGTAACACCGCATCCCTCCGCGGTGCTACACTCTCATAAGAGGCCCATTGTCCAATGAACGGGTCTTACAGCCTCAGGAACCGTTCAAAGCTGACAGGGGACAGACACCAACCTTGTTGGTGCTTATCAATCTTCAGCCATCCCGTCGGCATCCTTCACGATAACCGAGCCCTTCCGTGCCTCGCGCTAACATAACCTTAACGACCAACAACCTTTTGCAGGGGAGGTTGATACGTCATGACGGTCATGTCATCCGGCATTTCCAAAATAAGCATCAATACTCGAGGGTGATCACTCATCCGGCACCTCTCGAACCTTATATCCAAGCATCTTATTCGACTCAACCGCATTTTCATCCACCAACTTCTTCGCCGTCTCTACTCCGGCCACCGGGACACGATATTCGAACTTCTTTCCTCCCTCTCCCGGCTGTCCATCCGGCAACGCATACGGAAATGGTAGGTACTCGGGCAACAGTCCTAGCTGTCTGAGGACGGTCCCCTGGTCCCAAGCAATGTGCTCGTGGTATAACCTATCGCCGCGGACGTTGACGATGCTCGTGAACGGGATGCTTACCTTGCGGTGGGTTGGGGGGATGCCGGGGATTCTGCCCTTCCGTTAGACCTGCTGTTGCATGAAAGCGAAGGGAGACGCAGGCTGATACTCACAACCAATCAACCACCCTGTTGTGAGTAAAGTTGAACAAGAATTCATCAACAATCCGATCGATGCCCACCGTCCGGCTCACCAGTTCCAACTGCGCGTCTTTCGCATTACTGTGGATGAAGTGGTCCCGATAAAACTTGGTCAAGTTTTCCCTCCCAATGCCACCCGTTAGCGTCGGGATGTGGTTGACGTAGGGCTGGTCAACCATGGTGGCCATGGTCTTGTCAACGCTGCGATCCTCAAACTCGTACTTTGTGTGCTCGTCCCAGATGGCTTCCAAGTCAAAGTAGGGTCCTCCAAGCAACGGCTTCATAAAGGCGAGGGAACGGGTGTGGGCGACGGAGGCGGCGCTTGAGTTGAACCCTACGCACCAAGGGAGTGCAAAGTAATCGAACATCTTCAAGTTAGGGTAGTAGTGACCCTTGAAATTTTTGGGATCTTCCCCAAACATCTTGATTTCGCCCTCGGAGCGCTGGAAGACCGGGCTGGGTACGTGCGCGAGAATGGGGACTGAGGTATCTCTTGCCCACAAGGGGTTAAAGGGGCCGTAGTATACGCAAGAGACAATGCGAGGGTTGGCGGCGAGGGCGGAGGCGATGCGGTCGGAGCCGCCTCCCCCGTGCACTAAATCAGTGGCATGCCACTCAGCTCATGCCGTCGCGGTGTTCGCCCACCTCGCTCCTGGTGCCTTTACAGTTCACAGCATCAGGGTACACATGTCAAGTCGAGACCGAGAGCGACTAGAGGGTACTACTTACCAACAAGACCAACCTTCTCCACCCCCTCGCACTCCTTGACCTTCTCAAGTTCCGCCACTGCTCTCCTAAGCAAATCCCCAAAGTTCCCTGACGAATCCATGTCATCAAAAGTGACCTGCACAACCGCGTATCCCTCTTCAGCCCATTTCTTGAGCGGCCCGGGGTCTAGCGTTTTTGGGCTTTGGTCTTCATTGGCCTTTATGATACCATATTCGAGGGCGAAGTGGTTGGCAGACTCGACTCGCTTCGCACACGGCACGGCAAGGATTAATCCAGGTCCCGTTCCCCGACGAGTGAGCGGGGACTGGATGGTGATCTCCGGTGAGATTATGATGGGTTGGGCGTTAGGGAGTGACATTTTCACCTTCTTCCCACAATGAACGGCTTGTATGGGTTCCGGATTGAGGACGGGATGTGGATGTGAACTCGGAACGGGGTCGGACGTTGGCAGTCGGGAAGGATGACAGAATCGGAGTGAGATGCGTAGAAGAGGAACGGGGATCAGCCGGTCGCGGATCTTGGTGTTGGACTGTGAGAGATCCACGTTTCACACTGCTGGTTCGGCCAGATCCGTGACTTTCCCCGCTCACGTTGGATTGGCGGAGAGGGTTACATCCGAGTGGAAATGCGGTTGGCGGGTCATGACGGCCCGTCTCGATTGACCAACGGTTCATCGTGTTACGGTGGCGGTCCTTGACGACCTAGTGTGGCAGAGGTAGAGGTGGTAGTGTGGGGGTCAACAGCAGGAACACTGCCACTCGCTACTCCCTCTTTACACTACTATCTCTTGGAGAGGCTCTGAGGTTATCTTCGTCTCCTCTTCTCGCTTCCTCGCGGGCTTCATAACTCATAGCGACTACAACAGTTTTCACTTTCCCCACGATTACACAAAATGATATGTTCGGTTTGTTCAAATTTGGCCCTTCAACTCAATACCAGACCTTTGTCTACCATCAGATTTTCAGAAACAAACCCTCACGGCTACCATGTATTCGTCTGGAAGACTGTCCGACAACTCCTCGAAGGCGATGCCTATCAAAAGTGCGACCTGTGCAAGGCGCTTGTCCGTGTCGTTACGTTGGACCGATTGAACGAATTTGTACAAACCAAAGAGACAAAAGAGCCAATTGTAGTCCAACCGCTAGAGTTGGATGAAATTTGGGCATGTGCCGATCCGCCTCCTGACATATTCCGACGGGCTACGTTCATTTTTCCAGATGATTTCGGGCAGTACATGTTTCCAATATGGCGAGGTAGGTACACCTACCTACCTACCTCTACTTACCTGCAGTTGCACCTATCTCCCATCTTCGCAAGTTGTTCTGTTACTCGCATTGAATCTAACCATTTCCACCTACGTACCTACCTACACTTAGAGCTTGCAACAGAGCAAAGCAGTTCGCCAACTTTGCTCGTGGGCAACTGTAACACCGTCCATCACTCTCCATCCCAAGAGGTTACGGCTGGAACAAAACCTTTATCCCATCTCTTCAAGGGGGTGTGGTGGAATAGGCCTATTATGGACACCAGAGGACCAGAGACTGTTGCCCAAATGAGGTCTTGGCTGTGGCAGTGTGTCGACGATCATCCAAAGTGCAGAACCGCACTCTCGGGTGAAATATTTGGTTTTGGTTCCCAGAACTCATCCTTGGATGTGAGCAAGCTGCCTTTCCGGGTCCTTGACGTTGGGTCTCCAGGATCACTTCTTGTCAAACTCGTCGAAACCACCACGGAAACGCCCAGAGCTCCCTACGTTGCGCTCAGCCATTGTTGGGGTCCTCCAGACAAACAACCACTCAAGACTACGCTTCATACGATAGGGGATCACATGCACCCGGGTATCCCGCTTGATCGCCTTCCACAAACTTTTGCGGACGCTGTGTGGGTCACCAGAGAGTTGGGAATCCGTTACCTATGGATTGACTCTCTGTGCATCATCCAAGACAGTCCGGCGGACTGGGAAACAGAGTCACAGAAGATGGGTTCCATCTACGAAGGGGCGACACTCACATTGGGAGCTGCGTATGCTCGCAATTCCTCCGAAGGGCTTTTCAAAGGTCTTCAGAGACCGGAGCCGGAGCAGATCGTCAAGGTCTACACGCACGTGGGAGGTCATTCAGACCCGGCATCCTTTGTAACCTGTTTTCTTGTCGTGCCGGACTGGCCTGACAGCTCGCCGTGGTCCAACTGCCCCCTGGCCAAACGCGCTTGGGTGATGCAAGAATGGAGCCTCTCCCGCCGCTTTCTATGGTCTGAAGAGAAATCATTGTACTGGAAGTGTCGAGAAGCAAACAAGGTGGAACCCTACGTCGACGACCTGATTTTGGCTTGGTATGCATCTCATGGGGTCGACGACTGGAAAAGGTTGATGAGCTCCTATTCAGGGATGCAGCTCACTTATGAGACTGATAGACTGGTTGCCCTTCTTGGTATTGTAGCAGCCCTCAAAACCTATAAGAGGAAAGATTTAGAATACAATCGATTCGGCATATGGCTGGGAGCACGCGACACACTCGGCTCGCTATTATGGGAGATGAGCAACGACCTTGTTGACTCGCCCGGGCCGCGTCTTCCCGGGATCCCTTCCTGGAGTTGGGCATCTATAGTTGGCGATAAACGGTTTGCCAGCGTGTGGCCTCACGACACCGATCGGTACTATTACGACAGCCGAGGTATAACTGCAAAAAACAACGGAACCGAGCTTCACCTTTGCGCACCGATAGGCGTGGTTCAGCTTTGTCTGTCGAAGAAATACACTGCGCATCCTGCAGCAGGGAAGGCAAGCCGTTATCGAAAAATGTCAATTTATTGCACAGACTCAAGGCTCAATGAACTTCGGAAAATGGGGAGCGTAACCCTCGACTATACGATTGACGTACGCAGTTGCCCTCCACCGTCTGCCTTCACGCGTCATGTCATTCCGTTCATCAGAATATGCGAAACCAGGAAAGTAATTGATTATATGTTGGTCGTCGAACCTGCAACCATGGCAGATGGCAGGAAGGCCTATCGACGAGTAGGAATGGGTGCTGTTGAGAATATGTTGGGTCTTCCATGGAATTCCGTGTTGGACTGCTGGAACAAGATTCTCTCTGAGATGAAGATGGAGGACATCGTCCTTGTTTGACACGGTACTACCTTGCCGCAATGATGAGCGGGGACATTTTGGATCAATTTTTCCTGTGTCTTGTTTTTGATTCGCGTTGGTCTAGTGTGGGAGAACTACATGTTACCATGTTGTGCTGCCAGGTATGTTTTGCTCTTGCGCCCTTCTGAACTGCTATTTTATTTTGTCTTGCACGTTTCCTCGTGTGGTTTTCAATTTTTTTTCTTCTTTCCCTGTTGAAATTCCCTGCGGCAAAGGTACCGTATGGTGGGGAGGGGAAGAAAAAAAAGACGTTGCTGGGGAAACCTCCTCCTATCTCCGTCTTCACGCCTGACCGAATGCCTCAGATTCGGATCTAGGGGCGTCTTTGTCGGACATCCGTGGCATGCATTAACAATTCCTGCATTACATTTCGATCCAAACACGTTCCCAAAGCCATATATATAACGGTGTCTTCTTTCACCACTTCCATTCTTTTCTTTTCTTTTCTTTTCTTCTCTTCAACCAATTCAGGCATTCTCACCTCCATTGTACCAATACACGTGGTACTGCATGCTCAGAGAACCTCGACACAGGTCCTAGGAATGTCAAACGCCATTTGTTTCTAGGTATGTTTCGTCGTTGCATTCCTTCTTCTCACTTCTCGAAAAAAAGAGACGAGCGGGAACATCCGAAGTCCGCGTGCCTCGGCCCACCGACATCCATGATTGACACTCCCGTTCGGCTCCCCGCACCCGGCCTGTCTGTTTTAGTGTCAAGCACAAATTGCTCCCTCGGGACCCGAGACTGTCCGATCAGGGGCCATTACTCAGCGGGACATTTTCCAAAAGAGGATCAACTTGCGAATGAGAGTTTCGACTGTTGAACGCTTTGACAGCATGCATTATCCGAACCTAAAATGGAGGCGCCAAAACGTGGGAAATGGCCATGTAGCACGGGATCCATTCAGGGAACCAGGATCAAGCTGTGCTTGGCGGGCTGGAGCGGGAGGTAAACACCACATCTGGTCCTAAGGCCGCCAAAAGTGTTGGACGATAGCCCCGGCCGGTCTTGCCGACGAGATCTTAGCGAACTTGGCTGTGTCTTAGCAGCTCCACAAAGGATGGCGGTCTCCCCCTGTTGAGTGGCATGAGGGCGGGCCATTTTTTGTTCCTGCTTCCCGAAAGCCTCAACGAAACCCACCTGACCACACCCTTTTCGTGCTTTTCGTTCCTGCTTCTTCTTCTTCTTCTTCTTCTTCTTCTTCTTCTTCTTCTTCTTCTTCTTTTTCTCCTCTCTTTCCCTTTTCTCATCGTCGAAGAGCTGTACACACGGACACGCCAAGACAGCCTCTATTCGGTCGATCGGGACAACACGAGAGCCTCAACTCACTCAGTCACTCACTCACTCACTCGCTGCCTAGCTCCAGTCACTCACCGACACCAGCCCAGAAAGACCGTGCCCCGTTACCACAAACAGCCAACCTCGTATCATTATCGCCAAAATGTGGACAATTGTTGCCCGCTTTGTTGAGGCCGCCGCCTCCGTCTCCCACTACGTCCGTGAGGAGCCCTGCGCGACCGGCCTTCACATGATCGTCGCCCGCGGCAGCACTGAAGATCCCGGTCTCGGGCGGATCGGCGTTGTCGCCCGGAACGTCTCCCTGCTCATTCCCGGATCGACCATTTCAGCCATCGACTATCCCGCCACTTTGGAAAACTACACCACCTCGGAGGAGAAGGGAGCCATGGGCTTTGAGAAGATGCTCATTGAGTACCATGAGAAGTGCCCGGACACCAAGGTGGCCCTGCTGGGCTACTCCCAGGGCGCGCATGCCATGATGGACTCGGTCTGTGGCGGAATCCCTGGAGAGGGCTCGGATTATCAGGCTAGCAAGGGATACCTGGAGGTGTTCAACGAGTCGGGTATGTGTTTTTCGCCCACTTCACTTCCTCTCATCCATCATCTTTGGGGTCAACAACTGGGGACTTGCAAACCTTGTCCGAACATGACATGAAGCTGACATGAGACATTGAACAACAGTCGTTGCGGCCGTCGCCTACGGTGACCCAAGCCACACAGCGGGCGCTCCCTGGAACCTTGGCACCAGCACAAAGACTGGCGTAAGTCTCTCCCTTTGTTCCAGCTCCTCCATTTCCCTGATTCACTGTATTGACACCGATACCCCAGATCTTCCCCCGCAACGACACCACCTCATGCCTGCCCTTCGCTTCGCACATCGCCTCTTGGTGCGACACGGGCGATATTTACTGCGATTCTGGCTCGTCCCTCACCGTGCACGGCAGTTACTTTGCCAACTACACCATGGATAGTGTCAAGTGGATCGTTGAGAAGTACAAGACCTCGGGTGGTAGCTCGACCTCCACTGATTCTACTCCCTCGTCCACGTCGACTGGTGTTGCTGTCCCCACTGGATCTGGAACAGCCACTGGGGGTGCGGCTGCTAGCGCTTCTGCTTCGGGCAAGCCTGCTGAGGGTGCTGCGGTTAGCGTGAGGGGATCGGGTGTGATGGTTCTGGCTGGTGTTGTTGGTGCTGTCGGTATGGGTCTTGGTCTCTTCTAGAGCTGAGTGGATGAGTTCAGGTTGGGAGGGCGAATGGAAGTGATTGACCTACAAAAAATGGATTGGATACCTCTACGAGTAATGATCGGACGGGGGCACAGGATATATGCCTTTAATTTCTAGTAAAAATTCCAGTTCATGAACGCACTTATTACCTACCACTACCTCTAGAGGTAGAACTCATGTTGGATGCAAATCAAGTTTGGTTAGACAAAATACATAGGAGGTAGTCTTTCTTCAGGGCATGGACCCTGCATTACAGCATCGTGCTGTGCATCTCCCGTATTTGAGGGCCATGCATCAAGCATGCTGTCCAACACCAAAAGCCGTAAGCACGAGCCTCAGCCACATCATGTGCATGCCGTTATCTCTCAACACATGCATGTGCAGAATCTGGAACCCAATCCCAACTCAAGCGGCATCCACCAACTTCTTCACAAACGCCAACGCCTGCTGTCCATACTTGTTGACATACTGCTGATGCGAGTTCGCATCATTCCCATTGCAGCAATACGGATCAGTCGAGTCGCAATAGCTCTGGATAATCGACGGACTCGCAGGGGAGCACTGAAACCCGCTGGGGCGAGCCGCAAACTGTTACACGAGGGCATAGTCGTCAGCATCTTCACTGCTCTTCCATCTCACCTTACTTCCCCCTCCACATTGATTATATCGACTTACCCCCTTCGCCCTACACGTCCCAACATTATACGGCAACCCCACCACATTATGCGGATCCCCCATAAAGATCGCCGCCTTTACAGCCCTAAGCGCATTCCCCGTCAGTGTCGCCCCCGCCCCTCCACACAGCGCATTATCCATAATCTGTCCGCCCTGACTATACCCGACCAGCACGATCTTGGTATCCGGGCACCTGCTGTTCAAGTTCGTCACGGCTCTCACCACCGCCGCGGTCCCCTGCGAGGCACTGTTGTCATAGGACACGCCCCCGCACGAGGATTGTCCGCCGCAGGCGGGGTACACGATGGCTTCCTTGGTAGAGCCGGGGTAGGCGGCGGCGATGCTGTTGACGAGGCCGGCTGAGGTGCCGTAGCCTGCCGGGGCGGTGGTCTCGCGGGCGCCGAAGATGTGGACCTTGGGACAGGATTGACGGTCTTGGAGAGGGCTGGCGGAGGCGAGGATGGGGATCTGGAGGAGGGCGAAGGTGGTGGTGAGTTTCATGGTGAGAGGAGGGATGGTAAGTTGATGGGAATTGTGAGTCTGTGGCTTGTAGGGATGTGAATAGAAATTCCACCTGAAGGGAACTGGACCTGGACCGCTTTATATCCTGAATGTTCATGACCTGAGTCAAGACGAGTGCCGGCATAAAGGAATATACAACGGGGAGATGGGAGTTTCGGCGGGAAATCTACCTCCATCAATTATTTCACGGCTAATACCTTTGGATTCAACGTGGCTTCGTGGTTTTGTTTCAAGTCCATGTCACTCGTCCGATTCATGGAAGATCTGCACTGGAAGTGGTGATTCCTTGCACGGAACAGCATCGAAGTGCCGAGATATTGATTGCTTTGTGGGGAAGGCACTTCCGTTGTGGCTAAATGCGCTTCCCCATGGGGCAGGGCGATCTTGCCATTTATCCTAAATCTGGCATAACGTTCTTACGACTTGTTACTCCAGTCGCTCAATCACAGATGGAAACAATACTGAGCATGCAGGTCACAACCTTGCATGGACCGGAGGAGGCATGAGTTTATGGACTGAAGTTTGATGAGAAGTAGCGAAAAAGAGGATTGAATTTCTCATGTTCAAGTGGAAGGGAACAGCTGCTTCTACAGTCACCTCGATCTCGGTTGAGGGCATGTACAACCCACACCAAGCGGTCGCAATCCCCGTGGCCCTTCCCTTGGCTATTGAAGAAACAAAGCAAGGACCGAATTCTCGCCAAATCATATTCCAGGTTTTTTTTTCTTCTTTTCTTTTTTTCGTTTTTTTTTTCTTTTCTTTCTTTTCTTTTTTCCGTATGAGACACTCCACGCATCTCGATTTTCCTTGAAAAGCTCCTCCGTATGGTTCGATTTCAGATGTAAGGTAGGTATGCTTTGCACTTTAGGATTCTTGAGCCAGGACATAACATAGGTACCTCTACCTTGGTCTTCTTCTTTTTGTTGACCTTGTTCGACGCGCTAACAGGCAATGACTGCGATGACCAGATTCGTAGCAGGCCTTGGAACCACTAGGTCCGGTCTTCTCAGATTGATAGGTACCCTCTACCTCGAGTCATGATGATCCGGCCGTTGGTAACACAGACGGGGCGTTTGTGGCGCGGTAAAGTTCCTACCTCCTTTAGTCGGGGCTCGGCCGCTCGAGAGGCACTGCATTGAAAGACTCGGACTCGCAGACGAAAAGGCGCTCGCCCAACACGTGGCTGCTGGTTCTGGATGAACTGTAAGATCAGACTGAAGATTTCGAGAAGATTTAAGATGGGCTGGCGTGGACAGAGTAAGTGTTAGGGGGATATCAATCGTACAGGTAGCATGGGAGTGAGATGATAACTTCTTTCTAACATAATAGCAACAGTCTCTCGAAAGTCCATCCCTCGACTATTTTCCAAAAAATGCTCGAACATCTCGGTATCATGGATCAGGAGGCCGTCCCAACCGAAGCAGCCACATCCAGCCCTTCAACTATACCCATTTATCAGCCATGAGTATCTTCATGGACGGCGATCGTGATAACCTATTATATGTTCGGAATTGCTCGATTCTGGTTTCGGTCAGAGGACCTTTGGAGCAGGTTCCCTACTAGTACAGAAATGTATCCGGAATGATGTGTCGGGAACCGAGTTGAGGAGATAATGCCAGATGGGGATGCCAATCGCTTTGCCTTTGCCCCTTTCCCTTTGTTGTTGGCTGAGTGGAAAGTGCATTGGTGGCCTGGCTTCTGGTCGGGTACCTTATTACGGCACTGGGTGTTTTTATTCTGGGTTTTTAATCCTTGGACTTACTCTTCTATTTCTCTCCTCGCCCCATTGAATCCCTTCCGCCGACCTGTGTGCCCTGCTGTGACGACTGGACGTGGCATGTTTGGCCGCCTCACCAGCACCATCTCGCTCGCACTAGAACTTCGGGGTTGTGCCTCCATGCATGCACCCCCCAAGCTCCAAGGTTCGGTTGCCGCAACATGCGCCCCAACCGTCCCCAAACCCAAAGAAATGAGCTTTGCGTTGCTGGAACAACGGCAACAGCTGACTTCAAGGCACAGCCAGCAAAAGGCTGACCTTTGAAGAAGCAAAGTCTGCAACATCGTGCAGCTCCGGCAGTACAAGCAATCGGATTTTACGCTCGACCATCATGAACGAACAAAGTTGTAGGAGCTGGCAACGTCAACCGTTTCCCGTACTCCCTTTGAACTTCAACTCGAAAGCGCGGACAGCCGGCCGGGTCCGAGCAGCACTCGCCGTTCCTGCCTCTGCTGTCCCATTGTTGTTGCTTCGCGCTCCTTCTCGTAAGTCCCGCATCCTTTCCTCAATTTGAGCCCCTGCTGACTTCCTTTGCGACCAGAAACCGAAAGAATCATAATGTCGTCCCCTACTGCGCCGCAGACCCCCGGCCCCAGTGCCCGTCGCGGCCGCCCGCCCGGCTCGCGTAATAACACTCCTTCTGTCGCTCGCATTCGCGAGCTGGAGGTCGCCGCCCGCGAGGGCCAGGCCGCGGCCACCCAAGCCCAAGAGGCGTACGTGAAAAGGCATTGCAGAAGTCATCCACTTTCAGCTCCAAGCCATGAGATCGAGGCATGAGACTGAGTGACTTTTACCATAACTGGGCGGAGGGAGCACCAACATGAACACCCATTATGAAAAACGTGCCGGCTTGGTTCCCTATCTTCGACGCCCAGCAGATTATCGCCATGGGATCACTGCACAAATTGAAGTTGAATTATTGTCATTTCCTTTCCAAGTAGGTAAAAACCCCGCGCACTAACACACACCGGACACTCGACTACGTGCTATGAAAGCAGGCGTTGCAACTCGACCCACGTCTCCCTTTTCCTCGTCCGGCTGATGCAGTAAAGCCGCATTTCGCTACAAGTATCCAGGATTCTTCGAGCCAGCTCCTCCTTTACCTTGGTCATGGTATGGTCTCTCATCGACGTGGCACTTGCTGCGATGTATACGTCGCCGATCAACACGGCTTTCACGTTCGTGTTGTCGTCTGATGGGAACCATCTCACACCCATACTTTCCTCAAGACACTTGGCTGTGAGGATGTCCTGGTAAAGGGTAGGTGACCGAAGTTGTGAGACTTCTGGCTTGGGCGGCCACTGCGGAGTGGAAGTATGTGTTGTGTTGGCCACCAGGGACATTTGGGTGTCGGCCGGCTTGCCTTTGCCGTTGGGATCGCTTGCGTCTGTCCGGGCCCGCTTGGTGCCACGGGACGAGCTTGAACCCTTACCTGAGCCTCAAGCGGAAGCTTACAGGTGTCTTGCGGGGGGAGGATAAAGGCTGTGGGTTTGTCTCAGTAACTGCGGCCTCAGCCTGGTTGTAGTTCTGAGCTGTTTTGTGCGGGGATGGTGGTGTTGAGGTGCTGACGCTCTCCTCCAGTTGTCGCTTTCGTGATCGCGGGTTGCGATCCTCTTCCTCTTTCAATCTCTGCTCCAGGTAACGGGCCCACCGCTGGTCTGGGTTGGGACACAGCTCCTCGCAAAAAGCCCGGAGCGGCTCTGCAGGGCTTCCTTGGCCATATGGGAAGTACTTCTTCCATAGTGCCGTGGTGATGTGGCACTCCATGGCACCCTGGGAGATCGGACTTCTGACTTCTTCGTCCTCGTAGAGTGTTCTAAGAGCGACTTGTTGCGCCTCCTGGGTCGCTTCCAGGAACTTGCGAGGATTTTTGAACTCAGGCTCAACTCGGTAGAGTCCCTCCTTCACCGTGCCGTCGAGCATGTCAGCGACGCGCTTGAAAGCAGGTTTCTGGTTGTCTTGGTGATTCATCTTGGGGGTGGTTATATCTGAAATAGTGTCAGTTTCGGCATGATATCTGGTGAACGATGTACTTACAATGGAGACCTGATGTTAAGACCTGATGTTAAGACGTCTGAGAAGTGGGTATAAGCAAAGCTGGAGGCGTGGACTATATTGCCAGAGGCTTTGCTGGGACAACGATGAACGCAGACAGTAGCTCGTGTGAAAATGAAGAAAAATTATTGGAAGGAAACAATTTATAGAGGGTTGCGGAAAATCTGAACCCCACTACTTCTGGTGCCTCCCAGACAAGTGAAGTGAATGTGGTCTCTTGTACAAATGGAGGAGACACCAGTTACTGGCCCCGCTGTTTAACGTGCCTGCTATAATGGGCCTGTCCGGTACATGTAGGATGCTCGGTCGGACGATGTTCAGCCAACTGCACTGTTCACTTCCTTCACTAGGTGCCTACCTCTACCCATTCACGCCAGGCAGAACCTCATAGTTCCGGACGAAACAGTAACATGATACACCTGTAGGCTTCCATGATTCTTCTATTGCTAAGCGGGAAGTTAAGTGAGAATGGTGTAGTGCAGGGGCATGGGCAACTTGCTATTATCCACCCAGGTGAGATAAACGGCTGCTCTTATATAATACCTCTGGACTCAGGTACAGTTTGACTCAATCCTCTATTCTATCAAATTCCTAGCAAACGTACCTCTAGGTAGAGGTACCTGTACATGTGACCTTACCTCTATGATTGTAGGGCGAAATAATCTGGCACACAACGCATCTCGTTTCACGCAAGGACACTTGGGGAAATAGAGGTAATGAAGTCACAGACATCTTAAAACGGCCATCGCACTACCTCTATCTCCAGTTAACAACCCACAAACACGGCCATAAACGTACAGTCATTCCCATTAATAAATCTAGGGACTCAGACCCCAGTCGCCTATCCCTTAGGCCTTGCCAGTCTGAGCACCAGCAGCAGCACCCTCAATCAACGAAAGCAAACCATCAACCAAAGTCCTGCAAATGGTTCCGGGACCGCAACCCGCAGCGACACCACCATCAGCCGCCCCGCCAGCCGCATCACCGGATCCCGCAGCCGGAGCGGCCGAGGCAGCCGGCGTTGCGACATCCTTGTTATCACCCGCCGGGGCGGCAGGCGTAGCAGCGGCGGTTCCATCGGGCACGAAAAGCGCATACTCGCCCACCAAATCCGGAACCTTGGTCGCCACCTCATTCTCATCCGCTTCAAACTCGGTCTCGCCCACACCATCGCCAATCACGAAACTGTTGGTCTCCTTGCAGAGCTTGCCCAGCTTTGCCTGGCTGATGTCGACGGTGGAGTTGGCGTTGCGGATGTAGTCGATTTTGGAGAGGGTGAGGCCCTTGGAGGCACCGCCGCCTATTTCGACCTTGTAGGAGACGGGTTCAAGGGCTTTGAAGCCCGGAGGAGCGGCGGCGGGGGTCTTGTTCTCTGTTACGCGGAGTTGGCGGGCTTCGGGGTTTTTGAACTCTACTTCGAAGGCGCCGACGGTCTGTGTTGTTGGTGGTTAGCTGGGTACCACTCACTGGGGTGTTGTGTGCAACTGTATGACATAGTTGCGGGTGAGTGAAGCGGGTTAGGTGACAAAAACTTACGCCGGCGGGGAATTGAGTGTCGGTTTTGACGTCACCACCTCCAAGAGTGATGACGGTGTTGAACTTGCCGGCTTGCTCGACTTCGTTCTCGTCCTCCTCTTCACCTTCTTTATCTCCGGTGCCGGCACCAACGGTAGCAGTGGCTTGAGCCGCGGTCGTGGTAGTGGCCGAGGCAACACCGGAAGCAGTTGCAGATGCCACGGCAGTGGAGGAAGCAGCAGCTTCCACGGCTTCCCTCTTGGGATGGGGGAGAGCCGCGACGGACAAGACCTGGAGGGCCAGGATGAGGCTAGCTTGGAACTTCATTCTGAATGTTTGGGTTGCTGTTTGTTTTGTTTTGTTTGTGGCTTGTGAGTGGGTGGTTGGGATATATCCAGCGAGCGGTCTCGAAACTTGATCAAAAGTTTACAAATGATGATATCGGAGAATGAATGTCGGGGCCAGCCACCGAAGAAAAGAACAAACGGCAATTTGAAGCGAAAGAACCCTGTGAAGAAGAAGATGATGATGATGTCTGTGATGAGCAGTAGTAGGTGAACAGATCGTCCCAAACAGATGTGGATCGCCGTATATATACATGTTTCTATCCACTCGATGGCCAAGAAGATCTAGCATCGCTTAGTCGACACGATCCAGAACTCTGTCTATCATCTCATCAACCTCTTAGAGGTAACCATCATCACCATTTCGAGGTTGTATCCAAACCATACTGACACCCGCCAAGATAGAGTCAAGACCTTACCGAGTAAGAAGTCTGTGCACACCAAGTTAGGTCTCTCTGCGTGAATGAATTGGTTGGGTGTAGTGGTGATAGGGCTGTCGTTATGATATTGTCGCAGGTGTGCTAGGTAGGGTAGGTAGTAGTAGTAGTAGTAGTGAGTGGTACTATCTATTTCAATCTGAATGAAACGGATATACATGATCCCTACAGGTATGGTTGAAATCGAGTACTATGTCGTGCGTGCTCGTGTTCTGGGAGTTGTAGATCCCAGAAAAAGGTAAGGTAACTTCTAACCGAGTCTGGATCTAATTGAGGAAGTAGATCCGGAAAGTTGGGCCGAATTCGTCAAGGTAAAACGGACAAAGAGAGGAAGTTGTTTGATGTCAAAAGTGGAGCTGCTAGGGGCTGCCAAGAAAAGGGGTTTGTTTACTTGTGTCAGTGCGTATGTGCATGGCTGCCAATACTGCGACGGGGGAGTGCCTCGTTGGGTTGCGGCTAGACTTGCACGGAACGAGGTAAGCCAGACTGACACGTGTGGTGATTCACTTGGCAGTTTGGAGTATTTTCGGGCGGCTATGCTGTGAGTCTTGATAGGTGCTGAGAATTGGATAAACCAGAGTTCGAGTCCAGCCACATCGTCACACTTGTGGAAGGTGTGTAGATGACGCTGGGTTGTTCTTGAGGTGCCCAAACTTCTATGATCTTCAGACATGTTCTCCAGATGCACTTGCTACCTAACAATAAACAAGACATTCGGGGGGACCCAGTTGGGACTATCGAGACCGAGCCTCTTCAAGGCAAGAGGAACCACAAGCAGGGAAGGTACCTGTAAAGCATCCTGGCAGCAACCGAACATTCGATGAATTGAACAACGGCGGCACATCTAATCAACAGAGAGGACGCGTAATCCCTCTACCTCATCTGAGCCTCCAAAGAAAACAGAAACAATGCAGGGGAAGATTGGAAATCTTGAACGATGTCGCATTCGTTTCTTGTGATGTCAACAAATGGATAAAAGCTTATCCTCTTGTATTCCCGTCCCGTCGACATCAGAAAAGGGAAAGTGATTGCGTGCTCTCTTACCAACCTGGAAGCCGCTACCAAGCTTTCATCGAAGCTTTTCATCAAAGCTTACCTCTAAGTTATTATAGCTGACTTTCGCCTGCCATAGCAGTATAGCACTGTGTCTACAGCCAGGGTACCTCTAGCGTTAGCCGAGCGCGACAATAGCGGCTCATCACAGGGACCACATCCCCGCAACGACAGGGGCTTGTTACGCCTTCGTTTCCAACCAGTTCCCTTTTGCAAGACTTGACCTTGCAGAAACACCATCTCATTAACCGATGGGAATCTTGGCGGCTTTCAGGAATCCCATTCTTGGCGGGTCGCACCATGGCCGTTGTTTGTTACAGAAGGTTCTGTCGTACCAAATCAACGAGGGAATCAATGGACGCCACAACCGAGCTGGGAACACGGAGAAACATGTCGATGGCGGCTAGGGCACGTGCTGTGTCCGTGATAGGGGCGCGGTCACTTGGCGCTGGTGTCCGTGCAGTGTGCCAGGGCAGTAAACCAAGAACAGCGCCCCTGGACTCGGGCTGTGCCATAGCAGGTTGATATCATCTCCTGAGAGTCGCTTGGCTTGAAAGAGAACCCATTGTTCTCTGTTTCTCTTACGTTTTTGCTTCCCTTTTTCACTTTTCGTTCCCTTCGCCTTTCCTTCACCTTCATTCTCTTCATACTCACTGGAGGAGTGCAGCAGGTCTGCGATTGTTGTTTGTTGTGTTCGTCCCAGGTTGTTTTACCTTCCTCTCTTCGTCCCTCAATGCTGTAATTCTGCCGTTTCGTTTCACTCACTTGGTTTCCTTGCGTCTTCGTCTCTCCTTTCGAGTCCACAATCAACACCAAATCGGCCGGCCGATTCCACTGGACACCTGGAGAATCTTATCACAATGAAAGCCACAGCTCCCACTCTCCGCTGGCGGAACTTTGCCCGAGCAGAAGCCACCCGCGCCTGGGTCGAGGCAACCAAGAGACAAGCCCTCAACACCAGTGATGACGACTCCCTGAGCGATACCAACAGCCTCAACTCCCTCAGCGACGACAACAGTCTCGACTCAGACTCCGATGCTGGTCGTCAACAACCACCCCAAACCACCAACCCCCCACAGCTCACCGGCGCCGCCAAGGCTCGTCAACGTCTGACAGCTGGCTCTCGGGGCCGTGTTACTCGTCGCTCTCTCGAACAAAGACAAGCCATCAACACCTCAGACGATGAGTCTGTCGACAGTCTCGACAACTCCCTTGACAGCGCCGGCTCCTCGGCCGATGAAGCCCGCCCCTCGCCTACTTCCACCGCTACCAAACGTTCCAACCTCAGCTCCAAGACCCGCGCCCGTCTAGCTGCCAAGCATCGTCGTGTGCTTGACGCTCGGCAGGCACTCGACAGTGACTCCGCTGATAGCGTCAATGACTCCCTCGACAGCGGCGCTGAGTCATCTGCTGATGAGGCCAGACCTCTGGGACGTCCCACTCGCACTCAGAAGCGTCATGCCCGTCGTACCATCGATGCAAGACAGGCGCTTGACAGCTCAGCTGATGATGATAACAGCCTGGACAGTCTCGACAGCGGGCTCAGCGACGGCAACTCCTCGGCTAACGAAGCTCGTCCCACTTTGGCTCCCACCAACCCTCCCATTCTTGCTCCCAAGAACCGCAACCGTCTGACTTTTGGTCAGCGCCAGCAGCACAAGGCTGCTATCCGCCGCTCCATCGCCGCCAGACAAAACAACCTCCAGGACCCCAACACCTCGGACAGCAACTCTCTCAGCGACGATAACTCCCTCAGTTCTCTTTCGGACAACAACTCTCTGGATAGTAACTCCGTTGACTCTGCCTCTGACTCCGACGCCGCCAGACCGCAGCCTACCAACCCCGCAAACCTCACTTCCAAGGCTCCCAAGCGTCTCGGTGCCGGTGCTGGCGCCAGCTCACGGCCTACTCGCATCAGCAGACGTGAAATCCTGCCCCTGGGCAAAAGGAATGCCCCTGCCGAGCATCCGGAGCAACCAGAGGAAGAGGATGATGACGCGGCTTCTGTGTCCAGTGTTAGTAGTGGGGACTCTGATGACGAGAAGAAGGAAGAAGAGGAGAAGGATGAGACGGAGAAGGAGAAGACCAAGACAAGCACTGTGACTGCGGCTCCTATTGTTACCGCCACTGGTAGCGTGGCTGCTACTACTACCGCCACCGTTGACGGCAGTGCTACTGCGACGATTACCTCTACTTCCGCACCTTCCGCTACTTTGGAGCCGGAAGATGCTTTGGCACCCGTCAACTCCGGCGACGCCACGGCGCTTCCGAACTTGTCACTTGCCCCGGCAGCTACGGCCACGCCAAGCAGTGTCCTCGGAGCTATCGACGACCAGCCGCAGGCGGATACGCAAGGCCAACAGATACCGGTGCCGATGGCGAAGAAGATGAGCGCTGGTGCCACGGCTGGTATAGTCATTGGCGTATTGGGTATGTCCCCCTTTCCCCTATCCATCACTTAACAATCCAAAAACTAACCTTTAAAAGGCTTCATCGCCCTCCTCGCCGGCGCCTTCTTCCTCTTTATCAAATGGCGTCGTCGTCATCGCCAATCCTCCCTCTTCGGCCCCAAGACCCCTCTAGCCGACGAAAAAGGCGGTCCGCCACCCACCATCACATTCACCCACCCCTCCTCCTGGCCCAACCAGAACCAGGGCCAGGGACAAACCGACAGCGCCCAGCGTGACCCCACCAACAACAACAAAACCAACAGCGAAGTAATCAACGACCTGATTCGCGCCGCTTACGCTGCCGAAGGAGAAGGCAGAAACACCATGGCAGACGCTCACGATGCAGCAAACCAACACTACCTCGACGAAAAAGCCTACGCCATGCTCGCAGGCCACCCGCCCACTCCCGCCGCCACTGAAAAGCGCGGTGTAAGCAAGTGGCTAGCGGACGTCATGACGCCTAGACAGTCTACTGTCTCCATGTCGCAACGATGGCCTTATCCTGTTGATCCACCGCCTGAGACTATGCCGGTTGGTGGTGGTACATATATGCCTGCAGGTAATGGAATGACTACTACCAAGCAAAAAAGGTTGACGCCGCCGAGATTACCGCTGAAGCCGGTGGTGCCGCCTAGTATGTTGAGGCCTGGTGCTGGTGGTGGTGCTGGTCCTGTGGGGGGCACGGGGTTGCCGCCTGGGAGTAATGTTAACCCTAGAATGACGGTGGCTACGCAGACGACGACTACCACTAGTAGCAGTGCGAGGTGGGGGTAAGTGGATGGTGTTTCATGGGCAGGTAGGTAGTTGGAGTGTTGATGGATGGGGGAGTTGAGTGTTGACTGCCTGTGGAAGAGAGTTTGTGGAGATGGATTGCACTGTAAGAGTACCGAGAAAGGAGGTCGAGTGTGTGATGATAGAAGTAGGTAGTTGAGACGTGGTTATCGCAGTTTAATAGACCGTTTATCGGCATTTGAGTTCCTATTGCTGATCGTTGTTAAGGTTTTGATGCGATGCCGGGATGAAGGCGGAAGTTACCGCGGTGCGTCGTCGACGCCGTGGTGAACCGGTTGTCGTCCTGAATTGGTCAGGAGCGTGCTAAACGGGAATAATCTCCCTCAGGTTGAGGCCAGTTGCGGATGAAGCCAAGTCATTGAGCTTGACTGTTTCGGGGACTGCTGTGACTGATCAGTATGTGGCGGTAATGCCGTGATGGTTATCGACACGGAACTTGCCATCGTTCTGTTCGCGAGTGCAAATACCGAATGGAAAGGAGAATGATCTTCCCAATTATCGATTCTTGAGTATAGTGGCACCCGTTAAAGATGGGGTGAGATATCGGTGAGCGTCACTCGAACGGTCATGCCGGTGTTGATCCGTGGTGATGTGAAGCTGGGTTCAGGTTGTGTGAGAGAGGGAGTTCACTTCTCGCAATAATGGATTGGCTCACCGCACGCTGGATGCCATAGTTAAGGTTTAAATGCCGGCGATGATCTTCAATTGCAATTGCTGGGGACTGTACTCGACCCCTCCAATCACCCCCAGAATGAGACAAGCGGGAGGTGAGGTGATATGGTCGAGTGTCTCGGGTGGCATCATGGGATTTGTGTGAGCCCATAATCCCTTACGGGGGGAAGCCCATTAGCGGCCCGTGTTATGCCTGTTTAGTGCCGTTGGGCTGATCGCCACGTGAAGAGGACTCATCGGGAAATGAACGAAGGTGACGTACATACAATGAATACAAAGGGTATTGTCATTTCAGCCCCAGGTGTTTGCTTTTGCTGTAGCCAAGCTCGAGGCGAGAGTCAATTCCCGTTGTTGTTTTGTATTGCCAAGTCATTGCGATCACCTTATCGCTGACCCCCCCTGGTGACCCCTGGTGATTGAGATCGCCCTCGTTAGAATGTGGTGGATGCCGAACAGACCGCGGTGCAGATCCCTACCTACCGTACCACTCGGCTGGTAGGCCTCCTTAATCTCGTCGTTTGACGTCGTCGTTTGCGTTCCTTTTAAAGTTCGATCTTCGCCCATCTGCCGAACGAATCTTTCCATCTGTTTCAGTCAGCAGCGGTAGTGTCGAGCAGAAATCCAACTGCAGTCCTTCTTTCCAACCAGCGACGACGACTTAACTCAACCCCAGTCATTCTTTGAAACAAATCGCCAAAACCCACCTACCGTCTGTCTTTACAACGAATATCAAAAAACAAAAACCGACAAAATGTCCCTCCTAACGAAGGCCGCTCTCCTCCTCGCCGTCGCCGGCTCCGCCCTCGGCGCCCCCACTCTTACCAACCCCGGCGGTTTCAAGACCCATGTCTCCGCCGCCGGCACTACTCACCACATCCCCGGCCACGGCACTCACTTTGAGCTCCCAGACCATCTCAAGCAGCGCTCCATCCCCGGCGGCGGAGAGATCGAAAGCACTCGGACGCCCGAACAGCAGGCCCCGTCGCAGACCATGTATACCAACCACACCTACCTCCCTGCCGAGGCCTTCAACCGCACTGCCACCGTCAGCAAGCGCAGTCTTCAGGCCTTGTCGGGCGGCGATGCCAATGGCGAGAAGAAAGAGCACATCCCGATGCCCCACAAGGCTTCGGTGCCCTTCGTCGACCCGGCCACCGGCATTTCCTTCCAGCGGTTCTACGACGAGACCAGCCAGTTCTCCTTTGGCCTCGCTTTGTCCAGCCTTCCCTCCGGTGCTGATGCTGCCGCCAACGACGCCACGGACTTTATCGGCCAACTCTCCTTCCCTCTGAATGCCACCTCCGGCCTAGGCCGCGGCGCCGGTTGGGGCGGGATCTCCATTTCCCCCAAACTTACCGCTTCCCACTTACCTCTCTTCCTCGGTCTCCAATCCGATGGCTTCGGTAACCTCGCCTTCTCCTCTTTCACCGAGGCCGTCAAGTCTGCTGCCTCCGGCGCTGCCTCCAACGTCCCCACGACCGCTGGCCAACAAGCCGCTTCGACCGGCAAGGACCTCGCCTTCAAGATCCGCACCATCCCCTCCGCTACGAGCATCAGCGCCACGCACCTGACTTACACTTTCCTTTGCGAGGGTTGTCTGTCCATCAGCAAGTGCGCTGCCAACTTGGACGCGTGGAAGGCCCAGGGAAAGACCAAGGTTTTGCGCCTTGGTTGGGCGACTGGTGACGCTGTTGCTTCCGAGGACGCCGAGAAGCAGACTGCCGCTGATGAGCAAAACGCCAAGAAGTGGGCGTACCACCGCCTTGGCTTCGGACACCTCAAGATCGACCTCGAGGGCGCTTTGTTGCACACGGCTGAGCAATTTAACGGGTGGAAGGCCCTGGCGATGGCGGAAGAGGTCAGAGGGTTTGAGGGGCTTGCGCCGCCGTTTGCTATGGATCTGGTGAATGGGTTCTCGAACTTGGAGGGGGCCAAGAACTTGGAGAAGGTTAAGGGTGGTGAGGGCGAGAAGAAGGAGGAGGAGGGTGAGAAGGGCGTGGAGAGTGAGAGTGACAGCGACTCGGACAGTGATTCTGACTGTGGATGCAAGAGCGACAGCGAGAGCGATTCCGATTCGGAGAGCGAGGATGAGGAGTAGAAATGAGGAGACTGACGTCGATGGTGTAATGTTGAGGATGAGAAAAGAAGGAGGGGATGTGATACCCAGTTTCGTTGGGATTCTGTTCTGCAAGAAGTTATGTTAATCATTGAATTGAACCACACAAACTTTGATATCTCTTATGGCAGTGCCCGTGACCTTCGTCATTGAACACTTCGCTACCAGACGTCCACCGGTGATATCGTTGATGAAATCGACGGGCTCGAATACGTCGTTAGAGAATATGAACCGCCGGACGATATGCCTATGGTACACCACGAGAGAGACCTCGGGCTGCTGTGACACTTGCTCAATTTTCCAACTACACCCTCTGATCTGTCGCCAAACTAACAATACCCAATGCGGTAATGCTCCAAAACTCCTACGCCATGCTAATCCCCAAGAAAAGACCCATAACCATAGTACTCGACACTCTCTTATCCACCAATGTACAGAGCACCCATCCGCTCCTCAACCCCTCTAACCCCCTCTTTGGCTCTCTCAATCTCCGCCTCCAGTTCTTCCACGTTCCGATTCAACGCGCTAACCTCCTCAAACCGCCTCTGCGCCCTCGCGCTCTTCAACATCTCCTGCACCATGAACATCTGTTCCTCAAGCACCACCAGCCTCTCCTTTGCCTCTTTCTCCTCGATGTCCAATTCTGATTGGACGACACTGGCTTCGCTTGCTCCGGCATTACTGGATGTCTCGACGTCTTTGGAGAAGGCAGACTCCCCTTTTCGTAAGGGGGAGAGGGTGGATGTTGACCCGTTGAGTAAGCGACGGTGTTGGTGTTGCATGCTGTTACTGCGCAATACTCGGGGCACCGATTTCAGAGGAATCAGGTTGGCGTGAAGGAAGGCCGACGCGGCAGCATACACAGACTGCTGCAACCTCAACTGCGTCGGGCTATCCGTCTTCATGTCTCTTAGCCTCCTCGCGGCAAGGTCGTACTTTGCAAAGGCATCTGTCAGTCGTTTTCGGATCTTGGCGGCTTCTTGCACTTGAGCAGACGTCGGTGGAGGTTTATCCTGTCGGTAGTCGTCTTCGTTCGGGGGTTGGAGAGCCAAGAGGGCTTTTTGAAAAGAGGGCATCAACATCCGGATGCCTCGCTCGAACTGCCGCAGGGTCTCGTAGGCGCGTTGATCTGGTGGTTTGTGTGCTATGGAAGCGGCGAAGTCGCGGTGAGAGAAAATGGTTGATTTGCAGTCGCGGCACATGCGGATGTCGAGGGTGGTGGTGACGATTCCGGGTGGCTTTTCGGTGTTTATCGTTGCTAAAGAAGGTCAGCCGCAGTCAACATGACAAAATGACGGGAAACGTACGATGCGCAACATCCAACCCAACCTCTGTCGAACAAGCCGTCTCGGGATCGGCGCAAACCACTTTCCCACATATCCGACAATGATGTCTCCTAAACGTCCAACTCCCAAACTCTTGCTTGCAAAACGGGCAATTTGAAACTGCCCCATCCTCTTCCCAGCTAACCACACTTTGCTCAATCATTTTTCGCTGGCTTTTCTGGCCCGTCAAGGCCAATAACCCTGACCCCTCGTCCGGCGGCATCTCAGCCAAGAGCCTCGTCAGCTTAGTTAACCTTTTCTCTAGCCTCTGTACCTCCAGTTTATGTCTGTCCACCCTCTTTGCTCGTATTGCCTTGAACTCGGCCATGTGATCCCTCACCGTTCCCTGGTGATCATTGTACCCCTCCCTACTCTTGAAGCAAGTCTCACACACTCGACACCATATCCCTCGTACCGGTTCGTGGTTGGCCGATCGCGACAGCTTCATCTGGTACATGGTGTGTTCCTCGCAAAACAGGCGACCGCATTTCCGACAATTGACCAGCCCACTAAACGGCCCTAACTTTCTTGTACATGTCGGGTCGGTACAGGGGTCGTTCCCCGTTGGTCTCTGCCAGTGGTGTCGGGTGACTAGTTCCTCTGGGTCTACTGCCTTTTCTGCGGGTCGTCCGGGTGCGGTGGCGATGGCGCTGGTCGCGAGCACAGGTTGCGTCTCGTTGGATTCGAAAACATCAAGTCCGCGCAGGGTCTGGTTGATGATGTTCAACGGCTGAAACTTTTTCGCTTTGCGGACTTGTTTGTCGAACCAGCTCTTGACTTCATCTTGTGTCTCTTCGGGCAACTCTTGATGGACGTCGTCGATGTGTCTATTCAATTGAAGCAGGGTGACCATTTCCTCTTGGCATATTGGGCAAACGAGTCGGTTGTCGTTGGCGCCGACGGATTGGCCGCCGCCATTGGAAGGACCGGGCAAGCTGACATTGGACACGAGGTCTTGCGGAATGTGAGGGAGCGGGGCGGAGGATGACGGGGAGATGGATTCGCGCGTGGAATTGGGCGAAATGAAGGAGACGGTGCTGCTGTCGGAGGGCGCATAGGGGCTGGCGGCGCGATGGATGGCGGCAATGGTTGAGGGTGACGGCGATGACGACGACGCTGCTGCTGCTGTGGGCGGGGCGAGGCCCTTGCCGTTGCCCAAGATGCGCCCGCCTCCGAGCTTGCGCCCGGACATGTCGTTGTCGTCGGTGTTATGATACTGTAATCAGGACGGAACTGGCGCAAGGAATGATCGATGGGAGCCCAATTAGTCGTGGATAGGACAAGGACGGAGGGGGTTATGTCGGCGTCGTCGTCGTCGACAAGGTGGCCATTGTTTGTTGCCTGGTCAGTGCAGTGAAACGAGGGAAACGAAGGAAGGAAGCGAAGTTGGTCGTCTCACTTGATTCCCCCGTTGTTGGGCAACCGAAGTTGACTGGGTGTGCGCTTCGTTATTGGCTCGGGAGCGGCGGTAGAGGAGGATCGGTAGGCGCAGGCAGTGTCACCTCAGAGCTGCGGCAGCCTAATGCGCCTGACGTTCAGTGGGATCCGCTATTTTGGGGCCGCCTGCAAGTAAACAATTGCTGCCGACCTTGACGTCGATGGTCAGCCCAAGGAAACCGAGACAAGTTCTGTTAGGCCTCTACCTCGTTTAATTGACAAACTTCCACTCAGCAAGAAGTACCCCTCCATCTTCCGATCCCGTCTCCCCCTCTCCACCCTCCCGCAATCGCCCCTCTGTAACCACCGGGATCACCCTCCATTGTCCACCAATAAATATGTCATCAGCAGAAGCACGTCAGCGGCAGAATCTCCATTATCAGCCTTATCAGTCATTCACCAAATACTTCTGTCTCCCGTTCACAATGTTTTCTGACTACTTGATCCTTTTTTTTTTCTCTTTTTCTTTCGAGGATCTACCATAACGAATTGACGACGGACAAATAGCGCTGGCGCTGTGATACGAACACAACAGACACAAAATGACGACCGGACGAGCAGACCCAAACAACTTCCCCGAGATCCAGACGGGCGGCAGTCTGTTGATCGCATGGCAGATCAAGGGCAAACGAGTGCTCCTAGTGGGCGGTGGTGAGGTATGGATGTCTTTCTTCCACGTCTTCCAGCCTTCCTCCCACAAGGGCTGTTGCTGACTTAATTCCCCCTTCACAGGTAGCAGCAACCCGGCTCGTCCACCTCCTCTCCGCCGACGCCCTCGTAACCCTCATCGCCCCGGCCCCCCTCCACCCCGAAGTCTCCTTCCGCCTCACACAATTCCCCAACTCCCTGACCTGGATCCCCCGCGCCTTCGAGTCAACCGACCTCACCGACCACGCCAACGACTACTCGTTGATCTTGACAGCCATCGACGACCCCGTCGCCTCTTCCCAAATCTACAAACTCGCCCACCAGCTCAAAATCCCCGCCAACATTGCCGATGTCCCTCCCGAATGCGACTTCTACTTTGGCTCTGTCCACCGTGATGGGCCCCTACAAATCATGGTGTCGACTAATGGAAAAGGCCCCAGGCTGGCGTCGACGATTCGGAAACTGATCGCCAAGGCATTGCCCAAGAATGCGGGGCGGGCCATCGAGCAGATGGGCGAGCTGCGCAAAAAGTTGCGCGAGGTGGCTCCTGCACAGGAAGAAGGGAAGAGGAGGATGGACTGGATCAAAAAGGTTAGTGATGCGTACGGGTGGGAGGAGATGGGCACCATGACGGGAGAGGATATGGCGAATTTGTTGGCGTGGTACCGTAAAGAGGGGGGAGAGGATGGGCTGGAAGTGCCGACTTTGGATGAGTTGAGGGCTTTGCGGAAGGAGAAGAAGCAGGACGGTGCAGTGGAAGAGGTGGAGAAGAAGGTGGAGGACCTGAAGATGGAAGAAAAGGCCTAGAGAAAAATGAAGTCAGGGTGCCACGGGTTTATCTTGGTTCCTGGGTAAAAGGACCTTTTGGGATACGCCGCTGGACATGGACGAACGATACCATGGGGTTGATCTTCAATCTAGATGATGACAATGACGCGGAGGAGGAAACAACAGTCGATTCGTTACATAAGGTACCTATATATCTCCCTCCTAGAAGTCTGTCCTACCGACACCCAAATCCATGTCATGTCATGTCATCTCATTACCCATATGACCAACCCATTTTCCTGTTCCAGAGCTTCAGTGCTAGTCGTGACTAATCCATAATCACCCAAGCTGAAATACATTGTATCAACACGTGTTCGTTCCGGCAATCAGAAAGTGCACTCCATCGATGTAGGGGCCATAAATCCCAGTCGTTTTTTTTTCGTCCTGATTAGGTATTCCGAGCCTGAGCCTGAGCCTGAGCGGCCCTCTGAAGCTGAGCTCTCGAGAAGAAAAAAAGAGGCTGCCGTACACATATTGACAAACTATGTGTGGCGCACTTCCTTGTTCTTGTGCCTCAAAGGCGGAATGAATCCATCCAGTAGTGCTGTGCGGATCAAGTACCTTATTGTAGTCGCCAAGTGCCCACTAATTTCCGCTTGATGCTGCTGCTGCTGTCCTGCTTCTTCCAGCTGAAGGTTATCCCTCGATGGTGTCGACACTGGTCTAGAATATGACGGAGGCAGAGGAATAGGACTATCCGGCTTCTTGGCATCAAACAGCCCCCGTGGACCCTTACCAAACGCTTTATCCAATCTATACTCGAGGGTATCCAGATCCATATCCATGTTTTGCGAAATCGCCTCCGAAAGGCCGTTGCGAAACTGTGATAGGGAATACCATAATTCGAAAAGACATCGGCTAGAGTCCCATGGGGACATATTTACTCCGGAAATGAGTGTACATGAATTTCATAGATGGAATGAAGACGCTTGTATGCGTCTTAAGAGTATACCCAAGATAGAATGGCAAAGGTCTCAACCATTCTGTCCAGGACGAGAGTGGGTGAAAGTAAAAGAAAAGAAAAGAGCAAAGGAAAATGCAAACGAAGAAAAGGAAGTAAAGTCATAATAAAATCGATTGGGCCGTTGTACGCTGTTCATTAAAAGCATTCTTCGCTAAAGTTATTATACAAGATGGCTATCGCACTGTATCATCATAATCTCCGTCATCTTCATCATCTTCACCATCTTCATCTTCATCAGCATCATCAATGGTACCCCCTTCCAACCCTTCATCATCTTTGGCTTGCCCAACCATCTCGCACTTCCTCGCCAGTTCCAACGTGAATTTGGGTCTCGCGTGTACGCTTCGCATATGATGGGTCAGGAGTACTGCGGTCTGCGTGAAAGGACAGTTGGGTTCTGGGCACTTGTATGTCGGACCATGTGTGTGTTTATGATACCGATGAAAGTTAGGTGTGCTTCCATCCCAATCGCAACCAGCGAAAAGACACTTTATTGTTTCCCCGTGTATCTCCTCCCGATGTTTATGAAGTGCATCTTTGTGGGGTCCCATGTAGTCGCAACCAGCCTCGGGACACTCGAGGTACTTGTGCACCTCTTTTAGATGGAGCTTTACCTCATCTTTTGATCCTGTAAACGAGCAGTTCCTCGCTCGGCACTTCTCATCCAGCAATCTTCTCGCGTGCGCTTTTTTAAAATGACGAGAAAGCGCATCCTCGTGGCGTCCCACGAAGTGGCAAGCAGCCTCAGGGCACCCCAAATACTTGTGCACCTCTTTCATGTGAAGTTGAATGTCATCCTCTGATCCTGCAAACAAGCAATCTTTGGCCCGGCATATAAATCTAGCCCCGTGACAGTTCCTCAGATGTTTATAAATCGAAGTCTTGTCGGATCCCATGGACTCACAAGCAGCATGGGGGCACTTGATCTACTTGTGCACAACTTTCATGTGCAGCTTAAAGTCACCCCCTGATCCTGTAAACGAGCAATCTTTCACCGGGCACTTGTTGAGGCCAGTCCCTGGTTTGAAGTTAGCTCACGTTTGGATGTCTAGCTTTGTAATGGGATTTACGCTTACCGCGTGCCACGTCGGGCTTCCTTTGCTCTGCATCGGGCCGTCCCTGCGGAGTTGTTGCCTGGGAAGATGAGCTGCAAGAGGACAAGGGGGAGTCCTCTTCATGGTCACCATCATCTTGGTCAGTAAAACGCCCATCGTCTATATCCCCAGCGCTGCCACTATAGACACCATGCTCCTCGGGTTCATCAATATCCCCCTGTTCATCGTCATCCTCCTTCCTGGGATCGTCAATACCTTCCTGTTTATTGTTATCGGTCTCCTCGGGATCGTCACCACTGTCCGTGTCATCGCAAAAGTCGAAACTCTGTACCATTGAACCGTCGTCACCCCCACCACCCCACAATCCTGCACCTCCCCTCAGCGCCGCCGAACTCCAGCAATCCTTCTCATCACACTTGCATTCGCTCCAGTAGCCCTGGCGCTTCTAATGCACGACGCCCTCCACGCCGCCCAGAAACCTCCTGACCCTCGCAATCTCCAATTCAGGCTTTTCACTTTCGACCGCCCTCGTCAGTGTATCCAGCAGGGCTTCAACCTCGATTTCGGGCCTCCTGGTGCAGAGGCTGACCAGTCGCCGGTACTTGAGCTCTTTCTCCTTGCTCTGTGCCTGCAAGGCCGCCACCGCCTGTCGCGTTTTGCTCGACCTCGCCCGTAGTGCCTTGATTCTAGCTCTTAGCACTGCCGCGCTCGGTAGGCTAGGTCGGCTGTCTGGGTCCAGTCCCTTGGGAGACTGCGTCTTGACAATCTCCAATGCCGACTCGAGTTCCATTTCCCAGGCGTTGGCCGAAGCGACATCCAGCCGACCGTGACGCTGTTCGAGTTCAATCAGGATCTGCTCTTCCTCCTCACATGCCCGGTTGAAGTTGACAATCTTCTGCTTGGCCAATTGCTGGGCTTTGAGCTTTTCTTGTAGGGACTCGAGGGTGCGGCGGGCGTCGCCGACTTGTGAGGAAGTAACGCGGAGTTGAGAATGGAGGGTGTCAATCGATTCTTGTTTCTTTTTCAGCTCATTCTGGAAAATAGACGCGGATTCACCAATGAGGTGAGTGATGGCTGGCTTCACGTTAGCAATGGAACAAGAAGGATAGAAAACAAGAAAAAAGAACTTACAGCGGACAACCTTGTCACTGGTCTCACGGCTCTTATAGCCACTGCCCGTCGTAGCCCCAGTCTTTTCTTGGGCTGGATCATCGTTGGTTTCGGCATCGGCAATCCCGATGCCAAAATCCAATGGCTTCAAATTGGCTCGGTTGGGAATTGTGGGATCCGCGCCCACCTCCAGAAGCTGGGAAATGATGCTGCGGTTACCGACGCGTGCAGCAACGTTAAGCGCCGTGTCACCACTATTATCCTGAGCGTTGACGATCTCGCTCATAAACCGGGCGATGCCCATTCGACGTCCTTTCCTATCGCCGATGCCGTTCTCTTGGCTGCTTGGAGCACTACCTTGCCGGACCACCCATTCTAGAAGGCTCTCGAGGTAGTATCGGCTAGCATAATGACGGCCTTTGACCGCACTGGTGACGGCAATGTGATGCAAAGCCGTGCGGCCCTTGTCGTCGGTCACGTCAAGAGTGCAACCGAGGAGATCAAGAAGCTCGGGAAACGTGTTGTTCTCCATGGAGTTGGTGACGGTGCAGGCACGCATAAGGGCAGTCTCTCCACAAGCATTGACGCGCCAGGGGTTTGCGCCTGCATGGATGAGCGCTCGCAGAAGCGGCATGCGAGAGAGGGTGGCAGCCCAATGAAGGGCCGTGTGACTCTGGGTGTCGATGGGGGAGTCCAGCTCCTGAGGAGACACATTGCAAAGGGCAGCCTGTATGGCTTCCTCGGGGCCGTTGGCATCCATAAAGAGGCCCATCAGCATACCCCGCTTGGCTTCCGCGTCGGCGTCATTCTCATAGGGCAACGGCCGCAACGGGCCAAGGGCATACGAGGCCTCGCCATCATTAGCAGTGACTTGATCGTAGTTGAATGAGTTGCTGGGCTCCGTGGGAGAGCCAGGGTCTCCGTTGGCAACATTTCCAGCATTGAATGGGTCGAGAGGCTGGTGGCCCGGAGTCTGGCCGCCAAAGCTCCTGGCGGGGGTGAGAACTCTTTGCCGCTTCCTAGGGGGTTGTTCGAGGCCGTCACCAGCCAAGGGTTGCGTAGTTTGAGACCCGAAGCCCGAGTCAGCGTTCTGTGTCTGGGTTGCGTATTCGGTCGAAACAAGGCTTTGTTGCGAGTTTGGGAAATCGGCCACATCCTGCATCGAGGACTGGCGGTTGAAGCTGGGGGCCCTGCTGGGACCGCTGCGGTTTCTAGGCGCAGGGGAATCGAAGCGAGCCTTGCTGATGGCAGCCACTGCGGTCGAGGCCGTCGAGGAGATGTTCTTGAAGAAGGTGCCGGTGGAGCCAATACCGCGATTCTCTTGCGAGCTGGCGTTGTACATGCGCTTCCTCTGTGCAGCCATGGCCTGCTCCTTGGTGGGGGTGTCCACGTTTCCAGTCTCGCCTTCCTGTCCCCTGTTGTGTGTCAAGAGTTTGGACAGCAGCTCCTCGACGCCATATTGGCGGCAGACTTCGAGACCCCGTTCGAATGGAATCCAAGTTCCTTGATATTTCCCGTAGCCGCCCTGGACTTTTTCGTGTTCGCCAATCTGGATTTCCTTTTCGAGAATCTTGGTACGGCGTCCCTTATCGATGTTTGCGACCTTGAGGATCTGTGTGGCATTGACCCAGCCGTCCTTTTGTCGGCGCATGACGGCAACATTGTTGACCTCCATTTCGTAGACGCCGACGCCCGAGTACGTGGCCTGTAGCTGTCAGTCGGAGCACAGTGGAGAGAGTGAGGAAGACGGGCGAAGAAAAGCTCACAGAGTAGATGGTAGGTACGGCATGGTCGTTGTGTAGCCGGTTGGGAGGATCCGTGTACTGTCTGTAGACTGACTGAGAGGACTGGCTCATGGAGAAGGACTGTTGTGAAGACGGCTGCGACTGCTGCGAGGCGCCGCCCAGTTGTGGTGGCTGCATCTTGATTGTTGTCGCGGGTAATAGAGGGTGGTAGTAAAGACTGTTGTGTGTGTGACTGATGACTGAACGAGTGGTGTTTGATAGAGCAGAAGGGAGTTGGAGACGTGGGGACTGGCGGCAGATGGTGATTGCCGCCCCTTGCCGTGGTTCGGGTGAAATCGATATGAGACCGCAATTGATGCTGTGGCAGATTCCCTCTTGCCGTCTAACAGTACTTAGAAATAGCGAGTCGATAACAGACGGACGTTTGCAGCCGCCGGCGAAGTTGGTGAAGGGAAGAAGGGTCGGCGGCGAAGGCGCAACGAATCGGGGAATATCAGATGGACAGTTCGGCAGGATTAGAAACTGGGGATAGTAGTAGTAATAGGATTACCCTCCAAAACACCACGGCGCAAAGAGGTACGCGCGATGGTCACAATGACGTTGCTTTGTTCGCAAAAAGTGAATTAAAGGTCGACGTGTTGGTTTCGTGTTTGTTGCGCGAAAAGTCGTGTTTGCGTGTGAAAGATTGCCCTATGCGGTCAGCGATACACGAAAAAGACAGGCGCCAGGTCACGGGGGTGGTTATGTGTAACGGGTGGATACAAGCTGTGTAACAAACGAGTAACCAGCTGGTGTCTTTGATACATCAGCAACGAACGAACCCCGACAGAAATATTGAAGGTTGACTCAACGAAGAAATAAGGTATTCAAACTCTCTTGGAAGATTCACTCATCTCATTCAATGTCTTTATCAGTTCCATGATGTCTTTTGTTGCCGCAGGGTTGTAATATTACATGGATAGAAAGCAGGAGCGTGGTACAGTACCTCTACGTATTCGCATGTGTGTAAGATACACTGTACATATGTCAATTACCATACACCCTCTAGAACATCCCCCAATTGCCAGTGCCACTTCGACTTTGATGACAATGACAACTTCCCAAACAACTCACAACTTCCATTCCTCCGGCTGGTACATACTGCCGAAAACTTGACCTTCCGCTCTCGATATCCCACTCTCCAGTCCGAAACCACAACCCACAGCTTCAGTTCTTTCACGCGCGCGGCCATGTCCCGCCCACCACCCCTCCCCCACCCAACAACGACCCTCCACCTCTACCGACACCTCCTCCGCGAATCCTCATACCTCCCCGTTCTCATCCGTCCCTTCTTTGACGAGCGCATCACCACGCGCTTTCGGGCCCACCGCGCCTCCGACCCGTCCTCCTGTCCCCAAACCGCCACCCGTCTCAAGCGCGCCCACCACGATCTGCGCTACCTACGCGCCGCCAACGCCGGTGACCTCCCGCGCATGCGGCGCATACTGCTGCTCGCATTCGGTCGAACGGGCGCCAAACGCCGCCAACTTCTTACAGAACTATTAGAGCCCGACACCCCGAGCAGCGACGAGGAACTACAAAAATACATCAACAAGGCGCGGGCCATCGTGAAAGAGGGCAGGAAACCGGACTGGTTGGATAATTGGGACACGGAAAAGCTCAAGGCGTTTGTACGGAGTCAAACGGGAGGCGATGCGCCGCCGATTGTCAACCGCCCCAAGCCTGAGATTACAAATCACCAGTTGGCGCCGGAACGTTATGTGCCCAAGGAAAATATTTGGGGCGGGCCACTGAATGAAAAGGTGAGGAGGACAAAGTTGAAGAAGACGTATAAGCAGGTGGCGGAGAAGGTGCTTCCGCCGGTGCCGAGGGAGGAGTGGGAACTGCTGAGGGATCTGGTGAATAAGAAGGAGGAGTGGGAGGTGCCCAAGAGGAGGACGGTTGGGAGGTTGATTTGGGCGAAGAGCGACGACAAGTCAAAAGAAGGGGCGGCCCTGGATTGGAATTGGCAGAGGTATGCGACACAACCAATTTGGTTGGTGGATCGGCAGAAGAGTAGGAGAAATATGCTGCTAAGTGGGCAGGTCGATGAGGATTTGCCGATGGGGGAGCAGCAGCCCATCAATTGCCATCGGTATACTCCGAGACTATGGAGGAGGACGTTGGAACAGGTGTGGCGGATGACGGCAGTTATGGAAAGGAAAAAGGATGGAAAAGGGTGGGAGATAGAATGGGGACAGAAGAAGTATGAACCTCCGGTGGCACCATCGGCGGATCTCGAGTTCTTCGAGGGCGCACCAGTAAGAGCGGAGCCTAAGAAGAAGAAGGGGAAGCAGTAATCGCAGTCTGCGGGCCGTTATGTGGGATGAGATATGTATGGGTGGATAGAAAGGGACTTTGCTCAACTTGTAGAAAATGATACCCGAGCACATTTCATGGTCAAAAGCACCACAACACAAACCTCTTATGTCTAGGCGTCAACATACCCTTTCCAACTATGGGTATATTTTTATTTTTTTTTCCCAAACCTCAACCTACCATCTAATCCAACAACTTGGCCAACTTGGGCAGTCCCTCCCCATCAACTCTCATACCCACCCACTCACTCATCATCTGCGCCCCAATCGCCTCACTCTCATAGAACTTGATACTCGGCTCATTCCACTTGAGCACGTTCCACTCGAGCCTGCCTCCCTTCATGGCCTCCACCTCCTTCGCCAGCTCCACCAACAACCGCTTGCCATACCCCTTCTTTCTCTCGCTCTGCTTGACATACAGATCCTCAAGGAAGATACCGGGGCGTGCCCGCCAGGTGGAGTAGTTGTAAAAGTAAAGCGCCATGCCGACGACGACTCCCGAGTCGGGGTCGGTCAACACCAAGCAGCGGGCGGGTTTGGCGGGCGAGACGGGTTCAGTGATGGGCAGGCCAGTCTCAGGGTTGGGGGAGACGACGGAGGGTTCGGAAGGGGCGAAGGCGATGGTTGCCGCCAGGGTTTCCTCGGTGGCTTCGACGCTGTCGAGGGCGTGTTCGTAGTCGGCTAGTTCACGGATGAGGCCGAGGATGGCGGGGACGTCTAGATGTTGTTAGTTTGTGTGGTACAAAACGGGAGAAGAGGACGGAGACGAACCCTCGCGCCTGGCGTGGCGGACAACAGGAGCAGTGGAAGCCATTGTGAAATTTGCTTGGTGTCTTGGTTGGGTTTCACACGAGGTGTAAGTGGCAATTCGGATCCGGAAGACGGGGACGGGATTGGGCCGTATAAATGTCTACTTGTAGGAACCCGATGGAAGCCGGGGCCGTGCTGACTCGAAAAAAATAAGTGGACCTCCCGCCTCCGGGGGACTGTCAGCCGAGGCGGGGCAGTGACACCCCCCCGAACTCCACTCCGCGCCCTTCCGGTGACCAGCGCCTGGAGGAGGACGGGATTGGCGCCGATGACAACTTGAACCTAACGACGGGCGGAGACTTCCGATTGGGGTTTCGGCGGGGGGCTTGGAGAAATGGCGGGGTTTTCCCTTTGTCGATTGTTGTCCGTGGGTGTCTGTGCGCCACTGCCGCCCCTGGAGGATCTAAGTCTAGAGCTGAGAACCCTGGAAGGGGATCAGGCAAGCCCCTGGGCTTTGAAGAACCCCCATGACCAACCGCCTGTAGATCCTTTCACTTGTGTTTACATTCCCCTGATGGCCTCGTGATTGATCGGTGATGTTCGTCAACTCCCGTTTGACTGTTACTGGTTCACAGAATGAGGAGTTGATGCTTTATAGCTCCAGGCTGTGTGATCCCGTGATCAATGATGGTCATCAATGAGGTATGAGATGGAAGAGAGTAACGGCGGGATGTGCTCCATGTTATCCGGGGATGTTATCTCCCATGACAACCAACCTATCTCCACACTTAGCTTCCCTAGCTCCCAGCTCACCATTCAATAGTCAGCCCACGGTATCTCCCGCTCGTCTACACTACATGACCCCCTATTCCCCTATCAACATCAACACGTTGTGTGTTTCAGCTGAGACTGGTATCGGGAATGGAAATGCAGATAAACTCCGACAGATTCAGTCCAATCGAGACCATCCACGCCTCCATGCACCCTGAACGTACCTACCTTACCTACATACGATAACACAGCCCAGCTTGAACGGCAGCGTGTTTAAATCTGTAGTTATCAATTGTGATCGTACACTCGGATGGTGAGCTTGGAGAGCTTGGTTGAATGGTTGGTCTGTGAGGTAAACATTCAGGGACCTTCCCTCCATGGGGACGTCAAAGAGACGGCTATGTTGGCGGCCCATTGGCAAACAATGACTCCCAACGTGTTTCAGTCACTGGTCGGGAATTGCGGCGTAGTACAACGGGAAAACCAAAGGAGGCGGAGTTCTTGGTCCGTGTCTTGGTATTTGGACCTTGGAGCTTGTCCGCCATTTGGAGATAGGTAAAGAAGTTGGAGACGAAAAGAGGACAGGGCCAACCGGAAGCAAGTGGTTCGTTTATTCGTTCACCGCACTGCCCACACCCACCGCTTTGTACTATCTTGCTTACGTCCCCATGCCAGGTATACATACATGACAACCGAAGTAGATCTGGCGGCATACGTAGGTAGGTAGGTAGTGGTAGTATGACGGGTATATATGAAGGGGACTATTCCCCGCCAAAGTGACTTGATGAGATCCCCTGATTTTTTTTCTTGTTCCTGGATTGCTGCCACACTAGCTAGACTTTTTGTTGATCAACAACCGCCACTACATCATCATCTACACGTGTAGTACCCCATCATATGACAACAACAATAACAACAACAAAGAACATCACCACCTTGAACCAAACTTCCACTTTACACCAACTTCCAATACTTTCCACTCACGATACCTTAAATATTCCCACGCAAACACAATGGGATCTCACGCACCTGTACCGCCCTCGGCCGAACCAACAGTAACCTACTCGTCCGGCCGTCTCAACTCCTCGGCAGAATCACCAGTGGGGCCACCACCCGAACCCGACTTCCGCCTACTCCATTTCAATGACGTCTACCACCTCGACGCATCCTCAGCCGAACCCGTCGGCGGCATTTCGCGCTTCATGACCGCCGTCAACGAGTATCGCAACGATGAGCGGTACCAAGGGCAAGGGAAGCCGGAGCTGGTCACGCTGTTCTCGGGCGATGTGTTCAATCCGAGTCTGGAGAGTTCGGTGACCAAGGGCAGCCACATGGTTCCGATTCTGAACAAGATTGGGACTCAGTGCGCCTGTGTTGGTGTATGTCTTTTTTTCTTTCAGTTTTCTTCCTTCCAAGCCCCGTGTTTACTTTGTAATGTAGTTGCTGACAATTGAGAAAAAAAAACAGAACCACGATCTTGACTTTGGCGTCCTGCAATTCCAACACCTGACCTCCAAATGCGCCTTCCCCTGGCTTCTCGCCAACGTCCTCGACCCCGCGCTCGGCGAAAATGTGCCCATCGGCAACGCCGGCCGCACCCACATGATCACGACCGCCAACGGGCTTAAGATCGGCCTGCTAGGCTTGGGCGAGCGCGAATGGCTCGAAACCATCAATGCCTTGCCTCCCAACCTCATCTACCGCTCCGCGACCGAAGTAGCAAAGGAGCTGGTGCCCGAACTGCGAGCGCAAGGAGCCGATCTCATTGTCGCCCTAACACATATGCGCGAACCAAACGACCACAAGCTGGCGAGGCAGATGGACGGGGAGATTGACATCATTCTGGGCGGACACGATCACTTTTATGCGCACAGCCTCATCAACGGGACCCATGTGCTGCGGTCGGGGTCCGATTTCAAGAATCTGTCGTACTTGGAGGTGCGCCGACCTGCTTCACCACCCACGCAACCGGGGCAGCCAAAGTGGGATGTGGATATTTGGAGGCGGGACATCTACAGCAGCATTCCCCGCGATCCGCCGACAGACCAGTTGGTGGATAAACTCACCTCAAAGCTAAAGAAGTCGCTCGAGAAACCGATCGGCTTCAGCGCTGCTCCCCTCGACGCGCGCTTCACGACGGTGCGTCTGCGCGAAAGCAACATTGGAAACTTTGTCTGCGACATCATGCGCCTGCACTACCACGCCGACATCGCCATCATGGCCGCCGGCACGATCCGCGGCGATCAGATCTACCCGCCCGGTCCGATTCGCGTCAAGGATGTGACCGACTGCTTCCCTTTTGAGGATCCTGTGGTAGTCATCAAAGTCAAGGGACAAGCAGTCTGGGACGCGCTCGAAAACGGCGTCTCCCTGTTCCCGGCCCTCGAAGGCCGGTTTCCCCAGGTATCCAACATCAAATTCGTTTTCGACCCTTCCCTACCACCAGGAAAGCGAGTCACCAGCGTGGAAGTCGGCGGCGAACCGATCGACTTGGAAAAGACCTACACAATGTCAACGAGGGGGTACATGGCCCGCGGCAAAGACGGGTACACATCTCTCCTCGTCCAACCCGAAGGTGGCGAATGCGAGGAAGTCGTCTCGGAAGAGAACGGCATTCTCATCTCCATGATGTTGCGACAGTACTTTATGGCGCTCAAAGCCCTCGACAAATGGGCTTTCTGGGGCGCCGAAGAAGATCGCCACTGGGGCAAGGTCGTCAAGGGTGTGGATGAGTATAGGGAACCTTCCAAATCCCTGACTTCTACCCTGGAACCCAAGACGGGAGACGGTTGCGATAAGGAGACATGCGTCATTGACGCCGAAGCAAAGAAAGACGAACAAGAAGAACCCACGCCTGCTGGCCAAGACGGCGCTGGCTCCTCCACTCCCCTCTCGAGCTGGAAGTTCTGGACACCCGCTAAGCTTAGAGAGCGAAGGTCAACGGTGAAACCACTAAAGGAGTCGCAGACGTCCGTGGGGGATACCAGTGCTTCCGATAGCGAAAGCAGTGGAGGGAGCAGACCCAGCTCAAGGGTAAGCGGCAGAGACGCGGATGTGAAGCTGATTGATCGCGAGATGAGGATCATGAGGCGGGTGGCGAGGAAGTGGTGTCGGTTGGCGGGGGTGCAGAGCAAGGCATGCGATTGTTTGGATGAGGGCGAGTTTGACGTGCCGTGGACGAAGGCGGTGGCGCCGAGGGTGGAGGGGAGGATTGTGGAGGTTGTGGCTTGATTTTTTTTCCTGGATTGAAAGTGGTTGGTGTTGAGATGGTGAGAAGGAGAGGGATGGAGCTTGGCCGTGGTGAGGATGGTGGGACAGAGAGAGAGGTGATGCTATACCCAATGCTGCGAGTCTTGTTTTTTGCCCCACTCCTTTTGGGGATTTTGGAGAATACCTGTAACGGAATAATAACCCCGTTGAGCCCAACGACGAATGACCTGACCCGACCAACTTGAAGCACATTTCGGTGGCATTTTGACAGACCAGACAGTGACAGTGACAGCTCGGTTTCATTATCATACCTCCCGTTCTTTGAAAGAAGTGGAAGCCTAGAAGCTTTACCACCATCTCTGGACGTTATTATCGGAAGCCGTTATCAAAACCCCGAATTTTGCCCTACAGTTCCCTCTTACGGAAGTACACAGACCTCTTTCTTGTCAAGCCGAGTTCTGCGGCTAAACAAGCTTTGTAACCCAAAATGTAGCATTTCACCCAAACAGCCCCCTTTTGGACAGGCTGAGTTGCACAAAGGGGTTTGTTATCAGGTATTGTGCTACCCTCTTTCTTTTACGTCTCATCACATCCGGATTATCTTTACAAGTCCTTTACCCACTCTTCAAACGCTCTCGGTGATTGTTGGGGCTTGACTGCCGAGAGTAACTCTGGATGTCATGATGGTGTTGAGAAGGAGGTGAGGAAGTCGTGGTCCACTACCGCCATTTATCTTTCTAGGTGTATATGCCAGTCTACCTCTAGTTCTAGTTCTACACCCTCTTTCCACTCTCTATACCTACACACCCTCTACACACCCTCTTCATACCCTTTTTTTTTTTTTTTTTCATTTTCTTTTTTTATTCCCCGTCATCACACTCCTACCCTCCATCTCGTCAAAAGTTATCATCACGTAATCGACCGTTCGCCCATCCATCCAACAGCCATCCAGCCAGCCAACCATCCAACCAGCACCCGTCCTGATGACAAACAATCATGAACAACCTGCCAAGTTCAGCATGAACCCGAAGAATTCTTTTTCGGTTCGGTTTCGTCTTCCACCAGGGGCAGCTCCCCTCCCCTCCCCTCCTTCCCCATCATCCATTCCCTCCGTCTTCCACTCCATCCATGTCCTTCTTCCATGCAGGTACACTACATACAGATGTAGTAATCACAGGAACGGGATTGGATCCGAAAGAGGAGGCGCGCGGGGGGGCCTGCACCTGTAGAAGTAGAGGTATGTACCTGCAGATACTTTCCTGCAGGAAATCATAAAATTCATTCCTTTCAGCACCCTGCCTGCATTTACTCAAGTTACCTCACTCCATCTCGATCTCGACCGACGACGCACACATGTTCATGGAAGTTGCCTTATGCATTCTGTACCCGCACACGTTTCACACCCGAGACAAGTGCAATCACACAGAACATTGGACAGACATTGCGAAACACCCATGGGATATGATTTGGGTTGCTAGTTTATGCATTACATGCATGCAGGCATCGCGAACCCATTTTGTATCTGTCTCTCTTTTCGGAGGAGATTTTCTCACTTTTCCCAACAAGGCAATGAATGCTGACGGGAGATTTCTCGGCTCAACCCCTCGGCTCGTGGAAGCGATGGACGATGTCACGCCGTCACGCGCGCGCAATTTCCGCTGCCCGCTGCGGGTGCCTGTCAAGCCTGTGTGGCCTGGAACGTGCCTGGTGGTAGTAGCCTAGGTGGGCGGTTTAGGTGCGAGATGTTACACTGCGGTGTCTGTGTAGCATTTCTGTAGGTAGGCGAAGTCATCACCAAAGAATGGAAGCGACTAAGCTATCGGTCAGTTTTGGTGATGTGAGGGAAAATCCGGAACAGCCAAAAGCGCTTCATGACAATCTCTCGGTTCGACGGCAAAACATCAACCAAAAAAGGGATATCATTGCGATAATCTCAAAACAAATGGCACAGGGAGGACCCTGGGGAATTCGGCAACCAAATTCCTCAGCTGAAAGACATTTCGTACCTAGCCCTACCCAGACACCTCATCCCCGTCCGGCCCGTCGCAGCCCTCGGAGCTGGAGGACGCTATTCCCAAACCAGACACCATCGCGCGCTGCCCAGTGGCTCGTCGACCTCTTGGCGTTATTTTGCGATTTCCCCAGGGCTCCATCTTTCCCTCTTTGTCTCCGACCCTTGGCCTCACCATCCCTGTTTCCGCGTGGTGGTTTCGTTTCTTTTTTCGTATATTTTTTTTTTTTTTTTTTCTCTTCATGATCCCCCCTGGTTCCCGGTTGATCGTTGCCGTGGCTGACAGCTCAGATCAGATCTCTTTTCTTCTTCATCTTCATTACAGCAAAAAATCGGACAGCAGAAATACCATTCATGACTCGGCATCACCATGTGTCTGAGCGCCACTCCACATGGCCAAGAAGACGCCGCTGATGAAGCGGGTTTGAGCTTGGAGACGGCGGCGGAGTGAAGAACTCCAAACAGCTTAGTTCTAGAAGGTCTGGAGTCATTGAATGCGAGGATTCCCCTAATTGACGGCGGCTGGGAAAACGATTACACTAGCAGCGAGGGGTCTCGTGGGTGGGTTTAGCCTCGGCCTCGGCTGCTTGGAGACAACAACAAAAAGTTGGAAGCGAAGTTTGGTTTTTCCGCACGGACACGGGCCGATAGACCGGCAAGAAGTTGCTGCCCGATCAATGGATGAACCCATCAGTCAATAGACCAGAGGGGATGGATGGCTCAATGGGATGAACCACACTGCAGCCTGTTCATCACCCTCTCCTGACCCACTATCAAGGTCAAAGCACAAGGTGGCCTTCACTGAGCCGGGCTATAGACAGACTACCCCCCTTCCCTATATCTAGACTACTTAACCGCTTAGGGCATGGCTCTGAGGAATTTGACTAATCTTTTCAATCGCTAACATCCCACTGCAAAGATAAGGTGAAAGTCTGTTAGCTCACGATCGGTCATTTTCGCAAATTCCTCCAAGAAATAGTTAGTCACTTCTCTTGTTATTTTGGACAGGGCAATGCACTTTTACTAAATGTACTCCCCCCCAAAAAAAATGAGAAAAAAAAAGGAAAGAAGGAAAGAAAGTGAGTCCGGTCAAACTCAAATCTCAACTAAGCAAAAACGTCAATATAGATTACTACCAAACGGTCCAAGTGCAGTGTTTTGGAATGCATCTTCCTACCCGGGCGAAGACTGAGGATTCTGTACTTCTTTGGCCTGTTGCAAAACTTTTTTTTGTACGGCGGGGAAAAGCTGAGAAGCCTTGCCCTAAGCGGTTAAGTAGTCTAGATATAGGGAAGGGGGGTAGTCTGTCTATAGCCCGGCTCGCCTTCACTAGTCTAGAACTCGTCGGTCGTATGCGAACCAGGGGACCCGGACCTGTCAGACCGGAGCTCGGTTTCCCTTCTCAACCACTAGCACCGGGTGCTCGGCGACTATGCCCTGCCACGGGGAACTTCCACGCTGGGCGAGGGTCATGAAGAAGGGAAGATGAGGAGAACGAGGGTGGTTACATGCTGTGTGGTCTGGAGGGGGGAGAGGGGGGGTGCCCTTAAGATCACCTTTTATCTTCGTCTTCCCCTTGCTCTGCAGCACATGGCGGGCTTGCTTGCTTGCTACCTCGTCTAGTCAATCTTTTCTTGACCTTCAGAGGATTCCGCTGCCACTGTTGCAGTACTAAAATAGTGGGAGTCTAGCACTGCTACATACTCGAAAGGAAATAAAGAGTAGGATATAGGGCTGTTGGGCTGTCGTCGTCGATCATTCATTCATTCCGGCCTTTACACCACACTACACCACGACCTGTGATCAGCGATCACATCAGAAGAAAACGAAATCGATGCTGGCGTCAAGAAAGTAGATGGACGACGGACGGATCCTGTCATTCGATGGTTGAGAACATACACCAAATAAATACCAACAAGAAGGAATCACGAAAGAAACAAGAAAAGGGGAGATATCAGGAATATCGAGCCAAAACACCAACACACACATACACACATTCGCCAGCATGAGAATCCCACCACCAGACGTACTGGCCCAATGGCCAGCACCAAACTACGTCAACCCCGAAAGCCGAGGACCGGGCCTCACCATTATCGAACTCATCATGCTTCCGCTCTCTCTCATGTTCCTCGGTCTCCGTCTCTACGTGCGCGGTCGCCTCCTACGCAAAACGGGATGGGATGACTGGTTCATGATCATCGCCTCGGTATGTCATGTCTTTCCCCCAACTTCCTAATACACCTAACTAACATAATCCAGATCTTCGGCACCACCGTCTCCATCTGCGTCATCCTCGCCTACACCACTTTCGGCTGGGACAAGCACATCTGGGACCTAACCGTGACCGAAATCTCCCATGGGCGCAAGATCTCCATGGCCACACAAGCCGTCTTCATCATGTCCTCCTGCTTCTCCAAAGTCTCCATCCTAGTGTCCTACCTCGCCCTGGCGCCCATGGACTCGTGGTTCCGCCGCCTGACCAAAGTCTCCATGGTCTTTATCATCGCCATGAACTGCGGCTCCTTCATCCTGCTCTTCACACAATGCCACCCCGTGTCCTCGTACTGGAGCCTGGTCCAGTCCAACAGCACCGACTGCATCCAAGAGTACGCGCCGCTCATGACGCACGCCATCGTCACTGCTCTCGCAGATTTCATTGTGTGGGTCTTGCCGCTCCCGACCTTTTTCCGGGCGCATATCCCCATTCACCAGCGCATTATTCTCGTGGTGCTGTTTAGTTTTGGCTTGTTGGTCGTCTTTGCTGCGTGCATAAGAATGTACTGGGTCCATTATGTCGTGTGGGAGACGTGGGATCCGACGTGGGAGGGCAACCAGCTGTGGGCGTGGACGGCGGTGGAGATCCATTTGGGCATCATGTGTGGGTGTGTCCCGTATTTCAAGAGTTTGTTTCGGTTTTGGAAGGGCAAGACTTCGAGAAGAGGGACGAGTAATAAGGGAACTTCGCAGAGTTGGGCGGGCAGTAGACGAGATGGTGGCGGTGCGGGTGTAGGTGGAAGTAGTAAGATTGGTGATGAGCAGCAGCGGCAGGGGCAAAACTCGAGGGTGGAGGTTAGAAAGGTCATCAGCTTTTCGAGTGAGAGGAGCGAGGAGCCGTTGAGTCCGACCATGGGGACTGCGTGTACTGTGAGTGTGGATGGTGTGGAGGAGATTGAACTGCAGGAGAAGAGGACGAGTGCGTTCAGTACCGTGTCGAGGGAGGTCGAGGATCAGAAGGGTGGACATGCTCACCAGGGAGAGTGGGGCTTTGAGTTTGATGGGGCGAGGGGGGTGCAGCATAGCAAGAGCTTGTCGGCGGAGAGTACGTTTGGGAACAAGGTCGAGATTTGGCGGGGGAGGTGATGATCACAACAAACATACCTCTAGGATGGGATGAGCGTATGTGTCATGTTTTATGTCAATCGTTTCTAATTTACTTTGTCAACGTCAATATGTCTCGGTTGTTTGAATGTTGTGAATTTGGTGGTTCGTGAAAATGGCGAGGCGTGGTTGTTGACGATGGCTAGCCTGGGAAGAGGCCGGGACATGGAGAGGAAGATATTCCTGCGGGAGTGTTATGGTGCGTTTCTATAGCCAACTATGTCAAATTCATTGGAAGTGAGTGTGGGAAGTAATCCTTCCCATGCTTTGGTGATGGCTGTTGACGATGTGGAGAGGAAAGGGGAGGCAAAGACACTCGTGTAACCCGAACCCTGAATCTTTGATTGAGCCCACTGTGACCACAGCACACTTCAGCGGATTCCCCGCTGCATGACGCGAACGCACTGATAAGGTGGGCAACGCCGATAAGACTTCCCCCAAGCACCGGATTGTTGACTTTCTCTCGACTTTTCCTCAACACCAAAACACCAATTGTCAACACCACATTGCTCAACCATTTCCCAGCTGACTAACGCGCTACTGGAGTAGAACTGACAGCGCGAACTCCTACATCCATCAATCCCCACGAACGGAGCTACTCCAGCGTGTCGCAACCGCAATCGCCCCGCGATCCTCGGACGCCAGCTTCCACAGCTAGACAGCTTAGTCGACTCAACCAGCCACAACACGGACAGATATCCAAGATGCCACCACAAGGTCGCAAACGCCAACGGACTGAAATCGAACCCGAACCCGGACCGCGACGTCCATCTACCTCCCCCGACCGACAATCTTCCCCAGAAATCCTCGAGCAAGAAGAGTCGCGACCACCGTTCTACAACACCACCTTCTCGACGCACCGTGTCTCGCCTCTTTACCTTGGCAAACAACCGCTGGACCGGGAACGATTACAGGCCCTTTCACAACGATTGCGCGAAATACTAGTCGGGGATGTTGTCCGTGGCGTTGAGGTTGGGTTGGGAAGAGCAGACGGAGAGGATGGCGTGATGGGAAGAGCCGGGGCGTTAGAGTACGTCGACATTCGATGGGTTAACATGGGCGCCGTACTGGATATCACCAGCCCCGAAACAAATGATAGCGAGGGCGAGCATGAAGATGCCACACGACGAACAGACCTCGACTGGCCAGGACTTGTCTCCGATCTTAAAGACAAGAAGGCCCTCCACATCCTCCTCCGGTATGAAACCGCCGAATGCACCGCGCTGCTCCTCCCATCCTCCTCAGATCAACAACAAGCAGACCTACCAACGAACCAATCCACCATCTCCAACTCCCAACCCACCGACCCTCCAAACCCCGCCCACTTCCTCCACCTCCCTCTCCTCCTACTCCGGATGCCCGCCCCTCTCAAATCAGTAATCAGCGACTTCCTCTCCACAACCTTCGACTGCCGCGTTAGTCCTCTCCGTCTCGGCACTCGGAGTCTCGTTCAGTCATGGGAATCATGGATTCGCACAGCCGGGCTACCCGAAAAAGGACCACTAGCCAAGGACGTGGTCCTTAATCTTGGAATCTACATCCCACCACCGGAAAACAAAGGAACCGCCACTGACGCCACTCCCGCCGCAGGAGAAGACAAAGATGGAACACCCGGCCAGGAACCGCTGGGGATAAAGGGCATTGATGTCATTATTCCTGCTGCTGATGTGCGGGGGTTTGTCCGGGCTGGGAAGCAGATGCAGGGCGATAAAGACAAGGAAAAGGAAAAAGGGAAGGGCAAAACCAAGGAAAAGCAGACGTGGGAGATGGATGTCAAGAAACGACGAAAGTTGGCTGGTCGGCTGGGAGAGGAAGGGTGGGAGTGGAGGACTGCTGTCTCTGGAGCTAATCAGACGGAGGAATCACCGTTTACGGAAGCTCTAGGTCGGTATGTGGATAAGCACCTGGGGTTGAACTTGTTTCATCCGGGCGTGAGGGTGACGAAGATTGCGTGTGGGGGGTTCGTCATGTCAGAAGGGAGACTAAAGGTGTTTGCGCCGAGGGAGGAGGGAGGACAGAGGCAAAGGGCAGCAGTGTGGAAGTTGGTTTCGGGGTTGGTTGGGAAGGCTGAGGGTGGCAAGGCGTTGGCGTAATGACTGATCTCTATGAGACATCAGTCAATCAGAGTACAGTAGTCGTCCCCTTCAGCCTTGCTCGTTATTCTTTTCTCGGTTACCGCTAGCCTTGCGTGGCTAGTTCTTGATACCCAAATGCAACTGCTCTGTTCTGGCACACACTTGATAACCTATAGATAATGTTATATTTGATGGTAAGTCTAATTATCCCGGTGGTTCACTAGGTACAGATCAGCTAAAGAGTTGCCGTCATCAATCCAGTATGGGTGTATTTTATTTATTTATAATAACATCCTGGGTACTTCCAAAACCATTCCACACTCTTTTTTACATTTATAATTGTATACTTTCGTGAAACACGGTGTGGCGTATTGAATTTCGTCTATTATTAACATAAAGTCCCCTTTTCTTATTTTTCTCTATCTACAATATATTGTCTAGTACTTACAGGTTTATTTATTAGCTTGAGACCTTGTGTCAACTTTCCTATACATTTTCATAGCTAACTGATATATAACATTACTTTACATGCGCTATCTCTAATATTCAAAATATCATATCTAATCTCATTAATGCCTTTTAACCTTACCTAATAAGCTTCAATACTATTCGGAATAGATTTAGTCCGGTGTATCACGTATAATATACTACCAAGAATACGTAATATACTAAGCTAATAAATAAAGCAATATCGGACTATACTAGTCAATCCTCCACCCCTCTCCCCGCCAAATACTCACAACACATCTTCAATGGTCCCATCACTTTATTGAGCATATCCTTCCTCCACCTCTCTATTGCCGCATTCCCTGCATATAACCTGCCTGACTTATTCTTTGGCTCACCTTTGCTGCCAGAATAACCCCGATTTCCCCCTAAACACCAATTCACCGCAGCCGCATAATCTGGTCCTGCCTCTCCCAGGACTTTACCCTGCCAATCTTTCGCCGCAGCTACGTCATAAATTGCTCGCAAGTCATCGTTAGATGCGGCGAACTTGTCATCGTACCGCCGCCGGCAGGGTTGATCTCTGAGGCGCTTTCCGAAGCAAAGTTCGAGGAGGATGATGCCTAGTTGGTCGAAAGAGGTGCCTTTCGGCATGTGCGGTCCGTGCTTGTGGCTCGGGTTTTTGCCCACGAAGGGGTGTTGAACGTAGGGTTCGTTCAAAAAGGCCGGTTCGTCTTCAGCGAGTAAGTGTGCGGTAGAGTTTGGATCTACGAGGAAGATGATGCCCGTTTTAGTGATTGTTGTTGTGGGAAGCCAGGGAGAACCGAGAAGCTGAACGAAGGAGGAGGCGATGGTTAGGGCTAGGGAGAATCTTTGTCTGCGTTCAAGATTCTGGAAAAGATCTGCATCAATGATGTCCTGTAGAGTGATAGCGATGTGATGCTGGGTCGGGCGGTAGTAGGGGACGTCGTAGATGTGGTATGCAATGTCTTTGCTAACGAGGTAGCCGTAGCTGGACTCCTGCTCGTCTGGGATTTCGGATGAGACTTGTGGTGTTTCCAAGGCGGTGCAGAGACAGTGGATGATCTGCTGTGAGGTTGTGCGTGTGGTGTAACCGGTGGAGGCGATGGTGATCTCGTCTTTTTGCTTCACTTGTACGAGAGTCATTGTTGTTGAAGATCTGTGTACGATGGGTTAGCTTGTAATTGATCCTGCTTTTGCTAGGTAAGGTAACATACCCAATGGTCACTTCTTGAGATCCTGAGAACATTGCAGTTTTTCCCTTTCCTTTTTTAGGATTTCCCAGCGCGGACTTGAGTGGACGGCTGTCCTTGTGGGATGGCGTGTGTATCGGCAAGCTCATCCGAGTTTGGGCCTCCTCTTCTGGCTCGGAGTTGAGACCGTTTTTCCCAACAATCTTCGTTTTCCGGGCATTCCATGTTGTCAGAGATGGCTGTTCCTTCGTGAACAGTACCTCAAATTCGGGCGTAGCATCGCTCCGATGTCGTAAAAGGAGATTCGCGCAGTGGGTCTTGCATCGGCAGTTCCAGCTTGAGGCAATGGTGTGGAAGAATTTGTCGGCTGTTACCCAAAAGTTACAGAGCGCAGTGTCGATGGCGGCAGTTTTTGGCTGAGCCGCAACAGGAATTTGAGCGGAGAGGTCTCGGAGTCTGTCGCTGCCCGCGAGAAGGTCCCGGAGTTTTCTGTTGTAATCTTCCAATTTGCTGAACAGACGGGTTCGCTTCTCATCGCCCTTGAAGGCAAACGTGAATCTGAACCTTTGGAACGACCAATTGTCGCTTTCTCTCAGCGCCTTCAATCGTGCAATTATTGTAGCCTCCCCCTAGGCAGGTGGTTTGTGTCATTGGCAAGCCTTGATTGAAGTCTTGTGTTCCTCTAGGTGTGGACTTACAGATGCGTTCATCATGCTCTGAACTGACGGGTTACGCAAAGCAAGCTCTTGAACAATGGCTTCCATGACCTGCTTGATCACCTGAATGCAATCCATATACACCTCATAGCCATCGCGGAGGCGTTCCTGCAGGAGGCGGGCTGTCTTGGGCTCGGTCCACCAAGTCCCAAACGGGTCCTTGATGAGGTCGGGGATCTTGTCCTTTTCCGTTTCGTCGTCGATCATGAGAGAAAGAAGCAGCTCTTTGAGATTTCGTTCGTATAAGAGGAGGTTGTACTTTAGTTGCCGATGCCATTCCTGGTATTCCGTCCTGATCTTGTAAAAGTGATTGAGGCGCCGGGCTACCTCGCCATATTTCTCAAGGGCCTCAATGGCGAGGGGAAGGACCCCAAGCACAACACCGGCAATCTCGAGGCCGGGGTTTTGGAATTTGGGAAGCAGAGGATGAGTGCCTCCTTCCCTCAGAGTCGGAAGATGATTCAATGGCACGTGCGGGGAAGGCATCAGCAAGGAGGCGAAGAAGTGGAAGGTGGACTGCAACGCTGCAGATTGGGTTGGGGAGACGCCAGCCGCCCAATGGAAAGTGCAACCAGTTAAGTTGAGGTATCGACGCCCACTATGCTACTGTACGTACTATGTACCTCTATGCATGAGAGCCTCTGATTTGACGCTGATTCGAGTCGAGCATGCGGGGTAGATAGGTAGCTGAGAATCCGTCCAAGATGTCCAACATCAGCGACTGCACCCGATTTACACGAGCCAAAACACCTGCGAACCCCGGCATGGGAGCATACCAGACAGACACAATTCGATCTACATTGACCATAGGCCAAGTTGGACGTCGATTACAGATCCATTATGAACAACGTGACAATCAGTGACAGATGCCGCAATATTCGACAGCAGTTGACAGACCTCCTGGCCGTACTGGAGAATGGATCCATATTCGCCCAAGGGTCAACAACGGTCACTCCCTCTTCGGTTAAGGAGGTTCTAGAGAGATTTATGCTGTGGGCTGGAAATCTGGGAGTACTAAGGAAGTCTACATCAAAACTATCTCTAGACAGCAGGCTAGCAGGTTCCTCGGATTTGCGGGACTACATCTGTGCCGAGTTGGAGGATATGTCTGAGGAGCTTGAGGACCGTGAGTAGTCATTACTGAACCTCCCCTCACCTATTCCATGCTCAAAATAGTGTTCTGACAATGAGGACAACAGTTTCGAACATTGTAAATGGTTCTCTGCCCAACCGGGAGATTGGTTACGGTTCAGGTTCAGAAAACGACCTTGACATGGGCTTTGATGAGAGTTACTCCTACTCCGACAATCCCGTTGATGAGGCTGGTTCCATTCTCCAAGTCATCTCACAGGGCATTACATCGCTTTTGAAGATTGGCATCTTGGTACGACAACCAGCCTCGAGCGGAACCGACCGCTTCCATCGTGCATCTCGGGACTCGACCAATGCCTTCCTGGATCGTTTTGATATTGACTATGTACGGCACAAGCATCCAAAACTAGGGGACGGAGCGCAGTCATCCCGTATGGGAAGGGCGATTGCGAAGCGAAGACAGTTCATCCGCTATTGCCGAGACCACAAAGACAATCTGGCGGCCGAGGAAGAGGAAGACAAGGCCGGAAGCCAAAAAGCCACAACAGACAAGCAGTCCAGCAAAGCGACAACGTTCGTTGCCAAGGAAAACCTGATGGATATCCTTCAGGGATCTGCGGACATCCTTGGAGAAGAAGACGCTGTCTCTCTTTGCAGCGTTTCTACCACGTCCGAATCACTGGCAGTCCTGAAGCTGCCGCGACTCGCAGACCTATCCCCGGAAGACGACCCCTTCGAATGTCCTATTTGCTACACTCTTCAGCAATTCCGCTCGGAACAGGCATGGCGGTAGGTCTGACCACACCACGGAGCTCGCATAATGACACTTCGAACCATTGAAACCGGGATAAGGCTAACACACATGTCCGACACTTTAGGCGTCATGCGTATCGCGACCTTAAAGCCTATATATGCACAGTGGGCGGAACCGAATGTGACGACAAGTTCTTCGAAGACCGGACATCGTGGTTTGATCACGAACTTGAACAGCATAGATGCAATTACATGTGTGTTCTCTGTGGAGTGAACGACGGAAAAGCCAAGACAACTCGAAGCAAACTCAGACAACATATCCTCAGTACTCACGGTGATTTCGAAGCCGATCAACTCGAGAGGCTTGAAGATGCTGGCCGGGAGACCATCACGTCCTTCAAGACCAACGATTGTCCCTTTTGCGATGATTGGTCTAAACTCATGGCAAACAGGAAGCCCCCCGGGAGAGAAGCTCAACTTGAAGACGGCTTCCTCGTCAGCATGAGCCGGTTCAAGAAGCATGTCGCCATGCACTCGGAGCAACTTGCCATTTTTGCCCTTCCACGACATGAACATGAAACGGGCATCGACGAAGACGCATCGCACGGCTCTGATTCACGCGTGATAGAATCCCGTAGCTCGGCAAGTGGTGCAGCGTCATCCAGATCAGGAGACGACCTAGGCATTGAAGATCACCAAAGTGACCAAATGACGCCGACTGATGAAGTCTCTGTCATTAGAGCCATTCAATCTAGGCTGAAGTCTCAGGCTTGGCCAACAACCGGTTGGCAGGCTACACATATCCAGTTGCTGGAACGCGTCCATAAGACATCAGCCTTGTACGGAGTTCGGGCATTACCTTCTCAGAGAGCTTAGAGGCTAACATTTACTCTAGGGCTAGACTCCGTAAGCTGGCTAGGCAAGTCGACACCTGGCCAGAGGCGGTGAATTACGCGCTCGAGTACGAAAGACGGCTCCTTCTACAGTCCCCGGATAAGGTATATAACAAACCCCCTCTACACCATAGAACCGTCCTGGCTGACTTTACTCACCAATCTCAGCCGACGTACGAGAAACTATTCCGTCTACGATTGCGTCAACTCATACAACAGCGGCTGGCCCATGCTACGACGCCCCTCTCTGCCAACAACAAAAGCAAGGGCGAGGGGCTAAATGACCCTAATGAGTCTGAAGATCTTTCTCGGGAGAATGCCAGCGGCAGTTCAGCCCCGCCCCCTACTAATACCGTGCCGGATTCATCATCAACGCGACGCTCATCAAAGAAGGATATGGGTACCTCTACAATGAGCACGTCTAGAGAAGCACTTGAGCCGCCTGAAAGTATTGAGGGCGAAAGTACGCCTGTCCGGAAATATCGTGTGAACTATGATAATCATAGTCGTTACCGGTACACCTGCCACCCTTGCCACTTTTCTACTGACGTTAAGCTGGACATGAGTCGCCATAAGAACACCCGCAAGCATAGGGAAAGGATGATGCAAGATAGGGCTAACTCGGAAAACGAAGAGCACGAAAAAAACAAGGACAAAGGCACCAGTAGCAGCCACGACTCAGACGAGAAGGACACCGATGGCATTATTAAAGTAAAACGAAGCATCACGAGGGTAAGCGGGTGTACATAAAATGGTGTCTTCTTTCACCACTTTCATTTTCTTTCTTTTCTTTTCTTTAACCAATTCAAGCATTCTCACTTCCATTGTTCCAACTCACGTGATACTACATACTCAGAATACTTCGACAAAGGACACCGATGGCATGGAATACATTGGGAATATTGAATGCCCTAGACTTGGCTATGACGCATTCATGCAGTTTGAAGATCAACAACAAGGCGTCGACCAATCAGTCGGTAATTCATCGCACCCACCAGAATCAACGGAAAGCCTTGGACCTGACGGTCAACCAGCTGCCCGTCCCAGCAGTCCAAAGGATATGACGACGGGTGAGCCAGCAGGGGCAAGTAATTCGGGGATTAATGCAACTCCGCCCCTTAAGTCTGCCGAAGATGAAAAACGACAGATGGAGTGGAAAGGGCTGCTTGAGCGGGCTAAGGCGCTGAGGGAATTGAATAGGCTACACAGGAACAGAAAGAGATGAAGGAAGTTTGGTAAAGCAATCTCCATTGTACAGAAACTACGGCCAGGTATCGCCCTCTGCGCCCGAGAGGAAGCCGCGACCACTGTTATAGGGATGGAATGCCAGAAAGGCGGCGGGAACATCATGAGGCTGCGGTATCGATTAGATGAGAGAACTTTGAGGGATGGAAGACGAGGAAGATGGATGGTACGAGGAAGAAGGACTAAACAGAGGAGCAGAAAATCAATCGAGAAAGGTAGAGTGGCCAAAGATATCTGATGACATGTCTGGAAGGTTGCGATAATCGTTGAGCGTGACAGGGTCACCGATCAGTAGCAGCTCTTTCATTCACACTTCCTTCATCGATGCAGATGACAAGCTGTTCTTGGATGGACACTAAAGATAAAGGTACCTCTACATACTTCCATGAATGATCTACGTTCACGAAGTGTATTTGCTCGCAGACTCCTTCGGTTGATCTGTCCTCTTACACGCTGCCGTCATGGTTGGTGGACTACACAAAATTGCTGTTGCTTCGAAGATGGTGCCATCGCATTGCAAAGGGAAAGTCGAGGATGCGGGTAGGAATGGCTTTCGTGAAAGCCTTCCATGAAAAGTTCTTTCCATTCTTAATGGCGAAGCTCGCTCTTTCCGGGTATAACCACACGCACAACCTACTTTCACCTGCTTCCCCAAAGATTTTCATCAAATATTCTTTCCTTTCGCTCGTATCCAGCCACGTACGTATAAACCTCCATTAACTCCTGAGTTCGCCAACTCGAAACCACACAGGCATCCACTCCCACTCCATCTCTTCCTCGCCCCACTCACACTCGTCCATCCCATCCTACTCCCTCCTTCCCGCCACGTACTGCAGCCAAGCTTCCGACGGTCTCGTCAAATGCTCCTCACACTCCGCTCTGAACACAAGCGCAGGACACATCTCGACGTTCCTTCCCACAAACTTCATCCACAGCTGGATCGCCGTCGCCCACTCCACGACAGCCTCCACCAGGACCTCGGGGCGGGGGTTGCCGAGGCAGAGGTGCTCGTAGTAGCCGTGCACCGCTTCCTCCCTTGCCGTGTGATAGGCTCGGGACACTTTGTCTGGGGTGTCGACGTGCTCAGGGGCCACGACCAGGATGTCTTCCAGCACTATGGAGAGCATGTGGAACTTGATGCGCTCCTTGGTTGTCTCGTAGGATTCTTGGTTGTTCCTGTTTGCGGCAGACATCTGGATGACGGGAGGTTAGTGAGAAGTCAGGTTGAGGAAAGTGTGGGTGCCGGGATGATTACCTTGAAATGGGAATGGAAGATGTGGGCGATCTGATGAAAAAGGTAAGAAAAGTGTTAGCGAGGGAAAGAGATTATCGACTGATTGAAAGTGGAATATGGTGGCTTACGTGGAGTTGAGGAGGATGTGAGGTTGACGGTAACCTTTGAATGGAGATGAAAGTTGTTGAGGGTCTAATGAGAGAATGAAAGAAGGTATTAGCGGATGTATAGACTGTTGCTTGAACGGAGAGAAAGAACTTACGTTGATAGCTTCTACTCAGGGTATGACCTTGAGAACGCGGGGTTAGCGCCCGGGAAGAAGGAAGATGGTGATGAACTGATGAATGAAAGTAAGGAAGTATTGGCGAGACATGTAGACTGATTGTTGGACAGAGGAGGAATACTTACGTTGTTTCTGCTTAGAGAGGTAACCGTGAGACGTGTCGCGGGGTGGAGAGACAGAAGAGTTTCTGTAGAGGTAGTTGTGTGAGAAAAGGAAAAGAAAGAGGAGAGGGTTGTGCACGGGGATGGAGTTACCTACCTATAGGGCACCCTACCTCGACCTTGGCTAGACGCGACGTGACTGAAATCTACGACGCGACGGAGGGACGTCTGCCTAACTCTAGAAAGCAAACAACCAGAGAAGGGTGAGGCTCAGGCACGGTCCCGCAAAGGAAAGACGGGAAGGTCAGGTCTAGGGCCGTAGAGGTGTACTTGGCTTGCTGTAATACAAAGTCGTATATAAGAGATTCCAAACAAAGTGCAGTGATGGATCAGCAACGAGACGCGAAAATAATAGCTCAAAACTACGTCTATCATCGGTGGAGGTATTCAAGACCTTCGATCAGATACAGATATCGACCAGCACCTTACGTAGAGGTAGATATAGGGGTGAGGGAAAGAAGTTACATTGAAGACTGACCTAGGCGTACTTTGGTACCTAGGAATTGTTCCAAAGCTTGTATTAAGACAGTTGTAGTTGAGAACCTTTGCTGCGTTTGCTACCTCGAGTTTTCCATGACTCCAAGGTACCGTCAAGCTGATACTCTTGCACTTTACGTCTCTAGTCATCTATACCTCAACCATGACTGGTTGGGAATGACCATTGGCCTGCCAGCCATCAGAGAAACATGATGCATGTTTCAGTGACTCAGAGTGCTTCTATATCATGTAGCACTCCGAGAACATGTCAGGTTTTATGTGACTGCGTATATGCTGACCATGACTATCTCATGGTTAAATCTTCTAGTTCGTATGGTCTATGTCACCACTTGGTGGCTAGTAGAGGTAGGTATGTCAATTGAAAACACCAAAAAAAAAATGGCGATTCGCAGTACACCGAGACTCCAAATTCAAATTGTTCAAGAGAAGATTGAATGGAAGCTGATATAATATGGATGCTTCCGTTCCCCGTTCTCCATTAAACCGTCATTCTTTCCCTTCACTGGCATCACCCACTTTACGCAGTACATCTGCCGACTGACCTGACACGGGGCGGGAGTTCGACAGTCGGTGAAGGGTCTCTCAAATGAGGAAGGTACGAGATAACAAAACGCCAGGCGGTCAAGACGTAACACCATCGGGACGAGAAGGTTGGCCAAGCCCAAGTGACAGCGAGCCTCAGCTTTGCCCTCTGCCACCTGGCCCACCAACCCTTCACTCCTCCCTCGAAATTTTGTTCTCTTGTTGTGCAATCTCTTCCACCTTTCAACCCCTCGGTCCTTTCACTGTAACCAGCAACTCATAACAACACGCTTTCCACGTAGAGGCAACTAGCAACCCCATTCATCTGTGTGTAGGGGTATATACCACAACCCATCACAAACCGCAAAATGTCCAACACCAACACCAACAACCACAACCAGCTTCCAGCCATGCCCGTCAACGCCGGACTCGACAATGACAATGGCCGTGTCAGCAACGAAGACATCCGCAAATACGTGGCAGACTCAGCGCAGCAAATGTCCTTCCGATGCTTATTTCCCCAGGAAGTCCACGACAGAATGTGGCAGCTGTTCAAGATGGCAGTCCGCTTCACCCAGAGGGAAATGGAACAGGACTTGAGCTTTGCGCCACTGGCCGTTGCCAGGGAGTTTCTCAAGAAGGAACGCCATGCCTACGCCCTCGACAGAGAAAAATGGGCTACCGAAGAGAGGATCATGGGACTCAGGAGACAGGAGCTGGCAATCGAAAGGCAGTGTATCGCTGCAGAGAAGGCCAAGATAGTCGCCGCACAGCGGAAGTTGGCCGCTGAACGGCTCCAGTTTGAGGCGAAGAAAAACATCATCAGGGCGGGACAAAAGGTTCCTGGCCTTATCACACGGCGCCCTGCCATGATTCCCATCCAAGAGCAGCAAAGAGAGCCCCTGACGATCGCGACTTCAAAAGAGAAAGATCATTCCGGAACGAGAGAACCACAAATCAGGAGCAAAGTAAGTGCCCACTCGGCCACTCCTATCATTGCAGTGATATGTCAAAGACCCAAAGTTACTTCCAGGATGTGTTTGACAGGATTGATGTTGTATAGAATATCCAGCACGAGGACACCCCCGACACTGCTCTGAGCCGAAATCTCAAACGGAGCAGATCAGACATGGAGGCCGCGCCCGACAAGACCAGCAACACACTGCAACAAGTCCGGCACTCGGAGCCCACAAAGCCGGCACCAATCAACATTACTCTTCTCGAGGGCTGCGTCCGGACGACGGCCAAGGTAGTGGACCTTCTCATCCTCAAACAACCCCATGATATTGTGTCCCGACCAAAACAGCGCGACCCCAACGTCTCGGCACCCCTCATCACGTCCATCATCTCCAGCCTCTTTGCAAAGGGAAACGAACATCGATTGAGAAACTGGCGCGCATTCGAGCGTGAGGGTGCTCCAGACCGATGGTACTGCTGGCTCAGTGTCCTTGACCCCGATCATGGAAATACGACGTTGAAGGAAAATTCGACATGTCGATGCGAGAAGCTCTGGAATGTGGCAGTATGTGTGCCTACTCGGCATGGGTGTATCTGGGTTTGTAAGGATGGGCGGACGGGGTTGTTGTCTTTTGTGTGGAGGGAGGTGTGGGAGAAGATGGAGGGAGGGCACCGAGAGCGGTGCCAGGTGGTTGGGTAAGGGTTAAATCGGTTGCTTGAGTCGTAGACTGGGTTGATGTGTGAATACCTACCTCTAGGTACACAGGGAAAATGTTGGATGAAGCGATGTTCCCCGTTGCCAATGAACCGGATACAAACTGACGATTGGCAAGCCATGGAGTCAAGGTCGTGTAACCGAAGTAGTGTGGTTGGCGTCAGATTGCAAGTCACGCGAGTCGCAGGACTCATGCCATTTGATTGCTGCGAGATGTAAAAATGAAAAGGGGAAGGAAAACTTGAAATGGGAAGCGGTTGGTTCTTTCCATAGCACCACTGCAGAGTAGAGACACCGATATCGCTCATTGCGTGCTAATGTTCAGTAATATTATAGCGCCTTACAGGACCAGACATCTAACAGCATTTCGTCGTGGAAAGCCCCGCCAAGCTTGCGGTCGGTACCTACCTAGTCTGAACAGACCCAAGCCACTCGTCATCCACGTCCCGACGTGAATGAATCAGTCGTTGAAGGTGGAATATGAAATTGGTGAGGATTCAATTAAATTTGGTAGACGGGAGTGACATTCTTACTACACCGGGTTGAGAGTGGGAAGTGGAAGTGACGAGAGCTGGAGGCCGGAGTCGGGTATTCTACCGTGGTGGAGTCTGCAATAGTGTATAGGGGGCTTGTAGCGGCTTACAGCAACTGGCGTCTAACAGCACGCGATCGGACGCAAAGCAGAACGGACATGGTTATTCCAAAAGTTTGCCAAGGCCCCATCGACCGACAAGCGCCTACCTATTCACGGAGGGACAGTTGCAGAGCAGAGTGGGTCAAAAAGGGCAAGAACACTTCGCAATGAAAGCTGAACTGGTTCATTCATCGAGCGTCGGAAGGAGTATTTGAGGCCGGCGAGAGGCGAGGTTTGAGGGACACAAAAACTGTAGTGAGTGTCGCCGGCCCCAACTCCTGGCATCTCCTTGAGTGGCTCAAATTCTATGATTTTCTACCAACCAACCATTACGGATTCACCACTTCAGTCGTCATTGGCAAGCCAAGCAACGACATACTACAATACATTCTTCTCTCAATTGTTCATCCATCTTGGCTCCCAATCTTTTTGCGACTTTGTCTTCTAGGGCTTTGATTCGCTCCCCCAAGACCGCGCCATCAGGTCCCCGCCACACACGCAGCCCCCTCAGCCCCCAAGTATTCCCAGCTGTCAAATGCCCAACAACGACATGACTTCGCCCAACAAGAAAAAGCCACGTCCATCATGCAAAGCCGACAACCAAATGGATGGGTTCTTGAGATGCTGAAGAGGGAGCCAACCCCCCAAGTTTGCGACCAGTTTCTGAGACACTTAGTAGGCACCTTTGCAGCAAACTTGAGCGCGCTTTATCGCCCTTCAAGCGCACACAATCCTGTCTTCGACCTTCTCTCTCTGCTCTGCCCCCCTTGGTTGAAGAATGGCTACATTTCTACAAACTCAACGCCGCCGCCTTCGGGACCACCTGAAACAACGATGGGCTAAAACGGGCATAAAAACGCTCATCGTAAGTCTTCAACTAGTCTTCGTCCCATGGATTTGCGTACTAACACAAACACACAGGATGGCACAAGGTTTTGCTCAACATGTCGACGAATTAGCGCCCGGCTTGAGGAACTCATTGACCGGGGATTTGATGGCCTTCATATGCTCAGAAGCCGGTGCTTGGTCGCACGCATCGATCTTCGGAACCACATCCCAGTCGAACAGTCCCGACAAAAGAAATGTAACCTCTGCAATGTCATGACCCACATGGTTCGAGTCAGTGGTACCCTTGAAAGTTGGCTTACAAAAGATTGCTACCTTTATATCGGTTCGGCAAAGGAACAGTACGGCATCCCTAGAGACTCCTCCCACATTTCTAACAGCTTTTGCATGTGGATTCTGCCAAACGGAATTGTTCCAGGGTATAACCCGTTTGGCCCATCGTTACCATACGAGCCCCGTGATTACAACTTGTACCTTGATCAGGCTGTTGAAGTCAGCAATGATCCAGGGAAGATAGGTGGCTGCCTCGTCGGACCTTACGCAGACTTCGAGCTTGTCAGGTCATGGTTTAACGACTGCACTTTGCATCATGGCACTACCACCTGCCAAACCGACGCTTCCAATCTCCAAGATATTGCAGCGTTCCGAGTAATAGACTGTTCGTGGCGGAGTCTCGTTTCATGGTCGCAGCTACCGACAAATCAAGATCGCAATTATGTTGCTCTTAGCTACGTCTGGGGAACCAAACCGGATCAGTCTTCGTGGAGAAATTGGTCTCAAAGGACTATCTTGGAAACCCGGAACCCTAAGACGGTAGAGAAGCCAGAGGCCCAGACAACCGATTGGCGGCTTCCGTCAAAGCTTCCTCCTCTTATCGAAGACACTATCACGGCGGTCATCAAGCTAGGTTTCAGATATCTCTGGATTGATCGGTACTGTATCCCGCAAGGGGATCAAGAAGCAAAACACACACAGATTCAGAACATGGATAGCATTTATGGGTCAGCTTCTCTGACAATCATTGCGGCGGCGTCAAATGATCCATCCCACGGACTCCCGGGTGTGTCGTTGCCGAGATACGGCCGTGGTCGTCCGGATAAGGATCCACCAGTTTCTGTTAGAATTGGATCCCGAACGTTTGTCACTGTGGGGACAGGCGACATGCCACGACAACTAAGGGAATCAAAGTGGAATAATCGAGCGTGGACAATGCAGGAAGCTTTTCTATCATGCCGCTGCCTCGTTTTCTTCGATGATGGAGCATACTTCCAATGCAGCTCACCTAGGTCGCACCGCTTTGAGGCACTTCATGAGCCGTCAGCTCTACTGCAGCTCAGACACGAAGTACTCAGTGCCCAAAAGCGAGAAATTATGGAATCAATGCCTGCAGACTCATTAATTCTGACCAAAATCGGAAAAGCTGGGGATTTTGAGCTTGACTGGTGTGTGCAACTTGTGGAGGACTATTTCCCTCGAAGCCTGACCTTCGAAAACGACACCCTAAATGCATTTTCGGGCATGTTGAAGTATTTGCAGTCCTTGAAGCCGTCGTTTCCCAACCTGTGGGGTGTGTTGATGCTCCCAGACGTCCTATCAACGTCCCCTGAACAACGGATCAGATATAATCTCGTCCTCGGTTTAGCATGGCTTTACCGTGAGCATACCTCTAGGGGTGACCCGATCTCGCACAACCTTGGGAAGCTAGAAGGAACAACCAAATCACCGAGGAAGGAGATGTTCCCGAGCTGGACATGGGCTGATTGGAGGCCAAGAGTTGAACTTGACGGTAGGGGTGGAAATGACAACATTTGCATCATTCCCCAACATTCAACCTTCACTTCCCTTGTCGATCTGAGTGTGGAGCTTGACGATGGAAGGATTGTCTCTTGGGGTCAGGGATACCTTTACGACTCGGATGTATCATGGTTGGCAACTTTGCCAAACCCGCCACGGATTCTGCACATCCAGGGATATACCGCTAATCCACAACTCCGATACATGACGGAGGAAGACTGGGCGGAGTTCAACGAGCGAACCATACTTCCCATCAAAGAAGCACACGCTCACAGTGGGAATGGTGGTTATCCCAAGGACCACTGGTACGGTTGCGATACCAAAGCGCACCGTTGGATATGGATAGACGCTGATGGACAGCACCTCCAGCCACTACTTGAGCTTACTTTCCGCGAACAACCCCGGTGCTGGGAACGCGTGAAAAGTCTCATTAAATGGCCATCTGCACATCCAAACGATTTAAGCGCCGATGCCTATCAAATACAAAGCCAGAGGGGTAACCAGACTGACACCATGAAACCCTACACCGAGTGCACGTTTGATTTTCGAGCCATCTTGCTTGGTTATAATGAATTCAATGTCTTTTACATGATGCTCATAAAGACCCCAGGCCCCGATAGTCAAAATGAAACATTCGAGCGAGTAAATGTCCTTGAACATAGCATGGCAGGGGGGGAAACAGTGGAGAAGGAGGAGTTTTTGGCAAAGCTGACAGGAAAGCACGCTGAATCCTATCCGGGGACACCATGGGTCAAGATGAACACAAGAATAGCCTAGGAAGAATAGAGGTTGAGAGCATAGAGTCTGCGTTAGATACGACCTTACAGGCCGAAAGCATATCCTTTTTGCCTTTTACATATCCGAAGTCCCTTACAATCTCAGTAAAGATAATCAGCTCAAATAGAGGGACGGACCACTAAACACCCCGCAACCAAGCCAACATAACCCTCATCATCACCCCCTCCTCATACCCCACCGCCGCATCCAACGTCGGCTGCACATGTGCATCGCCCACACACTCCACCGTCACTACATCCTTCCCCTTGACCTCCCTCTCCAAGACCATAGAGGTAGTATCCCGATCCACCACGACCGTCTCACCCCCCACACACTCCCTTCCAAACCGCCGACAACTATCCACCAACACCTCGGCCGTGCCCACCGTCACCAACGTCTTTTCCACCATCGCCCTCCGCCCATCCCGACCAAACACCCGCCTCCAAACTTCCTCTTCCTCTTTAGTATTTCGGTCTTCCGAAAAACTGCACAAATTCGCCCATACCTCATCCACCTTGGGGTTCCAAAGTTCTTGATACCGCGCACATTGTCCTTGCGTAAGATAATCCCATTTATCATCTGCTTTCTCAAACATGGATGCACCACCCGGTTGCTGCATCGAAGCCCAAGGGGAGATGAACACGGCCGCTTTGAACTGATCTTTTTCATTCTCCCAATTTTTTACCTGGGGCGCATATGGACTTGGCTTGGCGAGGTGAGCCAGCAAGGCGCCGACGAGTTGGCCGCCTGCACTGTCTCCCGCGAGAATGATGTCGGAGGGGGAAAGGGATAGATCAGTAAGGAGGTAAGAAAGGGCGGCGACGGCTTGGATTAGTTGCGCGGGATATGGGTGTTCGGGCGCGAGTGCGTATTCGAGGATGATGGTTTGGTGGGCAGCGCTGGCTTTGTGCAGGGAGAGAATAAAAGGCATGTGGCCTGTGGCGCGGAGGGGGTTGACGAAGCCGCCGCCGTGGAAGTAGAGGAGTGTGGTCTTCTTGTCAGTGTCCTGCCCGGTTACGGGGGTGAGGAAGTGCAGAACTGGTGGTGGGACATCCTTCAGCTGAGGATCTGAAGATGGCGGGAGAGGAACGGTGACGGTGGTGTGGGCGATGTTGGGGTGTTGGGAGACGTAAAGCTCGATGGCTTTCCCTGTTGGGACGCGCCTTGCTTGGTGGTGTAGGTACTTGGCGGGGTAAGTGGCGCGGCGGATCTTGAGGAGGGCTAAGGCGAGGTTTTGGCGCCAGTGTAGGGAGGGATTACGCTGGAAGAGAAGGAATTTGATGCATCGCGCGGCTGTGGTGGGTGTTAGTGAGGACTTGACTTTGAGACATGAGAACGGGAGGGGACAGACCGAAGAGAGGAACAAGCCAGGTGAGAGAGAGTTTTTCCCAGAGAGTGAGAGCCTCAGACGGGGGCTCGTCGGCGGTCATTTTGAGTGGGTGGAATGGTCAAGCAACACCTATAGAAGCATGTTTTGGTGGTGTTGGTAGGTAGAGTGAGGTTGGGCCAGCAACAGTGGTGATGTTTTGTTACCCGCGATACAACGAATTGTACTGTACCGAGGTACGTGCCGGAAAATGACAACCGCGATGACGTTGCGACACTACTTAGTCAGGCGCCCTGACTCCTGAGGGTCCCTGGTCGCCAACATTTTAAGAACAGACGAAACTTTCCAGAACAACAACTCAAAATTTCGCAACACCAAAGTTCTTGTCCAACATCATCACCATGTCAACAAACATCCTGAACAAGTCACAAGGTCAATGTCTGCCGCCGTCCTTGATCCGTCTCCAAACGCATGCGTCAGACCCGCTGCATTCCGACAATTGCCGATACCCGTCCGGCATATTCCCCGCTTTCAAGTAATCCAGCCATCTTTCAGACGCAATTAAGTACGCCCTTGGAATGACTGAAATCACGCCCTTCAGTTGACAAGATGCAACCTCGTCATACCTCAAATTCAAAGATAAGAGTTCTGGAAGGAATGAGTCGATAGTGTTGAACAAATAGGAGCTGGTCAGAGGTCGAGGAGTGACAGCTGAAAAAGACGATGTGGGGTTGATGGCAATGCATGCCCCTGTCTCTGCTATAAGACGGGGTAACCCTCCACCGGAAGGATCCGCTGATGACAGACGATCCGGTTCGGTTTCCCGGTTGGCAAGGGTTTGATGAACGGCCCGATGGAGTCATGGCACTCACATGTGCACATGTTTGTGGGGTTCCGTGAGTCAAGACCATTGACGTCTCATACCTAACAAGCTTTCATATTTCAAGGAGTGTTTCCTTACTCACTCATCGCAAATATCATCACCCATTCTCTTTGTCTCTCGACACCCAGCAATCAACAGTCACAATGGTCGCCACAACCCTCGAGCTACCTCTGCAGCAAAAGGCCGACGCCGCCCAAACTGTTTCTGGCTCCCTCCCATTCGGCAATTCCCTCCTCAAGGAATTCGTCCTCGACCCTGCCTACCGAAACCTCAACCACGGTCCGTACAGCACACCCCATGCATAACATCAAGGTTAATCACTAACGAAAAGCAGGCTCCTTCGGCACCATCCCCTCCGCCATCCAGCAAAAACTTCGCTCCTACCAAACCGCCGCCGAAGCCCGTCCCTGCCCCTTCATCCGCTACCAAACCCCCGTCCTGCTCGACGAATCCCGCGCCGCCGTCGCCACCCTCCTCAAAGTCCCCGTCGAAACCGTCGTCTTCGTCGCCAACGCCACTCTAGGCGTCAACACCGTTCTGCGCAACATCGTCTGGTCCGCCGACGGCAAGGACGAAATCCTTTACTTCAACACCATCTACGGCGCCTGCGGCAAGACCATCGACTACGTCATCGAAGACAAGCGAGGGATCGTTTCTTCTCGCTGTATCCAATTGATCTACCCAGTCGAAGACGACGAAGTAGTCGCTGCCTTCCGAGACGCCATCAAGAAAAGCCGCGAAGAAGGCAAGCGGCCCCGTCTGGCTGTTATTGACGTCGTCTCGTCCATGCCTGGAGTGCGGTTTCCGTTCGAGGACATCGTCAAGATCTGCAAAGAAGAAGGGATCATCTCGTGCGTTGACGGCGCCCAAGGAATCGGTATGGTGGACCTCAAGATCTCTGAAACCGATCCGGACTTTTTGATCAGTAACTGCCACAAGTGGCTGTTCACTCCGCGCGGATGCGCTGTGTTTTACGTTCCTGTGCGTAACCAGCACTTGATTCGGTCGACGCTGCCTACTAGCCATGGGTTCGTGCCGCAGGTCGGGAATAGGTTCAACCCGCTGGTGCCGGTGGGGACCAAGTCCGCGTTTGTGAGCAACTTTGAGTTTGTGGGCACGGTGGATAACTCGCCTTTCTTCTGCGTCAAGGATGCGATCAAGTGGCGCGAAGAGGTGCTTGGTGGGGAGGAGAGGATCATGGAGTACATGACCAAGTTGGCGAGGGAAGGTGGACAGAAAGTGGCAGAGATTCTGGGGACGAGGGTGTTGGAGAATAGCACGGGGACGCTGATCAGGTGCGCCATGGTCAATATTGTCTTGCCGTTCGTTGTGGGAGAGGATCCGAAGGCACCGGTCAAGTTGACGGAGAAGGAGGAGAAGGATGGCAAGGGGTTGTATGAGATTCCCCATGAGGAGGCGGGCATGGCGTTCAAGTGGATGTACAAGGTGTTGCAGGACGAGTATAACACGTTTGTGCCCATGACCTTCCACAGGAGGAGGTTCTGGGCCAGATTGAGCGCGCAGGTGTATTTGGAGATGAGCGATTTCGAGTGGGCGGGAAAGACGTTGAAGGAGTTGTGTGAGAGGGTAGCCAAGGGGGAGTACAAGCAGGATGCCTGATTTTGAATTTGGATATGATGACGATAAGTTCAATCTACCTTGATACCCTGATTTGTTCCTTGCCTCGATAACGTTTACACGGCTCCGCTAGTTTGGCACAATCTCCTCGTCCGGATCACCATGTCCAGCAATCTGCGGTTTACCCTTCCCAACGCCCATCTCCCTCAAGCTCCTAACCGTATCAACCACGCTTTCCTCCAAACTTCTATACTCGAGCCCCAACACTTCCTTGCTCCTCGTATTGTCGAACATCCAGTGGTTTTTCGGGAAGTCATTAAACTTGACACACTCCTGACACAATTCCACCTCTTCCCCCTTTTTCCCAACCTCCCTCTCCCTGCCTTGTTGCTTCGCCCTACCCAACCCATGAACAACCCCAGCAATCTTCGCATTGCTAAAGAACCCCCCAACAACATAAAACCGCTTCCCTCCCGCCTCGGGCCTCGTCATAGCTCTCACATGCGCAACCGCCACGTCGCGCACATCCACAAACGTGAATACCGGCGCCGTCCGCGGAATTGCCTGGGACCACTTACCCGTCAAGCAATCAGCAATCCTCTCGTTCGACGTATTAACCTTAAATTCCCCGGCATTCTTGACGTCCAGACTCCTCGGCAGCGGGCCAAAGGTATACGTGTTGTTAATCGTCGCCAAGTCCCAACTGAGCTCGTTCTCTTCCACAAACTCCCACGCCGCTTGCTCGGCGAACTTCTTGCTTGCTCTGTATGTCGTGTCGCCGGGCGCGTTGGGGTCCGCGGCCAGGTCCCAGTTTAGGGTCTGATCGTCGGGCCAGGAGGATTCATCGTACACGGGGCGGTGGTTGGGCGGGTTGAGTATGGCGGCGCTGCTGGAGGTCAAGACGGCGCGGAGGAGGGAGGAGGAGGCGTACTCCTGGAGAGAAGACAAGAGCGAGACGGTGCCGTTGATGGCTGGGAGGAGACAGTCGTTTACTGGGTCCGAGAAGGAGAATTGGCAAGGGGATGCGGTGTGGATGCAGTAGTGGAGAGGGAGGTTTGTTTTGATGACCTGTGAGGGGAGATGACTTGTTAGGACAGGCACAAGATCGCGGAGGCAGAGGGTGAAGTGGAAAAGGAAAGGGAGGGACGGACCTCATCGAAAGCTCCGTCTTCAGCAATGTTTTCTACCACGGCGTAGGTCACCTTGCAGCCGACGCTGTTGACCACGTTGGAGGCATTGGCGATGGAGGCGAGGACACGCTCGCCTTTGGCTTGGGAGCGGGCGGTCACTATGACGTCGAAGCCGCATTCGAGGAGGTGATCGAGGATGTGGGAGGCAATGAAGCCGGTGCCGCCTGTTGCCGGTAATGTTAGTAGACCTGTTGAGCTGGAAATGATGGTCACAAGGTGATGTACCGGTCAAGAGCACCTTGCTCTTGGGGTGGCCGGGGATTCCTCCTAGCATCGGCATGATAATAATGGGGCGGGAAGTCGAGAAGTTTGTTTTGCGTTTCGGTGACTTGGTGGTTTCTGAAGAAAAGGAGACAAGGCGTCTAGAACTGAAGTATCGATGTTCAGCTGAGTTGTTTGGGGGAAGTGGAAGCTCGAGTTGCGCCGGTGTTGCACAACATTTGAGGTACCGGAGTCGGACGTCCCCCACCCAAGCCCCGACCCGACCCGACCCGTCTACCACACTCAACCCACGCGTGCAGAAGCCTGTCTCAATTGCATAACTTATGTCTAAACCATGCGTTCTTACACCAGATTGGGCTGAGCTTTGCATAAAACCAATGTAGGCCCCTCGCTCCCTCGCAACTCGAGCACTTCACACCTCGTTCCATGTCGACTCCTAGAAACTCTCAACCTCAACTTCTGTCGGGACTCTTCAAACACCAAAACGCTTGGAGACCTCATTCAACATACCTCGACACTGTCCTTCAAGTCAATTTGTACTACCAACAGACGACTCAAAGCCGAAATGCCCTCCATCCCCCAAAGTCGCTTCCCGTCCGGGCCCTCGCCCACTCCCTTCCACGTAGCAATCATAGGCGGCGGCATCACCGGCATCACCCTCGCTCTCGGGCTCGAACGCCGTGGCATCTTCTACACAGTATACGAGCGTTCCCCGGGCTTCCGCGAGATCGGCGCTGGAATCGGCTTCTCTCCCAACGCCGAAGAAGCCATGAAGCTGCTCAATCCCGATATCTTCCACGCTTACAAGCGCACCGCGAACCCGAACGGCGAAGACAAATTTCAGTGGATCAATGGCCGTACCGACGAGCTGTTGTACTCCCTTCCCGTGCCCAAGGATGGATTCCTGGGCTGCAAGAGATCCGAGATTCTCGAGGAGTGGGGGAGACTCGTCCCGCCGCAAAACATTCAGTTCAACAAGACGATAGAGATGGTCCAAGAACCCGGAGACCAAGGATACAACCCCAACGAGGCCAGTGGAAAGATACTGCTCAAATTCACTGATGGTACCCACGCCAGCGTCGACCTCGTCATTGGGTGCGACGGCATCCGCTCCCGCTTGCGCCAACATGTCCAGTCCCATCTCGACCGTTCCTCTATCCGACATGTAGCGAAAGAGAGTTACACCCACAAGTACTGCTACCGCGCCCTCATCCCCATGTCCCGCGCCATCGAGGCTGTGGGTCAACATCGTGCTTTGACAAGATTCATGTACAACGGCCCCGGCGCGCACATCATCACCTACCCCATCGGTAACAACTCGGTCCTCAACATGCTCGCCGTCATCAGTGACCCCAATGAGTGGCCGGATGAGCAGAGACACGTACTTCCCGGCAACAAAGATGACATCCGCCAGGCCTTCAACGGATGGCATCCCACCGTGCAAAAGCTCGCTGAACTGTTCCCGGAAGAGAATGAAGAAGGGGACGGACCGATTGTCAAGTGGGGCATCTTTGACACCTTGGACTTTCCCCTTCCGAAATACTATTTCGGCCGAGTAGCCGTAGCCGGCGACGCCGCGCACGCCACAGGCCCGCATCTGGGAGCGGGAGGTGGACTGGGGATCGAAGATGCGCTGATTCTGGCGGAGCTGTTAGAAAAGGTGGCTGAAATTCAGGCTTCGAACGGCTCTGAATCTGAACTGGGCGCGGACATAATGCTAGAGCGGGCACTCTACGAGTACAACGACTTTAGGTATGCTAGGACGCAGGACGTGGTTTCCTGGACAAGGAAGGCGGTAGATTTGTTTCAGTGGAAGGACGAAAACGTGGCTAAGGATGGAAAGAAGTTTGGAAGGCTCGTCAAGAAGTTGTTCCATCAAGTTTGGTACGATTTGGATTTGCACCAGATGGTGGATTGGTCGAGAGGCAGGCTGGAATTCGATGTGCTTGAACGGGCGTTGGAGCCGATTGAGAGGGAAGCGAGGGAAACTCTGGGGGGGTGACAGTTTATCAAGCTTGTCAGATATAGACAGTGAGGAGGGAGATTACCGCGTCTGAGATGTAAGGATCACTTGGATTGATGAGGGTTGTTTCCTTCCTGTTGTTGGCCTGCTTCTTGCTTTTGTGCTGTTAGATATGGCCTCCTGTAATACGCTGTAGGCACGCTATAGCTTAGCGTCCCGGGTCACCCAGCATATCAACGTAGCAACCCAATTCGGCTTTAACTTCCGTATTCAGGTACTAGTAGTTAATCTAAATCCCACCTTCTTGGATGATTTCCGCGCCATTCGTTCAGAGAAACAGTATCTGCACTATTTTACCTTTAGTCAGGCGCTCGAATGTCAAATGGCTTGGATGGGCTTGATTACACAAATAACATCACCGGCAAGCTTCCCCTGAATGCTTGGCGTTTTCCACTCAAACGTTGCTGTTAGATGTTGCGCGCTATAATGCACTACAAGCTGGCGGTACACTAACAAACGTCAAACCCCAAACACCAAGCAAAACATCATCACACTATAGCTATGACACACATTTGAACTTGAACATCTCCATTCAGACTAGATATAAAACGCCATTCTCTCTAGGTATGAATCTGATTACTTTCCTGGCTCCATACTCATAAAAGACTTGACATCTTCGAACTTGATGGTCTCTAAAATGCGCAGTGTCTCGCCTGGTTTGAGGCTCTCCGAAACCTTCCAGTCGTACTACAACCTTACCTCTAGCATCTCATACTGAGATCATCACAAGGTTTCCATGCAGGCCACTTCTTCCATATAAAGCCAATCTGAACCTTTCTGCAACCATTCACGCAGCATGGTATTCTTAAGGTTCACGTCGAGCTTTTCGTCGGGTATTCACCGCACACGTGTTTCTTCAGGTTCTATTCCCAACGCTTGGCGATGCCTTCACCACGCTCGAAGATGTCCCTTCACGTGGAGATGACCCTTCACCACAACGAATATCCGCTTCATTGGGCCTTATAAATATCCTCTCTCTACTCCCATTGCTCATCCGCAAAAATCTTTTTCCCATTACCAACTACCAACCTCAACTGATCAACCCTGTTGTCACAACCGATCATCTTGAACACTACCTCCAAAGGATTTATCTTCATTCACCGCCAATCAAGAACAATGGCACCAATCACCAATATCACCACTGCCATCATCGACGCTCTCAACCAAGCAAGAGCAGCCACCAACCCCTCCTCCCCGGTCAACCTCAATCCGACCGTCAACAATCAAGTCCAGCCAACCACCTCCTCATCCGGGCCCTTCAGCAACTCCTTGCTGACCTCTATCCTCACCTTCTTCGCAGCAATAGCGAACATCTGGCTCGGCCTGGGCGGCGTCATCGGTGTCATTCTCTTTCTTGTCCGATGCTACAAGAAAGGGAAATGGCCGCAATCTCACCAGGAAGAACAGGTGGAGTTGACCAGGGAACTCTTGGAGTTGACCAAGGAGCAGGTGGAGCTGACCAGGGAGCACCTGGAGGTGACCAAGAGAATGGAGGACGGACAACTTGACGCCAACCTTAATACAAAGGAGCATCATGACCGTCAGGGGCAGCAAATGGATCGCCTTCTCCAGCACTTCGACGTCAAGGACCGGCCGTGTCTCCATTCACCGTGGGAGCGCCATAGGGCTGACTGCCCACCCCATGTGCAACAGCGGGACTCCAGGTACCCTCCTTGGGATGAAGAGGAGGGGGAAATTGACTGGTCGGTATTTGGGAGTCGGGAGAACCTGATACCCTTTTATGGCGAGTCTCAGAAGCGAACGGAGCCGGATGGGGAACAGCGCAGTGGTGGTGCGGGCTTGGAAAGCGACGAGTTAGTGAAAAGCCTGCCTAGTGGCTGGATCAGAGTGTCGGAGTCGGTGGTTGAAAACCAGAGCGTGGCGGATTGGGGGGACCACGAGAAGATGGTTTGGTTGGAAGGTGCTGAGGAAGGTTTGGCAGGACTACCTCTTTATCACACGACAACAAAATGGAAAACTTCTTGAAAATTGACAGTTGGCAAAAAGTGAAATTGATGAAGACGTGACCAGGCAATGTGTTTCATTGTGTGACGTTGAATTGGATTATAGAAGTATGTTTTATCCTTACATGCACTCTCGATGTCGCCCTCCACAATGAATGACATTCAGATGAGAAATTCGTGATTCGTAATCCTACCCTCCCGAGCTGAGATCATTGCAATTCCCATCTAGTCAAACTTCCCTCGTTTGCACGTGCCATTTAACTGCATTGATCCTTCTTCTTGATGAATATTTTCGTCTTACGGTATCAACAAAGGCAGATGCGTTGGTCCATTACCACCTCCTAGATCAGAGCTTTGTCATTCATAGAGCAGGTCACTCTTTCTCCTTTTGGTCTTTATTCGTATCATTCGCCTCACTGATGAAGTAACTGAAGTCAATAAACGCAATGCCTGAATCAATCATGAGCGGATTCAAACAGGCATGACTGGATATGATGAAGGAATGCATTCGCACACAAAGAATTGAGCTAATTGTACATAGACTCCTATACAACGAACTACATTTCCTCAAACAATAGTCGCCTCTAATATTTTCTTCCAGAGGGTTCACCAAACTTTCCCTACCCCCGGAGTCCTACTTCATCCTTTCTCATTTACAACTACATATAGCGCCACGCCCAATCACTCTCCTCTCCTCTCCTCTTCCCTTGCTCTGCTCAACTCACCCACATCATCCCCAACACATCACTCCCATTTCTGACCTTCCACAACATGACCTACCCCCAAATCACCGCCTTCCTCACCACCCTGGTTCAAGATGAACTACCCTACCTAATCGCACGCGTCATCTGGATCTTCGGCACCATCACCATGATGGGCTGGACCATAACCATGATCCTCAGTTCCACTCGTACCGTCCAAAAGGAGCAAGTGGAGGTGCTGGATATCATATCCATGAACTTGCGTACAGCCAACGACACTCTGACCGCACTCAAATCGACGGTCGCGACCACGGAGAGAAGTGTGGCCATCTTGGAGACACAGGCGAGGCAGCTCGATGTCCTTTTGCAGCAAATGGGTGTGAAGGAGGGCAAGAGGCCTTGGTTGCCTGGTCTTGCTAGACATGGACTTACAGGTGGTTGTGGAAGTGGAAGACAACAGGGACCGGAGCAGGAGGCCCCCGGAGGGCCTCCCACACACCCGCTTAGGGTGGCTCTTGGTTTGGATGGAGATACCTCTACATGCGAGAGCGGAGGTCGGAGAAGTGGTACTTCAGGAGGAGATTCCAGTGCAGGTGCCCCTGATGCATAGGACCGCTCCCGATGAAGAAAAATTGTGTCAGTCCTTTGGGAAGGAAGTTCTTGCTAGTCTTACCTGTAAGTTTGCTCCTTCCTCAGATTGCTTTGAGATCTGCACCAGTCATGACATATCTAATCCGTTCCTTCTTCTATAGAGGCAGTAGAGGTAATGATGGAATAGAAGAGAAAGTGGGTTGCAATCGGCTGGGAGGGCCAGGACGCAAGATCATAAATCGAAGACTGATTGAGTCGCAATCTGAAGCATCAGTAGCGTCGTAGCTGATGTTTATTATGGCTGTGAATCAAATAATAAGGTATGACAGGGCAGCAGAGGGACTAAAGCTGATACGACAATAGACGGATACATTTATGAGCAGTGCTCAAGTCGCATACTTCGGCGGTGGATATTTGACCGTCAATTATTGCCTTGAATTCCAATCCAGAGATCACACCTTGTCATTCATCGCCTGCTCCCTTGAACTAGTGTGATAATTAAGTCCTTTCCACCTTTGTACAAAGAATACGATCTAAAGTCAAGCCTAGCAGAGGTACTCAAACCACATGTCCTTCACGCTCCTAGTCCTTGACTACCTAGAAACTTGTGATATCCTTCAAGTCCCTAGAAACCGATCTCATCGTAGAGAATTTCATCACTGTCAAATATAAAAACATCGGGAGCCGGCGCCATGAGCTCCACGTTGGGGCTATTGGGCGGAGCCGCGGGGACGTGACCGTAATTAGAAGTCTCAAAGGGGCTGGTAACGGGAGCCACCTGGGGTGCAAAAGCGGGAGCCACGTTCGACAACATGGCCTGGGCCGGGTTAGCCACGGCTGGAAGGGTCGGGCCTGGAGCAGCGGCAGCGCCCTGAATTGCCTGCAGCTGTTGAGCATCTCGGGCGTGTGCCGCCATCTTCGTAGCCTTGGTGTCGTTGTTGCGCTTTTGACCGACCTTGCGCTGGGTTTGGAGAAAAGAGTTAGATACGGATGGATTGCGGGAAGTAAATATTGACTTACAGTGTGCTCCCTGTGTGGATCACAGGTATACCTCTAGATGTAGGTCGCCTGCATCAAGTTGGCCACGGCTGATTTGCATTCCTACAAGTTGGTATCATGTTAGAATGTTTCCTTTTGGGGGAGATACGGAGTAGGCCTACCTCAAGGCAGTCAACAATATCTGCCCAACGGTCGTCAAACGTGGGGTAGCTTCGCCATGTGAAGTTGGTGTTCCAGGGTAGGACCCTAGTGCGCCCCTGCTGGGCATCTCGCGCGTAGACCTGTAGGGTGATGAGGTGATTAGTTCGACGGCTCTGTGACACAGGCGATGGGTGAACCTACATAGAACTTCCCAGGCAATCCCCTCAAGAACGGAGCCGGAAATGGCCTTGACCGCCTCCACCTGGTGATGATTTGGCCTATCGGCGATGTCCGTCATGTTTGCCATGGCTTCCACCAGTTCCTGCACGTATTCCATCTTCTCCTCCTCTGTGTGGAAGATGTCTGCTACCTCCGAATCCTCCGTTTCGTGGACTGTTGTCGTCATCAGGGCGCCCTTGCGTAGCCAGAACTCGGCCTCGGACCTGATGTGTCCCGGATACTCCTGGTCGACGGCCGTCCTCCTGTTGGATCTACGCTCGTCGATCTCGCGCTCATGCGGGGCAAGCACCTCCAAAACCTCGGTGGTGAGTCTCGGCTTGTACTGGGCAAGGTTGGCAAAGGCTTGTTCTCCGACACCGGCGCAGTGCATGGAGACCAGCCAGCGATGTGCCACTTTGATGAAGTCGGCGTATCTGGAACGGTCTTGGTTGGGCACCATGGGGAACTCGATCTCATGGAGGAAGCGAAGGGTACCAGTTGGGGTGACAAGATTGTCGTACATGTGGACTACATACAGTTAGATTTGTCGACAAAAGGTCGACTTGGGAGTCAGACTTACTGAGGATCTTCCACCACATGTTTACGAGAGCCACAGAGTTGTTCTCAACAGCTTCCTCTAGAAGCTGCGGCAGATCTTGTACGGCGGAAATGGCCGCCTCAGTGCGGGACTCAATCAATGCCTCGATATTGACGTTATTGGCCATCTTGTTCTGTGTTCTGGGATGCTTGATGACTAAGGTCGACCATTAGTTTCCATGACAACAACATAGGTTAGGTAGCAGCGTAAGATTGGACGTAATAGAGGCGAGATGGAGAGAATGAGTATCGGTTGAATCTTGAACATTGCCTGAGAAGAGGAGGAGAATACATTGATATGAAGTCAAGACTAAGAACAGAACAGGTATTATATATAGGACTGCCAAATTAGCGTTGAACAAGTTATACTACAGGGTGTGAGGCTCATTAGGGACCCAATAGTCTCGAAAGTAGAAAACAAGGAAGAACGAAAAAAAACCAAGCGATGAGAGTAGTAGGTACCTCATATAAAGTCAGGTACTCACTGATATCTTGCTGTTGCTGTTTGGTTGTGTGTGTCGATTGTCGATCAATCACAATGACTGCGCGTAGGTAGTTGGATTAGATGTGGTGAGTTGCTGGAGATGTGCTGCTGTTTGGTCATGTACCTAGCAATTGGTCGAGTTGTGATGTTGATCGATGATGGTGTTGAAGCGAAGTTAACATTTGGGAAACGGTTCAACATAGACGCTATAAATAGAGGGGTTCAAGGTGACAGAGCAACTGCGAGGACCTTGGAGTATCGTGCGACCTTGAGGCTGAACAGAATCTCTGACCTGGGATCTTGAACCTGAACTAGAGAGAGCTCGACGAACAGCGGCTCTCAACCTGAAGGTATCCACACTTCCACCAATGGACATGTTCGACAGCCTAGCAATTATTACTGGGACACGCCCGATGTTCTGAGAACACTTGCCAATCCGTCTTCCTTCCTGCTTCCCTTGTTCCAATTTGACACACTGCCTGGAGCGCACCTTCCGTAATTGTGTGGTATTGTGATGACAGATGGAAAGAGCCGGCAATCGTCGGTGAAACCTCTGGCACCAGGGAAGCCCGGGCTTTTCATTCTCCTCGCGGAAGACAACAAGAGACGGAACCTGATGGCATCCATAACAGTCAACATGAGGCACTGGTCTCTTGTGTCAATTTCAGCCCGCCATCTGCTACATGTATCCCAAGCAACTGGAAGCCACCAAGCAGATTACTGTCTTCCACTTTGAGCCTCGAGGGACTTCAAACCTTAATTGTAGGAAGCTGCCACTTGCGTATCGAACATCGACCACTCAAATTGCGGAAACAATTGCGGGAAAGACGGAGCTCCCGACTCATCTCGTCCCATGGCAATCCTCAGCAACACAAGTAAATGAAGAGCGATTCGACCAGCACCACATTTTCTCAGGTTTGTTCTCCCTGCCCACAATGCCATGCCAAGCCCATTATTGTTTACCACCTCATCCCCTGTCGATTGGTCAAAGCTCTCCACCAACTCTCTCTTTGTTGTAGAACAATTCAGACAACGAAGCCGCGACTCGTTGCATCTTCAGAAGAAAGGTTTGCGCCCGCTTCCTTGGCCATTGACTGTTCTGTGCGAAAACACTCGATAACCAGACTTCCTCGCTCACTGGAAGGCCGCGTCTTCAATGTCCACGATGAAGGTCTCCTCTTCCCAAATGATTGACCATTTCTTACGCCAAGGCGACGACTGCTCTGTCATCGCCGTTCTTATGCCGTTCCACTCCCCAGCGCGCTGCCTCTAGGGTACCATATCCCAACCACACTTGATGTCTATGGTCCGCCAAGACAGTCCCGCTCGCCTGCCGACGATTGATCTCCAGCCCGAACGAATGTCATGAGGGTCCAGGAGACTGGAGCGGTCCGTTCCGCCCAGTTTGTTCGTTCCTCGTAGCTCATGCCCTCGGGAACAGGGGGCTGGAGCAGCGATCGAAGGAAAAGCTGAGCGCTGTAACCGTGTCTTCCACATTCTTTTGGTCACCAGTGGTGTCTCATGACTGACTCTTTATGTGGAATCAGATTCCGACTTCGACCCTGCCATTTTTCTGCATGTCTATGGGAGCGCATTGCGCACATCGCATCCCATGTACAGCACAGCACAGCACAGCCCACCGATTCGCTGCACCGGCGACGCGTCGTTCCTCATGTCCGAAACTGTCGCCCGAATTCCGCATCCTGGCACCCCCATGCCATGCCATGAGTGAACCCGATATTGGCAACCATGCTGTCGAGCCCGTCGACCACATCCTACTTTCGTACAACGTCCACATTGAGTCTGCTCTTGGCTGCACTAGTGTTGTGCCCACCTTCCCAACTCGGTTTCAAACCTTGCCGTGATTGGTCACTCCATGGCTCTCATCCATGTTTGGTCCGCTTGTGTGGAACGAACATTGGGAGCATGGACGACGGCGGACGGCCCAAGCACAAGATAAGATTGTGGAAAAGAGAACGCCTGTAAAAATTGATAGAGGGCGCGAGCAAACACGGGACATGCAAGGGGCGCAAAGGAGTACAGCAGCGGCTATATAAGAAGAAACGCGATCATTCAGACAAGTGACAGGGGACGAGTTTGAGGAGAGGGTGTCAGCGTCATAAGAACGATGCGTTGCTACGAGCAATAGCACAGAGAACATACCCACGGCGAAAACGAGCAAGTTGGCTTGGTCGGAAATAGATATGACCAGAATAATCATCCGTGGGAAGGAGATGAGCTTCTGCGGCATGGCAGCTTGAAATCGATGGCAGTGCAGAGACGCACGAGAAGATGGCTGCATCATGTAGAAGCGTACTTGACATGAGTGTAAATGCAATCAACAGGTTGGTTATTGGTCACGAGGAGCACGACTCAGTCTTTTGCCGAGAGGTAACTACAAGTATCTGGCTTCCGCCCCTCGATCCTCTCAATGCTTGTATACCTACCATTCAAGCCCACATCTTCTCCAAGACATTTCCCTTTACTCAGATATCATGGACTCGCTCACGCTGCTCGAGCTTCTTGTCACGTTGGCTAACTTTCTTCTCTTCTTGTCCTTGCTAGTTGACAGTTTACACGCTGTTATCGAAAACCTTTGATGCGAGGGTACACCACGAACTCTACTATCAACGCGGCGCCGCCATTAACATACAAAATCGCAACTTCGCCGGATTGAGAGAATCCTACTCAAAATGCAACGCCAGCGACAACATGTAGCTGATACGATAACAACTTAATCAACCCAGGAAAATGTAGAGCAACGCATACCCCAAATCCCTCGCCCCACGGATTTCGTACGAGACGTTGGACTGAACCGAGACACCGAATGCGGCCAGCGGCGTACCCTCCTCAACGACCGATTGACGGACAACGAGGTTGAGAATCATGATAGCCATCGCTACCTGGAGATTAAGGAGGTGTGACAGCTGGGGAAGAGAGCACAACATGCAGCACACCGACCGCTAATGCTTGTGTTTCTAGTTCCTTTTTCACGGAGACAACGCGGTTACTGCTTGGTGAAACCGCAAGAGGAAACGCATTCGAGCTGTTCCAAATTCAGCCGCCGCTGCCGCGGCCCTGAACAAGATCCTTGGACCCCGGACACAGACGTCTTGCTCAGTTCTTCCAGGACAAGCGGCCACATGCACAGAGGACACGTAAGGGGCATATGCTCGCCAAGATACCTTCCCCGACCAAGAAAGAATACAAGAGCTCAGTTACCCCGGGACTTCTGACCCTCAGCCTCCTTTCCCATGGCTTTCTCATCCTTAGTTTTCTTACCCTCGGCTACCTATCTTTCCTTCAGCCTTCTTTGCCTTCAGGCCCTCGCGCACGAGCTCGACTTTGTTGTCGTTTGATGTTTGGTTTCCGCCTTGCCCTGTTACAAACACTCCAGTCAGAATCTAAATGCCCTCAATCTAACGAAATGGATCATCGTACTTAGAGGTGCCTTGATCTCGGCCTTCGGGGCAGCCACAAAGCGATTGGGAGCACTGACTTGGAGATATGCGTGAGCAACGCTCTTGTTCTTGCTCAGGGCTGCAAGAATGGCCTGCATCCGCATTTCAAAGCTTGGGTACTGTTCGAAGCCCCAAGATGACTTCTCTACCCAGGGAGCCACCCCGGTGTTGCCCTGGTGGGCTTCCCCAGCGGTCTCTTGTTGATGTTTCATTCTCTTCTCGACGAGGCAAAACTTCCTCGAGGATCTATGCCTTCTTGTCAATCGATTTGGTGCGATTCATCTTGATTGTTAGTGTGAGAAGCTAAGAATGATCACATTGTTAGAGGTATATATCATGAAGAGTGATAATGCGTTGAGGGATGTGCTTGTTCCACGGCCCTATGTTATGCTATTTACTGTGAAGTAAAGAGATGGAGAACAAAAAGCTCTTTAATGCTGGGACAAGCGTAGCTGAAGAGCAGCTCTATGATGGTAGAAACAAATAGAAAACCAGCAAACGCCGTGCTTGATGCAAAATCCATTTTCCGCTCCATGCTCCCTTATTCCCTCCCTTTAGGTCTCAGCACCGTAGAGGTAAACTTGGTGACCGGCACTTCTAGTCGCCATCCTCCGTTACAAGAAAAAGCCAACTTCAAGGAATCTATCCAGGTGCAAAGCCAAGAGCTCAGTTACCCTGAGGCTCCTTCTGCCTTGCCTGCCATCCCTCGTCGATCAGACCTCCCTTCTTTTCGTTGCCATCCATGTTATCCTGCTTGACACGGACCTCCCGCATGGGAGCGGCAACGAACCTCCTAGTGGGGTCGACCTGGACATATGAGTGTGGCACACTCTTGTTTGTACGCAACGCCTCGAGGATGGCTTCCATGCGGGCGTTGAAAGTTGGAAATTGCTCCAAATTCCAGGAGCGCTTTTCGCACCACGGCGGGATGCCGACCCTGCCTTGGTGTGCTTCGACGGCCCAGTTCTGGTGGTGAGAGGTCAGCGTGTTAGTGATGTGGAATTGTGTTCAGGACTGGACTCATGGAAGTAGAGGTAGGTAGAGGTAGTGTAGGCTTGCTAGGTAATAGGAGGAGGACTTACCAAGATCTTGTCGGCCATGAGCTCATTCTCGAAACCGCACAAGTTGCGGACGCGGCGGACGTGGGTGTTCACTACCGTGCCTTTATCGACACGGTTGCCCTCTTTGTCCTTGACGACTATTGTGAAGTACGGTTAGCGTGTTGTCCAGGACATTCTTGTGTTGTAGATAAGTAAAATGCAAGTGTGAAGGGCATGTCACTTCCTTGTTGCTGAAGGACGAAGTGAGGACGGTGTGAAAAGGTGCATGCGATTTCAGAATGGACGCTCAAAGACAGGAACCGTTCTCAGTGTAACATGTGTTTGCCAACTCAAGATGCGGAAAGACTTACCTTTCTTGCGGTCCTTGTTGACCACGTTGTCAAAGTCGGTAATCGCGTAGAAGATTCTCTCACGCCAGTTGGCACGTGCCTCTTCGGTGCGAGGGATGTCGAGGAGTGATTCCGGCTTAATGCTTGAAGCGACCTTTGCAACTGTGATAAACTGGTACTCGGCCTCCAGCTGGGCCGCGTGCTCATGCGACGTGATGTAGCCCTGATAAACTCCATCGTTGTCTTCATCCATCATATCTTCGACGGTCTTGCCCTCGTGGGCGTAGCCATTGGCGGCCGGCAAGTCAGGGTGGTCGACTGCGGGAATGCCGGCTTCACTGATAGCCGCGGGGTGGTGTAGGTTGGGCTGGTTGGATCCAGGGTGATAAAACTCACCAGGCTGGTTGACTCCCTGGTTGAAGCCCGGCTGCATGTTGCTGAGTTGCTGGATGAAGCCAGGCTGATGGACTGGTTGGAAATTGCTGTCGTCGTGCTGATTGTCACTAGCATCGACAAACAACTCGAGGTTCTCGGGGGCCTGGTCGAACTCATCATCAATGAATTCCAGCATGTCGTCATCAACCTCATCGTCGAAGCTGTCTTCCTGGGAAGAGCTTCCCGGAGTGGGGAAGTCGAAAGACAAATTCAGTTCCATTTTGGAGATTTGGTGGACGCTCCTTGTCGTACCCAGGTTGCTACCCTCTGATGTAGAGATTTACGGTCCTGATGTGTTGTTTGGCGGGTGCCTTCAGGATGTGGTTGTCAAAAAAGAAGAAGGGAGGGGTATAGATAATACGTGCGGTTTAAATCTGAGAAGTTTCCAGTTCGGCCTGAAAAATACCGACGGTGACTGTGGGCGGCCTGCCGTGGGACAGAATGCTGAGTGTCGTGGACGCCCCGTTTTTCGTCCCATCAATGCCTTTCGTTGAGGGTCGCCGGGCAACTGACCTGGCGATTTGACGGTCTCTATGTAATCCACTCTCAGCCTCGTCGCACCTTAAACCTTTGCTGCTTTTGACGCAGCAGACAGTGTACGAACGGTACCTTCCTTCAGTCGCTGACCTCCAGTCGCGCTCCTTCCATTTTAGTATCGGTCCACCTCCCAAACCTTGTTTATTTTCCAGCGATTTTTCGTCTCTTTCCATGGCGGCTCGGTCCCTGCCCTCGAATTCCATGCTCATCACCTGACAGCTGCTATCGTTTAAGCCTGAACTGGCAGCTGCTGATCCTCCGTCTAAATCACCATCTGGACTGATATATAGCCTAAGCTATTCCTAAAAGGGACATAACTGGTGAGAGATAGCCAAACGGGTCTCCGTTGTCGCTGGCCCACCGTTCGTTCTCGCTTCGTTGCCGGCTCATCAGATAGGACGACGACCTGAAGCTTCCATCCTCCCAATGGAACTTTTCTTCCCCCAGTTTCCATCCTCTGCCCACATAAACTTGCTGTGCGCAAAGCAGATAGTGTGTCGCCCGTGAGATATATAGGTACCTAGAGGTAGGTACCTACCTGAGCAGCAACTGCTATCGTCCGTTGGTCCGTCCAAATCAGCCCCCGAAGCTTTCCACGGTCGCCTGCCCTTCAGCAGTTCGAAACAGAAACACGATCGGGGTGAGTTCCGAGGGAACAAGTAGATCTTCGTTCCCGTTCTGCCTTTCCCCTCCGCCGTGCATCAACTCTCAAACCAGACAGATCCAGAAGTTGCCTGTAGCATCGTCTCCTAGTTCTCTTTACTCCATTACTCCCCCGTAACATACTTGCATCCTGCGGCCGCCATACCCACATACACTGGACCTTCAAGATTTCCCCTCTTGACATGGAAGCTCTTCTCCGTAGAGGTACATGGAGGTAATTTCGTCAGTCAAAGCAGCAAAGGAACGCCTGAAGGCGGCGTTCGACTTCTTCCTTTTTGATCCCTCTTCAATTTCCTTTTCAAGTTGCCGATGAACGGCAAAGCCATGAGAACATCGTGATGAAATCAAAAAGACAAAAAGCGGACACAAGAAACTTCAGAACACAGCTACAGCATTATTGGACGTAGCATCCCCTTTAATACCTAAAGCATCGTTCCCTTCTCACAGTCATATTTGGTGCAATGACTCAATCTCACGCACCCAGTCATGCCTTTTCCACTGGATCGGTAAGCATCGATGACACAAAGCCTTCAGCACAACCAGACGGTACATCCGAGGCCAATAAGGAGGGGATGTTGCAGATGCCGATGTAGATGTACCGGATGAGAATGTCGATGGCTTTGGGCTCAAAGTTGTCCGTGTTGACGATGCCGGATTTGGCTTCCCAAGGACTTTGGCCATGGTAAGATAACTCTTGGACTTGGGGTTTGCCGGCTGTGTTCATAATAAGGAATGTCTCCGTTACCAGTCACAACGTTGTGATCGCAACTGCCTGTGTCCATCAGAAAAAGACATGTTCACTCACCACTTGGGAAATGGTGTCCGAAGGGTGGGTGAACTACCCATAAGACGCCTGAAGTATCCCAAGCAGAATCCAAATGATTCTCAACTTTGACCACCAATGAATGCGAAATCGGCGAGTGTCCCCGCGATGCCTTGATTGGGATGTCGTTAACTTGCTTATGTAAGCCACAGGAAAGTAGACATGATCTGTTTCATTTCGTTTTCCTTGCCAGAGAATGATTGCCCTCCTCACTTCAGAAGTTGCCGACTGGATGAATCTGATCACTTGATTCTTCAACTGATTGGTTGAAACTGTCCAACCTTTTCAGCGTTGTTATCATGGGAGGGACGCATGTACAATTTCGGAAGATTGCTGGAGAGCTTCCGGCAATAATCCACTTTTCTTCCGGTCGCTTCCCGAAGAGGGATCCACATTTCCGAGCGCAAAGCCGGCTTGGCCGCCCTGTAATGGTCTGGAGGTCGGGATGCCATCCATGCTGCTTCGGAAAGAATATAAAGTTGTGCTTGCCTTGATGGATTTATCTCCGAGTGTCGGTTTGGTTCATGAAAATGTTTGAGACATTTGAGACGAATGATGTACACAGCGTGAAACAAACAATGTCGCGAAACAAGTGCACGCTTATGTCTTGATACACTACATTGTGAACTCGGTGGCACGCTTTGGACAGGTACCCTTGCTGATTAAAGTCAACAAATCTTCACTGAGGAGAGGAACATGGGGTTAATCATCATGAGAAGCCGTGATGATCGATCGATCTACACTACGGCCAAGCGATAAAAAGTTTTTACCCCGTCACAGAGGGGCAAACATGTCATGGTATCAATATTTCATTGGCAAGATTACGGCGTTAGCAGTCGGGTGTCTGTTTCCACTGATTTCTAACAGTGGAGTATCTGGGGCCTTATGACGTCGTTGATTGTGATGGCGGGCATGGGACCTTTTGACTTTTTGGCGGAGGACAGGAAGATCGGGGGATCATGTGCCGAGCAGCGAGGACTTTTGGTAGAAGAATGTAGATAAAATACATGTTGAAGATGGGAAACGTACAAAGTTTGAATGTTAGTCAGCGACAGACAGTGATACTCGATCATCAACTGCCGTGCATGATCACCATATGATTAACAGCTACTGTCGATGTGATGTTGTGCACCCCTCCTTCATAGAAATAAAAAAAAATGACGATTTGGGGCATGTCCCCGCCCCACCATTTCAGGTCCCGGGCACATCATGGGAGCGTCCACAGCACGTCGTGGCTGCCCGCCCGCAGTGTTCGTCCCGTCGAATGGCGTAGCGCAACAGCGGCACGCACAGACCAGTAGTGCCCTGTCAAATCCCTGTCTTGGGGAATGTGCCTGGCCAAGCATTGCGACTGGACGAACTGCTGCTGACTGTGACTACCACGTTCAGGAACCAACGGTTATAATCAGTTCTCCTGAAGAGGGGAATGCGTTGAGACAACTTGACGGAAACAGCCCAAAGCATTTCAGAAAAGGAAAAAAAAAAAGAATGGCTGGGTGATAAAGTGTATTGTAGAGAGACAAGCCGCCAAGACATTCCATCTTCTCGGCAATCCCCATTCCCCCAAAACAAGCTAAGCAAAAAAGCGTTGCAATGCCTGCAAATGCCCCACTCTACCCCTATCTGGTTCCATGTCGCTTCCATTCGCGAGCGGGGAGGAAAGAAGACGAAAGCATACGAATCTCTCAAGGTGCAGATGTTGGGGGAAGAGATTCCACAAAGATTGCCGGGCGTTACAATCAGAAGGGTAAGAGATAGATCTTGGGTATGAATCTTGAGAACTAACCGAGTCTTAAAAAAAGGTTGATATTAAGCCCCCTCCCTCCTCAAACCCAATTTTGTTGTGTGAATCTGATCCCCTTTCATCTCGAAAAATCAACCACCAACAAAGACATCAGACCCTGCGGACCCTGCTCCATCATTCTTTGAAACCCCTACCCTTCTGACTGACGACGGACAATACTCAACTAAAACATTTGACGCTTGACGACAAACCCCAGATTAGAAAGACCCTTTCTTTCGACGAAACCCTGATTTTTCTTCGGTTGACCGAATTTGGACAACAAGTCGACAAAAACGAAAAAAGAAAAAAGAAACAAACCCTGGATCGACCACACCGCTGAGGCTTCCTTCCTTGTTACTTGCCCAGGACACCGTCACAAGACCCGCTTGGATGAGATCACCGCTCCCACCCAATTCAGCATTCAGGCCAAGGCAGGCGACCAACCAGACAAATCAGCGACTTTCATTCCCACGAGCTGTGCTGCTGTGCCAGTAACGAACCCCTGACAGCTCCCCCAACAAGCCGCATCATCTTTTTACACTAGTAACACCGCCTTCGTAACGAGGTGAAGAAGAAGAAGAAGAACAAAAGTGGCGGCGGGCTCACTCAAGGGCTAGACCGAATTGACGGACAGGGATCTCGCCCAACGGGAGAGCCGATCTACATCATTTCCCACTTTTTTGGTGGCATTTGGCATTTGCTATTGTTGCTACAGCAGTCGAGTCGAAGAAATAAAAGAAGACGAGAGGATGGCGCTCCGTGGGTATTCGAGACTGGTCGGTACCTCTTCCGATTCTACTACGACTTTTGTATCTCCAAACGACAACGACACTTTAAGAAGTATCTCTACCACTTCCACAACAACAACAACAACCACACATCCCGCGCCACCACCAACAACGCCATTCCTAGCACACATCATCCCCCTCCTCACCACCACCTTCAAAACCCTCTACCAAACGCACCTCCTCCTCTTTTCTCTTTGTTTCAGCACCCTCACCCTCCTCCTCGTCCACATACTCTCAACCCTCCACCTCTTTTCTCTCAATCTCTTCCTCGTTTGCCACCTCGTGCTCTACCGCACCCTTTTTCTCGTCAGGACTATCACCATGGAAACCGCCACGCTCAGCTGGTCCATCTTCTGGGACTCCCGAAAAGCGCGGCAGATCCGCAAGAAAATCGAATTCGAGTTTTTCGTCTGGATCTTGGGACCGGGGGGCAACTTGTTGTGTTTCTTGCTGTGGCCTGGGTGGATTGTTTTGGGAGTCATGGTTTGGGGGCTTAGTTGGGTTTTTTCAAATTCGTCGGGGACATCGGGGACGGTGATGGGTGTTAGTGGGTGAATGGACATGCAAAAAAAAGAGGTGAGATATACTGGCAAGGGGGGAAGGATCCAGTGGATGAAATGCTGACATTTTGCTTTTTTAGAGGGGATTTTTGAGCATATGGTTACAAAACATTTGGTGATGGTGATGATCGCGACGTCGCCGGGTCAGACAAACAGGGACAGCGACGAGCAGCTGGAACTGTCCCTGGTCCGAGTTGAATGCGTCGCGAGCATCGCATACTATTCGCATTCCGCGATCGCAATCGCGCCGCCTCTCGAGGCATACACATACACACACACACACGCACACACAACACCGCATTGTTGGAAATATTGGATCACCATTCAAGCGACAGAACTAAACATCGAGCCATTTAAGGCCAACATTTCTTAAAACAATTCGATATCCGCTTGCGACAAAAGACTACCTCTACCGACCGACTACCTCGAAAAGAAAAACGCATTCCCGCCCAAATCCCGCCTAATCTCATTCTGATAATCCTTTTCCGGGTCAAACTCCTGCCACGTACTCGCCGGGTAGATGTGTTTGTTGCGCTGGTACCACCGCCGATCCACGACTTTGGTGAAAGTCGGGTCGTCGTTTGCGCCCTCCAAGGTCATGATATCCGGGAGGGCAGCGAGGCGGCTTGATGGGGTGGAGAGGGCCGCGGGATCGGCGGCTGTTGGGGATGATGTTTGGGGGTCTGACAACTGGAAAGGGGCGTCGTCGGAATAGTCAAAGAGCCGCTTGTTTCCGGGGCCCAGGGTTTTGTTGATGATGAAGAAGTAGAATTCGTAGTGCTGGAAGAGGTGTTAGCATTGTCTTTTATAAAGAAAAGCATGGATAGCGAGCATTTGCATTTAGGCATGAATAGATAGATAGCATTAGAGCATAGCGCAAGCAAGCAAACCGTTTCAACCATCATCTGTCCTGTCCGACCCATCACTGAATGAAGAAAAGAGTGTACTCACATGCGGAATGATAATACTCCCCCTAACCAACAACAAATCATCCACTGACACCCTCGCCCACGCCCTCCGCGCATTCAAAATCTTATCTTGCCCTACACCCCTCTCGGCGCCCACCTTCCTCGACTTGTCCAGAAACAACCAGGCATGGTCGCCCTTCTTCACGCGCACCATGCCGCCGGGGATGTTGGTACCATCGTAAAAGACGAACGGGATCGCGATCTCGGAAGCCTTGACGGCCGCTTGCTTGGCCAAAAACTCTCTGCGGATGGCTTCGCGCTCGGCAGCTTCGCGACGGAGAGCCGCTTTGGTGAGGGCGCGCGGGATAATAGGGGCCGAGGTGTTGACAATTTTCTTCTTTTTGGTAACATTGTCGCTTGCGTCGGCGTCGGCGCTACTTTCGCGGTTGGGTGTGCTCGTTGTTCTTGTGTTGTCCTCTTCTTTCTTGTCTTCGGGGTTCGGTGTATCCTCCTTTACTGCTGGTGTCTTTGCATTCTTCTTCTTCACAACCACCACCGCCTCTTCACCCTCTTCTTCATCGTCGCCAAAGCTTACTAAAGCCTTCTTGGTCTTTATCCTCTTTGCTTTCCTTTCCCCCGTTAATGTCTTCTTTTTGGTTTCGCCTTCGCTCTTCCCCTCGCCGCCTGTCGTCGTCCCGTTCTCTGCGTCTGTCCCGGGCGCAGGCGTCCCCGTGACCGATCGATCCAATGGCGTCGCAGCCGCGCTGCTGGGGTTGTCTGTATCGAGAGTGGGAGTGGCTGTGCTGCTACCCCCTCGCGCAGCAGCAATCGCGGCCTCTCGAACTTCGCGGTGTTGTTGCTCGAGAACTTCGGCGCGTCGCTTGCGAAAGTCGGCGAGGTTGACGAGTCCTACGGTCGAGGAGGAGACGCGCTCTTGGACGGTTTTGTTTTGCGGGGCGAAGCGGGGGTTGGGAGTCGCCGTGTTGGAGGAGGATGAAGCAGCTGGGTTCGGGGTCGAGGTACCGCTGCCCGGTTGTGATTGTTGTTGTTGGTCGGACATGTTTATAAAGGGATTGGTGGCTATCAGTTCAACGGTGATTGGGGCATCGAAGGTAGTATCACTCTAAACCCAGCTAGTGGTACAATGTCGGGAATCGGGATAACCAGAAGGGAGAGCGGACGTAGTGGTTTGAAAACTGATGATGAACAGATTGTTGTTTTGGTGACAATTCGAAGCAACAATTGAGCACCGATTGCAACGTCAATTAGTCCACGGCAGGCAATTGGTAGGTGGTCTGTGCATTCCACTATCCGTATAGGTACTACCGTAACCGCGCGGCGCTACAGCGCTGTGCTACAGCACCCGGTGTCACTGTTTGCAGCCCGTGTTGACGTCGCCGCTGACCTAACTTCAACTTCAACCTTTCATCAACTTTTCAACATGCGCAGCAAACATGGAAACCAACAAGAGGAAAGCGGCGGTCGAAGAGGGCGATGAGCACAACCTGGCAGGAGAGGGAGAATTGAACAGTCCATTCCGCGAACCCGAAGCCAAACGACAGAAACAAACAAACAATGAAGATCTCCAAGGGCAGCCGGCGCAAGAAGCCACCAAGCCGACCTCCGAGTCCGATCGGCCCCACAATATCCGGAGTGTCCCGCCTTCCGGATCCGGACCCGGACAGGCCATAGTAGCAACCGGAAGGACACCGCGCAAATGGACCGACGAGTACTTTCGCAATCTTTACACTAAAGACCCCAGTTTCAAATACCTTGGTCAGAAGGATCCCGACTTTGCTCCTTTGTAAGCTGTTTTTTGACCTTGTCGTCGTCGTCGTCATGATCACATCACTAACACTCCCTCAAAAGTCTCGACTCCCAAAACCAACTCGACTTTAACGACCCAGCCGCAGTAATGCAACTGACCAAAACCCTCCTCAGAATCGACTACGGCCTGAAAATCGACCTTCCTCCCGACCGCCTCTGCCCTCCCGTCCCCAACCGACACAACTACATCCTCTGGCTCACCTCCCTCCTGTCCTCCTCTTCTTACCACCCCCATTTCAGTTCCTCACCTGATCAGAAGAATATCGATTCCCGCCCCATCATCGGCCTCGACATCGGCACCGGCGCCTCAGCTATCTACCCCCTCCTCGGTTGCGTCCAACACCCACACTGGTCCTTCATAGCCACCGATATCGACGCCCACTCCCTCTCTTTCGCGCAGCGCAACATCCACCTCAACAAGTTACAAGACCGCATCACCCTCTTGCATCGCACCCCGGACCAGCCACTGATCCCTTTCGACTCCCCCATTCTCACCACGAGGGGTATAGACAAAATAGACTTCACAATGTGCAACCCCCCCTTCTACTCCTCCCCGTCAGACCTTCTTTCCTCCGCCGCCAAAAAGAGTCGACCACCACTAACAGCATGCACCGGCGCCCCCGTCGAAATGGTTTGCGCAGGAGGGGAAGTGGCGCATATTTTTCGAATGATCGACGAGTCGCTTGTCCTCCGCGAAAAAGTGACGTGGTACACGAGCATGATAGGAAAGGTAACCTCCCTCGAAACAGTAGTGGAAAGGCTAAGAAAGGAAAAGATACAAAATTATGCGGTGACGGAGCTGGTGCAGGGTAAACAAACGAAGCGGTGGGTGGTGGGATGGAGTTTTGGGGGGATGAGAGCTGGAGAGGTAGAAGGAAGGGGGGTAAGTGGGGTGTGGAAGAAACTGTTGCCGCCGGTGGTGAGTATGGAGGTTGGAATGTGGAAGGACAGTAGGGAGAAGGTCGGAATGGTGGTGGAGAGGGTTAAGCAGACGGTGGAAGGGTTGGAGTTGATGAGTTGGGAGTGGAGTGGGGAGAGGATGAGAGGGGTGGGGAGGGCGAGGGCGAATGTTTGGAGTAGGGCTTGGAGAAGGAAGAGGGAGAGGGAGATGAAGGCGGCAGAGGAGGGAAAGAAAAATGAGGACAGTGATGGGAATGGGACAAAAGAAGAAGAGAAGTGTAAACTGGGATTTGAGGTGGTCATTGAGGTTGGCAAAGGTGGGGAATCAAAGGTGCTGCTACTTTGGAGGGAGGGACATGATCAAGGCTTGTTTGAGAGTCTTTGGGGGTATTTTCAGGGCAAGCTGAAGGATATCTAGCCTTGTATCTGGCGGAAGAAACGTTCGAACTATCTTTCTAGGACTGGTTTCGCGACAAAGGTCGTCCTGCTTGGCCAAGATCACTACGACAAACCGAACGTGATCAAATATCCCCTACACTAATGCATTAGCAGTTTACCGCATATCATAGCAGCAATTGAGATAACACACTATCTCATTCTATGCTTACGCCGGCTTGAGGATCATACTTGGTCTCCACGACCGTCACTTCTTTTCCACTTATCTTTCCTCATCCGCCCGAGAACTTTTTGGCAAGATCCTCAGTCGCTCATGACAGAACAACGGAAGATGATGGAACCCACACCTTTAGAACCATGGCGCCTTCCTCCATTCTCCATCCAGGTATCCAGGACTCGACCGAAATATGATGATTGAATTCGATAGTCAAATGCGCAATCAACAAATATCCGAGTATCGCTGAGCAGCAATTGGCCATCAACAAAGCAACACCGTAATGCCCAACCTCAAAATCCCACCACTTTTATCTCCAATCCCCTCATCGGTACTGTTGAGATACGCCACTATCTATGAATCCAACACCGACACCGACAACCCCTCGGAGGAGCCAGAGATACCAGGCCATACCCACAGAGCACTCCCACCGTTTCTCCGGGGTATACCTATCGACTGGTCACAGGGTTACTTTACTTGGCAGCGCAAGGGATGGTGAGTTCCTCCTTCAGCAGCAGCACCATACCTGATAAGACATCTGGGTGGGTAGGTATAGTGACTGACAGCCCAATTTACATAGCGATTGCGTGGTCAAGTTCTGCCCACAGCATTGCCGGGAGCTCATAGGATCAAGGGATGATGAATCTAAGCAAAGTTCTATGCCTGCCTCTGATCTGCAAGTCGATGCTTCGGATCCGTATAATGATATCAGTTCCAACGACTATTACCTTGACTCAAACAACGAGGCGGTCGATGATAGCGATGAACACGATGTTGACGATGATGACCACAATAGCGAGGTTGATAATGACGATGCCGACGACGAAGCTGGGTCGGGTTCCTCAAGTGAAGCAGCCGATGACGATGGGAACGACATGCAGTCTGCAAGTGGTAACCAGGCGCATAATGCATCGGTACTGCCTAGCATCGAAGGTGGACACCAATCTGGGGAGGGATCACCTACACCCTCTGTTTCGCCCGGAGAGGGGACTGCCCTGGATGACCCAAACAACCTCCATGAAGTAGAAGAGGGCACGGTCTCTCTCAGCGATCGGAACCAGCCAGATGATATCATGGACGATTCGAACGAGACCGAGGTGCCCAACCCCGAACTTCCCCAGCCGCAGCCGCAAGGCTCCCAAGTCCAACGAATGCAACGGCCCGCGCACCAGCCTCCGCCGCCAGCTGAGCTAGGCTTCGACACCGAGTATCTCGAAGCCCTCCCCGAAGAGCTCAGAAACGAAGTAATCGCCGATACCCAGGCTAAGGATACCGGCACCCAGAGATCCCAACCCCAGCCACAGGCGCGTGGGCGTGAGCGTGAACAGGTTTTCCAAAGGCATGGCGGCGAAAGCAGCGGAAACGCCGAGGTCTTGCAAGAGTTCCTTGGAGTACTCCCGGAGGACCTTCGTAACGAAATACTTCCCCCTCTGCAGGCTTGGGCTCGGGCTCAGGTCTCAGCCCTCCCTCCCCTAAGCAGCCTTCCAGTCATGTCTGCCATCACCACCACCACCAACAGGCCCGCCTACCAAACAAGCCGACAAGTAGCCCAAGAAGCTGGACCTCGGTCCCAGTATGCTAGTCCTCGCGCGCAGCAACATCATCAACGTCGGAGATCCGACTTTTTGGCCAGGGTGCTAAATAGTATCCCTTCTCCGGCGCCTGGTTCCACTGGGACACCTGGCGACGGTGTAGATAGTGTTAGCAGTCGGACACAAGCTCAGCCCAATCAGTCCCAGACTTTGATGCCCACGGGACTTTTCTCTACGTCAACCCCAAAACCTGTGGCCAGAAAGCTCTTTGCTCGATCTGATGCGTTCCAGCCACGTTCAGCGCCAGTAAAACCCGCAAACGACATGGATCTCGAAGAGGCCAATGGTATGGTGACGCGGAGTCAGAGCCGTCGTCGCGGTAGAGCTGATACTGTTGATGAGGTCGGGGAGGCAAGTAAGGTCGGCGAGAGTATAGGTATGGTGACGCGAAGTCAGGGCCGTCGTCGCAGTCAAGCTCGGAATGGCGTAGAGGTGCAGGACAATCAAGACAATAGGGACAAGGAGGAGCAGGAGCAGGAGCAGGAGCAGGACATACAGGGTGAAGAAGCGTCAAGAAGAAACAAGAGGAGAAAGAAGACAGAAGAGGATCGGGAGTCTGAAGGAAAGGAGAAGAAGAAGAAGACACTAGGTAGAGCCAAGAGGGGAAAACCAAAAGGGAGCGGGAATACGAAGACGTATGCGAAGAGAGATAAGAGGAGGAGGGTTTGATGGTGGTTTTGCTAGGCTCAGTATATTATTGGAAGATCAGCAAAATAATGGCTTTATTATAAGCATCGTGCAAGTAAGCAAGTCGGGAGCGAGGGGGACGGAGGTATTGGGGGGTTATGGAGTACGAGGTCAGGGTCATGTTGGAGTATCGTTAATTTGGAAGAATTCATTGGATAGATTGAATAGTATTCGCCATTACATAGTATGGCCATAAAATATACCTACCCCAAGTTTCTGGTTGATGGAATAAGAAGAGGACGTCGCTCAAATGCCAAGCCCAATACATGTACTTTGATGTCCTGAATGAGACGCTACGTATGCATGTGCGAGCTCCAGTGGTGTTCTAGACCTCTACAGGCCTTAACTCCTACACTACTTAGCGCTGTGACTCCGCCGCTAACGTGCTGCATGGCTCGTCCCGAAGCGCGGGATGGAGTGCTGGGTATTGGAGGACGTGCACTAACAAAAACACAGTTTTCCAAGATAGAAATCTGTTAGCAGGAAGCGGAATCCAATAATTCGGCAGCTCGACGTCATCTTCAAGAACCTGTTCCTTGCTCTGGTTTCAGCTTCCATGCTTTCCACCAACCCCTCCCCTCCTAGGTCCCCCTCGCTCGTCGTGCCCTTGTTTCCCCTCCCCTCTCGCCGAGCTTGACCATGGAATCCCAAAGCCAATTAACCATCGCTTCTGTTTGCTTGCTCTGGCGACCCTGACCACTCGCTGAACGGGAAAGCTCCGATGAGGTGCAGCTGTGTCGCTTCCTTGTTTTGACGACAGCCATCTTCATCTTTTCTTGCCCTTCTCTCTTTTGGGTTGCCTCCTCGTCCTTCTGCGCGCCTCTGCTTCTACATCGCAGCGACATACATTAACCTTGATCTCGACGCAACACGCACAGACGACCACAGTACCTATCGTCTGATTCCACAGACACAGGGCAGCATGGCAAGGTTCGGGGCCTTCTCGCGCCTCTTGGGCTTGGACCGTCCACCCCATCGACACGACCATTGGTGGCACGAACATCGCCGACAACGTACGAATTCCCCTCTCCCCTCGCTGAAGGCAACTCCACGCTAACAGTCGCAGTCCTTCCCAGCTACCGTGACGACTTCTACGTCTCCGCCATCCCCGCCGAAACCGTGACCGAAATCGCTCTCCGCATCCGTCACCTCATCGAGAAATGCGTCCCCATCGAGCTCCCCGTTGAGAAAATCATCTCTCCGACTAGTAAGATCATCACGAAGAAGGTGCTCAAGGCAGCCAAGGAAGCCGGCGGTAAAGAGCACCGATCATGCGTCGTCTACTGTCTGCTCGTCAACAAGCGCTGGTGGAAACACCAAGCCCAAGTCGAACTCTGGGATGCCGACCTACACGCCCTCCGCGCCGTAGCTTGCGAGGTTATCGCCAAACAAATCATCGAGACGGAGGAGGACACCAACTTCTTGCTTCACGAGGTCCTGTTGAAGCGCTACTCCATCATGATCGATAACAAACCTACCAAGCCGTCCAACGTGATCGAAAAGGCTGTCGACTTGCATGCCCTCAGGGTGATCGGCTCTTCGGGCTACCAAAAGTGTATCAACTACCTCTGGCGCGGCTGGTTGGTCCAAGATGAGAACGACCCGTCAACCTTTGTCGAATACCGCGACAAGGACAACACCTCCTTCTGGTCGCACTTGGACCCGGATCGCATGCGCGCACCCATGTACCAAAACTGGACGCAGATGCTCATCAGCTTCGTCTACCTCGTCCTCTACACTCTTGCCATGAATAGCGTCAATCCCGGCGGCCACCTTGATGTCGTTGAGGGCCTTTTATACGCCTTCACACTCGGTTTCATGTGCGACGAGTTCGCCAAGGTTTGGAAAGCCGGGCCCGCCATCATCGGCTTTTGGTCCGCCTTCAACAGCATTCTCTACGGTCTTTTAACCACGTCTCTAGTCTTCCGCGTCATCGCCTTCTCCCACGACAGCTCCGACGTCGACTGGCGGCAACACTACAACATCCTATCCTACAACTTCCTCGCTGTTTCCGCCCCCATGTTCTGGCTGCGCATTTTGCTATATCTCGACTCCTTCCGCTTCTTCGGCGCCATGCTGGTCGTCCTCAAAGTCATGATGAAGGAATCCATCATCTTCTTCGCTTTACTTCTGGTCATTATCGTCGGTTTCCTCCAAGCCTTTCTCGGTCTCGACCAAGCCGACGACCAAGTCGTCGAAGATACCATGTTCATTGTGCAATCCATGGCCAACGCCTTGATGCAGTCGCCCGATTTCAGCGGCTTCGAGAAATTCAACCACCCCTTTGGTCTACTTTTGTACTACTGCTTCACTTTTGTAGTTATGGTCATCCTGCTCAACATCTTGATTGCCCTCTACAACTCGGCCTACGAAGACATCTACGACAACGCCAACGACGAGTACCTCGGCATGTTTGCGCAAAAGACGATGCAATTCGTGAGAGCACCAGACGAGAATGTGTTCATCCCGCCGTTTAACCTCATCGAGATCTTTTTGTTGGCTCTGCCGCTGGAGTGGTGGATGAACAAGACTACTTATGAAAAGATCAACGATTGGTGCATGGCTACTATCTACTCCCCCCTCTTGCTGGTCAGCGCCTTCATCGAAGTCAAGACTGCGCAAGAGATTAGGGCCAACCGAGCCCGTGGAGACGGGGATGATGATTCGGTTGAAGAGTGGGAGCAGAGGATGGGAGACCTTGATTTTGAGGCGGATGGGTGGGCGAGGAGGGTCGAGAATGCGAAGAGTAGATTGGTCAAGATGCAAGAAGAAGAGATGGATGAGGAGGAGGAGAATGAAGACATGGAGATTGGGAAGTTGAGGGACGAGGTGAAGGAGCTCAAGGGGTTGTTGGGTGAGTTGATGGGAATGATGCAGAAGGAGAGAGAGGGGAAGGGGAAGGAGGCTGTGAAGAACGAGAATCCAGAGGTTGAGAGTCAGGGGGTTGACAGTCAGGCCACTCAGATTGCTGGAGATGGTGATGGTGGTCAAAGCAGCAGCAGTAGTAGCAGTAGCAGTAGTGATGGGAAGTGAGGCTCCATGTTCCATTTCTGCTGGTACGGAGAAGATGGATACCTACAATTCCATGTTATCAAAAAAGAGAAGTGTTAGGCTATGGTGCTGCCTAGGTATTTGGGAAGAAAGAATACTGAATAGCTACGAGTTTTTATTCTCCACGATACAATTTATGACTATAATCTACTCACTCTTCAACACACTCGCCCGTCGCAAAAGCAATGAGCTGACAATTGGATACCTAGTGTGCTCGTAACCTGCCGCTTGATACTGTAGCGTGTCATCTTTTCTCGTTCGTGAGGAAATCTCTATTTACCTACCTTGCTTCATACCTCAATACAGATGCGCCAGTAAGACCGAAGAGATGATACATGGCTTCAAAACGACTGGACGGACTGCTCAATCATGTCTACCAGAGAAAATGATTTTAGCCATGGTTTATCATGGCTTACCTACCTAGTCTATGCGCTTGAGGGGACAGATTACTTGGTATTCCTACCTGCACACCTCCTAACTGGACCAGCTCCGTCGTTTTGTAACAAATTTGTCAAGACCTTTGCTTATTGGGTAGGCCAACGACCAGCTGCTTGAGTAAACTAGTCCCCAATACTGCTCGTTATAATTTACAAATACTGTTGCCAAACTGTGATATGGGTTACTATAGTTGGAAAAGACATCAGCTAAAGTCCGTTTGGGATATTTATGTGCAGAAAATGCGTAAGAATTAAGTTCAAAGGAGTGATGTCACCGCTTAGAAGCATAGCGAGGGTACACTAGAGGTACTGAGGAGGAAGTATGGAGCGGGGCGGTCAAGTTTTAATATTAGGTAGAGGTAGGTAAAAGAATGCTCAGTAGTGATAGTGGTAATAACTCTGCTAAAAACGATGCTGGATAACCATGTGCGTTTTTAGGATCTAAGGAGTGACAGCATTCACCACCCTCTCGTTCGTCACATGGCCCGCGTTATCCTCCTCCTCCGGAATTGGGCCTAGTTCATGCCCTTGATGACCCATCACCTCGTCCATCCTCTCCCTGACCTTGTTCCAAGCTTCATCACCCTCCCACATAAACGCCAGCTCCTCGAGGGTGCGGTCCTTGGTCTCGGGAAAGAAAAAGTATACGGTCAGTGCTTCGACAGCAATCCAGACACAGTACACTATGTAATACTTCCACCCGATGTTGAAGACGGCAATGGGGTTCACGTAGGTGTTGACAAATAGGGCGATACGTCCGGTCAATTGCTGCACAGCAATGCCTTGGGAGCGTTGGTGGTAGGGGAAGAGTTCGGAGAGGTAGGTATATGTAAGAGAGCCCCAGCCTAAAGTGTAGAAACTGTATCCCCTGTATAAAACATAAGGTTAGCTTTTGAATTGGACATCAAGACACACTAGAGCGAGAAGAGAACGGATAATGCTGTGGGAAAACACAGGAACTTACGGGGTATACAGGAACATAAACACCAATACCGGAATGACGGCTTTGGGCGACCCTGTTTGTGCCTTGGAATTGGCAATGGTCCACACTATGTACACCAATCCCGTCCCAATGGTGCCCATCAGGAACATTGTCCTGCGAGGATACCTTGGGCTGATGAGGGTGGCCACGCTCGTCCCGGCCACGAGGCCCCAGCAGGTCCAGCCGAAAATGATCATCTGCACAGTTCGGGGGTTATTGATGCCGACAATGTGCATGATTTTGCCCGTGTAGAAGCTGAGGAGGGCGTTGCCGCTCCACTGGGTGAAAAAACCAATGAGAGCAGCCAGGGCAAAGCGCTTTCGCATCGGAGCGTCGCGGAACATGTCACCCCAGACAAAGGTGTTCTTGGTCCTCTTCCTTTCTTCCGCCAAGGTACTACTACCATTTGAAAAGAGAATTTGTCCTCCGTTCAAAGCGATATGGGATGATGGTAAGGGTTTGTGACGCCACAGAAGACTCTGATGGCTATCCTCTAATGCCTTTCGTCGTCTCCTTCATGGCCTTTAAGACTGCTATGCTAGTCTTGTGGACGCTCACCGTGGTAAGTGTATTGTGGGGTAGCACATCGTAGAGCTCCTTGTATGTATGAAGACTGGACATCTCGGGGGCTTCCAAAACGCTTTTCGATGGCTTTGAACTTGAATTCTCGGCCTCCTAGCAAGGTCTTATCCTCAGGTATCACGGCGACAGACGTCGTAGGACAGCTAGCTGTATCTCGCTGTGTCGTTCCGGGCGTGGACGGGAAGATGTGCAAAAGTCAGAGTTGACTTTGCCCGGAAAAAGAGAGAAAAGAGGACATCGGGGAACTGGCGGGGAGGAGAAGGAAGGACAATATTCTGGGATCCAAGGCTAGGACGCTAGGTAAAAAGCTTGTGAGAGAGCCGGGCAACATGGATACATTTGATAGAGATGTCCTGGGGAACAGGCGTCAGTTGGCCACCGCTGCCATTTTATGTCAAAGTTTGTGGTCTCGAAGTGGAGGGGGGAGAAAAGACTGAGTGCCTCAGGCTATCTGACAGGTTTCCTTCCCTTGAGGTTTCTCTTCCAGCCATGACGGAATGAGCAACCGGCATCCTGCGCCTGTCGGAGGAAAACAAGATTATCTAAGAACAGAAGTACTGGGCAGGATAGCAATGAGCAAGGCTTCTTCCTTTGTCAACTCAACGGGAGATCCGTAATCGCAATCGATCTTTCAGCACGCAATTTCCAGTGGGAAGGAACGAACGCAGTGACAGGACCTTACAACAACGAAGGGGATAGTACGCGCATTAGCCAAGTTGCAGCTTTGCAAGAGCGATGGAGGAGGTAGTACTAGTACCTGTCTCTGGGCACCGCCATCACTGTGGTAGACATCGGCCGTCATAAACTCTTGAAATCACAACGGACCCATCCGGAACGGCATTCACATAGTGGGGAGCGGCTCCCGTGTCGGCAGTGGTAGATATCAGATAAGTAGGTGAAATTCAGGCGCACTGGCCGATAATACGGTTGATCGTTCGTGTCGTTTAGGTCTGATCACTGGGTGAGACTCTCTCTGCGCACATCACATACACCGACGTTGCCGTACATTTACGGAGCTCGTCGGCCTGATACCGTCAGGTCAGAAAGGACACATCGACGGAACGGCAGCACGGAGTGTATCGTGTTGGTATAGTCCAGTTAGGTAGGTACTTTAGCGCAAGGACGACTCGTCGTCCAACAGTGACGGGTGACGAGTGCGGTACGGGAACCGTCGCAACGCCGTATAACCTGGACCAATAGTCGATTGTGTGTTTCGGCTGTCGTCTTGTGAGCACTGACACGTCCGGGTCGATTGACGGTTTCCACTTCGCCGTCGGCGTCCGTCTATGATAGTATCGGGCCCGAACACACGTTTTTCACGCCGAGAAAATGATGACCGGACCGCAATCGGCATACGCAGACTCAGACGGCGTGCCAAGAAACGCGACAGTGGGTTCATAATGACGGTGCCGACAAATGCAGAAAAGTGGAGATTTTCCAAGGCGGTCCCCGTCGGTCGGACGCTCCGTCCAATTTCAATTGGACCCGGGATATCCGGCTTACGGCGGGGCGGAGCGACAACGAAGACGGGGGAAGAAGTTGAAAGTCGGAAAATCCAATGTCAGGACCTACGTAAGGAGGGAGGGAGGGAGAGTCCGATAGCCCCTGAGATGGCCCGATGCCTACTTTGGTGGAACACACCAACGGATGTCTCAAACACCGGCGGCGGTTCGCATGCCGCCTCGTTACATGGACTTTGTATCGGGCTGATGAAATCATGAGATGGATGATGGAAAAGGTCGGTTTCGTTGTCATTCAGCCTGAAGAGCTTCTGCGCATCATACCTACTGGAGTAGCCATACTTGGCGTGTTTCCGTTGTGTGTTTTCCGGGAGGAAGATCGATGGGAATCTCGGACATGACCGCCCCGCGCCCGTGCGCATCTCCAACATGAATTGCGGAGTATAATAGAAAATACGCCGGTGACGGAAGCTTCAGTATGCGGGCGAGCGGCACGGAGAAAGGCTAATATGGAATGGAATGGACACCTCGAACATGCCGAAATTGTTCTAGCCAGCATCACTTTCTTGACGCCATGCAATGTTCGGGCTGAGGGATCCCACAAGAAACGATGATGTGTTTCGAACGATACGCACCGTCGTGAAAATGATGATTTTTCTCGTGTTCCATGTTCGTTGTTGGAATTGTACGTGGCCCGCGAGCCCGCTCACCGTGGGCGGGGCGGGTCCGAATGGAGCCACTCTTTTTCTAGGGGAAAAGGTCCGAGCCCGACGGGGGACTGACCAAAGCTCTGGCTGTCACCGACTATGTCACCGACCGACGCCTTCCGATCTTCGAACCCGGAATTGCCCTTCTTTTGCATTTGGGGATCACGATAATGACGGAAGATGTCATGTCGCAGGACACCCGCATCATCCGACACCACACAACACTGAAACACAAACTTGAAATGACGGATGATTGATGAGAGATGCAGTGAGCTGGGATGCGACACGGGGCTCGCTCGAAATTGGGATTTGGGAGTCTCCGAGCTTGGCTTGGAGGGGAGCTTGGGCCTCTTGGATCCGGAGAAATGTGGGGCCATACGGACTCCGAGTAGGTTACGATCTACCAGTGGCAGCCGGCTGGCAAAACTGAGGTTAGTAGGCGGATAGCAGTCTTGGCAACTGAACTCTTGTCGCGCGGACAAGAAGTGGAGAACACGACGGGTCACGGGTCACGGGTCGACGTGCTGCCTCCGATTGGAATCTCACACTCATCAAATGTCCTGTCCCGCTCCCCGTTCGTTCGCTCGCTCACCTCACTTGGCGGGGAGTGTCAAGTTTCGGAAGTTCCAAACGCAGGTCCCGTCCCGTGTTGGTAGGGCCCACACTCCCTGTTCCCTGCAGGTCCATGTTCCGTGTTGTTCTCCAAGGAAGATGGGCGAGTCCAGCTCGTGCCGACTTGTAGGATGACAGAAGAAAAAGGGGGGCCACGGGGCCCCGAATTGATTGCTTGGAGAGGTAGGTATGGAGAAGGCGACCACTCAGCGTCCTTAACAGAGCGCAAAGAACACACCGTAGAGGTAGTATGCGACCATGTAATCCGCCTTCTTCTTCGGTGGTGGAAAGAAAGAAAAAAGCACCGGGGCGGCGCAGGCGCAGCCATAGCTTCAACACGAGCCGTTGCCTGGTTCAGCCATGGTTGAAACCGCAAAGGGGCTTGCAACTTGATGCGATGCGCTTTCTGGGGAAACAAAAGGTGTCTCGATTGGAGAGAAGCCAGAGGAGTAAAGAGACGGACAGGCGGAGAACGGTGACAGCAGTATCGGAACGAAACAGGAGTCGCGCCAGCTCCGGTTGGGCACCAAACACGCAAATGTCCTAAAATTGGACTGGAAATTAAGCACCACCGTGAGAACGGACGAGCCGGCGTGAGTGAGGGGAAGAAGGGGGCATTGGGGATTGGAGGGAGTGGAAGGGAAGGGGGACGGACGGCGGGGTCAGTGCGCGTGTCTGACCAGTCCTCCCGAATGCAACGCCGGAAGCCAAGAGAAAAGGGGCCGGGGTGGGTTCTTCGTTCTCTCTTTACAGTATGTACACTACCTTGATCGAGATCCAGTCGTGTCATTCCATCCATCCATCCATCCAGCTTCCAGGCTCGGGCAAGTCTCTAATAGTAGGCAGATTGCCCGGGGCGTCAGTCACAGGCTCACAGCCGGCATCCTGCCCTGCCTGGCGCCGTGTCCTAGCTTGCATCATCATCAGGCTGTGGCTGTTTCGTCGAAAGCAACAAGGCGAAGATCTCAGTCATCATTTGGCGAGGACGAGGTACCGTAAAGGCGTTGAAAACATGGCAATTTCACAAGAATGCAATGACAAGCCACACAAGTTCGTTGTGTAATTCAGGGCACCTTCACTTTGGACCTCTCGATCGCCAGACCCCCTGAAATCCCGTTGCGTCCGGTGTGTGTGTGTGTGTGTTCGTTTTGTACTTCCACGCGACCGGTAAATGTAACCGACCTCCGACGGAGAAGGGAGAGGACTGAAGCGCTGATGAGCTGACTGTGGGCTGGCTGGCTGGGCTGGCCGGGCTGACACTGAGAGCTGTGCCATGTTTTTATTGACTTGCGCGTATAAAGAAGCTGTCTTGATACAAAACTTGCAGCTTCATGATTCCAATCCTTCTTTTGCATTTGCTCTCCAGATCTTCTCCAAAAAGAAGAAGAAGCAAACGTCATGGTTCGGAATGATTAAGTGGAGCGTGCCCGAGATTGGAAGCCGGGTTCTTGACCGTCGACCCCTTGTCCAAACAAATGAGCGGGACAGAGTGGAAGCCCGGGCGGGCTGTGGGCAAGGGAAGGAAGCGGCCGACGACCGCAGCTAAATTGCAAGTGCACCACCACCACCGTAAACATTTCAGTCACAAGCTGGTATTCGGACTGGAATTGGAAGGATGATGTCTCGGTCGCGGGGCCGGGTGCATCAGGTCAGTCAGACTGGGGGAACCTGTCCATCCGACCTCACCATGCCCGTCTGCTACTTAGCAATCACCACCATTTATTTAGGTATTTGTTCAGTGTAGTATTCAGCTCCATTCACGCGGCGGGATTCAGCCCCAAGAAGCTGCACTCGTTAGTGGCTGCAACCACCATAATGAATCCCGTGTCTCCCGGAACCTGCCCACCGTGTTGAATGTCCGCGCGGCTTGTGCATCCTTTAGTTGGTTTCCATCTTGTCCCATCATGCCTGGATGTGCTTCATGGATAACATTTGATTATTTGCGCATGTCCATACTATATAACAACGAGTCTCTCTGGTGATGATTAGGGCAGTAAGCTACCCGCCTTTACTTAAAGAGGGGCCTAGTGCGAGATCAAATGCTAGGTGCCTCCCGGCCCGGACCCCAATTGTCTCCGGCCGCTGCGCGACAGGCAAGAAACCCGCCCCAGCACCAAAGCGGCTTTTGGTCCCAGGGCAGTCCAGCAGCGATGTGACAATGAGGCGACTGGAGCAGACCTCGAACGCATACCAAGGTCACGGTGACGCCGGTCGGGACCTCAGCTTGGCTGGCCCACAAACAAAAGTCACTTTTCCCCCCAAACCGGCTGGCGGGTGACTTCCGAAAGCGAAGGGGTCAAGGCCCCGCTTTAATTGACGAGCCCCGGCACCAGCAGCCGATCCGTCCGTTCCCATTGTGGCTCGCAGGCGGCAGACGGGTCGCCAGACGGTGCCCGCTTGGAGACAGAGCTGCCGCCGAAGAGGCTCGACTGCTCCCTTTTCACCCCCTCCACCCCCCGTGCTTCCTGCCGCGCGCCCGCCCACAAAGAGGCACCATCCCTCTCTCTTCCATTCTCCCGTCTTCTTTCTCCGTCCCCTTCCCTCCCTTTTCCTGTCCCGTGTTTCTCGCCTCCCGATCTCTCTCTCTCTCTCTCTCTCTCTCTCTCTCTCCGCGGAACACTTTTGTCCACCGCGTCAACCAGCCCGGCGCCGTGATCCATCCATCATCGTCAATCAGTTCAACGTCTCTCTCCGACTGCTCTGCTCCCGTCTTTTTCTCGACCCGCAAAATCCATTCGTCGCTGGATTTCCAGCACGACTTTAGTCCTCGGCGCGACCTCCGGCCTTTTTCGCTTCCAGCTCCGGTTGAGTCGGCCATTATTCGGCACCCCGTCCTTCGCGCCTTCACTTTCATCTTCTTCAACTTCTCCTTTTTTTTTTTTTCACAAAGCACCATCAACGACACCAACAACAACAGCGTCATTGTCATCGTCGTCGCAATTTTCAACACCATACATAAACATACAATTATTATTGTCGTCATTGTGCGCATCGTGATTCAAGTCGATTTCCCACCAGCCAAACAAGCATTAATAACAGCAACACCCACCCTCCGATCTATCCCGAGCAAACACTCTCTTTACTACATACAGCCCCGTCTGGTCACCGAAGGGAAATGTCGTCGGTTGTGAGGTCCACGGCCCTCCGCGCTGGAGGAGCCTGTGTTCGGTGTCGCAAGGGCAAGACCAAGTGTGTGTACGAGAACGGCCGAGCACCCTGCAAGAACTGCGCCAAGGGGATGCACGAATGCTATCTTCCCTCGGAGAGCATGGCTCACGCCCACGGAGGAGTAGCACCGAGCAATCGCCAACAACGACCACGCGAAAGCCTCCCCAATGAACGCATCGTGCCCACGTCTGCTGGCGACCGCGGAGGACCGCCGTCCGTCGGTGCGTCGCGTCACGTCTCTACTACCAACGAAAAGTACGTGCTTTCCTAGTCCTTTTCTTTTATTGTTGTCGTCGGTGTTGTCCTTTTCTCCTTCGACTATTCGGTTTACTACGTACTACACTACTTACCTACACCATCAAAGTCATGATGGCAATTCAAGTGGTTTTGTCTTTTGTCTTATCCAACTTCCCTTTGCGCGCTTTTCCACTTGGCTTGGTTTCCCCAATTCATCTTCGTCGCCCGGTTTTTTTTTCTTCTGTTCCCACTGTTTGCCAGTCAAGGGAGGTGCTGGACACCTACCTACCTCTCCCGTCCGGCTCGGCTCCCCCTTTGGTGGCCCCGACAAGTTCCCGTCAGTGGACGCAAGCGCCGGAATCAGCGATGCGCGCATTCCGCTATCCGCCCGCCTCCTTCTCGCCAACTGCCCACTCCCAGGCAGTCATCACTGGGCGCACGGCCACCGCCGAGGTGGGCACATGCTGCTGCTGCTGCTGCTGCTGCTCCACGGCGGGGTGGTTGCCTTGGACGCTCCTGCCCGCCTGCCCGCCCGTCCACACCGGAGGCAGAGTGCATTTTCTAGCGCTGCCTCTTCGGAGCAACAAGGATGCACCGTCCCCCGACCCCCCATTTTTTTTTCCTCCGCCGCCCGGCTTCCCATTCTCGAACCGTCTTTGTACCCCATTCCTTCCCATTGCTCGCCTTGCTCCGTGCGCACCTCTCGGCCGTCATTCCGATCTCCTGCCCTTTTCCTTCCCTTTTCCTACCCCCCCTCATTTCCCGGCAGCCCCGTGCACCCCCCCTCGCGACACCTCTCCTGCAAACGGAGCCAACGGAGGGTTTTTTTGGTGAGAGGGCTTGGTCACCATTACACATTTTCGCCCAGTTTTAGCACCCCCGCCCCCCCCCGCCGCCGCGTCAGTGCGCGCAGAGGGGCTGCTTTCGGGTTGCCGGCCCTTCCACTTTCCGGCACCGGCATCATTGCCTTGCTCCACATTTGCCCGCCCCGAGGCCCCGATACGATAAGATAAGCATCCATCGTCAACACAGTCAACACCAACAGGAAACATCGCGGGTTGTTCCTTCCCTTGGGTGTTTGCAACTCCTACCGCCTGTCCTTTGCCCTGCAGGCCACAAACATTTCACTCAATTTGTTCTGCAACACCTTTGTCAGGGTCTGACCACCACCACACCTTTCGTTCATTGACATGGCAAAACTACATGTCTGACAAGCATCTCCATCTGCCACTCATCTATGCCATCTTTCATATTACTACTATATTTCCCGGTGTCCATTTTACATTACACTTGACCGAAACATGACTAACAAATGTACCTTTTCCAGACTCACCCCCGAACTCCTCCAAGAATGCGAGCGCGTCATCAACAAGACCCTCCCAGCATGTGTCGCCTTCCACAAGCCCTCCTGCCTACAGCAGCTCAAGAATGCGTCGATGGAATGGACCTTGGTTAATGCCCTCCTAACCACAGCCGCTCGCCATTCCCCGGCCATGATTCGAAGATATGGAGGACAACTCGGCGGCGCAGGCGCTGCTGAGCACTTTGCCCAGAAGGCCGGTCAACTGGTGATGCAGTCCTTGGCCTCCCCCAGCCTCGCCGATATCCAGGCCCTTTGCCTTCTCGTCATCCACGAATGGGGTTGCAGAGAGGCTGTTCGTGCCTACATTTATCTCGGCCAAGCTGCTCGTATGATCCAGATGTACAGGATTGTCTCCGCCCAGCAGCGAAACTCCGACCCCGACCAGTTTTTGCAGGACGAAAGCTTCCGCCGTACTCTGTGGCTCATCTACATTCTCGACTGCTTCCTTACCAGCAGCCCCGGCCGTCGCCCCGCTCTTTCGACTCACGATGTTGTCGATGTTGCTTTGCCGTGCGCGGATATGAACTTTAACTTTGGCAGCCCTGTTGTTGTTAGAACCATCAGCGGCGCCGCGCCGTCCCACGCGGAGCCCGGTGCTGCTCTCTCGGAGGTTGGCGAGTTTGGTCACATTGTTCTGGCCACTCAAGCTTGGCGAAACGTTGTCGAGATGATGACGACCACCACCCTCGAAACGTTCGACGACTCACGGTGCCTTGGACTGGAGGCCGACATCGATACCCTCCGCCAGTCGCTTCCTCCCCACTTTGCCGATAAGCCCGGCCAGATCAACCTTCACATTACCATGGGCAGTGGCTATACTTACGCCATGATTCACTGTCTCCTCAACTGCGGCACCATCTTTGTCAACCGACGCCGCATCCTACAGGTGGTAACAGACGAGAACTTTACCATCGATGCCTGGCGCATGGCTTCTCACACGCACATGCAAACCGTTGACCGCATCTTTGCCGCTTCCCATAGCATCATCCACTCTCTTCTCGCCCTTGAGCACGGAGCTGACAAGGACATAATGGTGTGCTTCCCGATTTTCATGCTCTTTTCAGCCTTTACCGCCGGCTCAACCGTAGCATACCTTACCCTCAAGGGCCTCGCTCCGTCTACCGTGACCGAATCCGCCAGCAGCATCGTTCGAGACAGCTTGCGCCTCTGCCAGGATGGATCCGAGTCGTGGCCCCTGGTTACGCCCTGGGCTCGTCATCTTACAGTTATGTCCAAGGTCTTGCGCGATATGAAGGTACTGGGCCGTGACCGTGAAGCGCGCGAAGACAGCCGCGCCACGATGCACGCTACTTCCCCTCACATTAAGGATGACATCGCCACGCCTCCCGACAACACCAACCCTGAAGCCATGGAGTTCGATACCGTCCAGCCCAATAGCACCGCTCCTGGGTCGCAGCCACCCAATGCTGCTTCACCCGGGCTTCCCACTCCGACCATCGAGGGAGCAGGTGGTAGCGAAGTTGGCGAAACCCCGCTCGTTAGACGTCCCGGCATCACCACTATTAACGGTGGATCGGTCGGCGCGGTGGATACCAGGGTTGCAACGACTAGCCCGCCGCCGCACACGACACCGGTGCTGCAGCATCAGCAGATGAAGGTGGACTCGCCTAGCGCGCAATCATCGGTGTCGAACCAGGGAGTGGCCAACGCCCAGGGAGCGAGTGTTCCTCCTGGAGGCGCGGATGCTGTGGACATGACGGCTAATGAACTATGCCAGGCATTCGAGAGGCAGTTGTTGGAGTTGGATGATTTGGCTGCCTTTATGGGTGGTGGTGTTTGAAGCCGTCACTCGAGGTTGATCTTTGCGGGATTTGTATGATACGATGAGGTAATGGACTTACCTGTGTCATTATGAGGATGATTTGAGTGATGCTAGTCGATGGCATTCTCTGGGTACTTGGCTTCTCTGCCTCTGTTTCTTTTGTCTTTCTTCTTCTACCTGTTCAGGATCAGAACTGTTGTAGGGCGGATTGGCGGCATTGTCTGCAACGGACGGAACGATTGCGTTGTGTGGTTTCGGTCAGTCAGTGACATGACCCAGTAAATTCGGGTGGTATAGGCTTGGTTTGGTTTGGTATGGTTGGTCGGTTGGTGTTACCGGAGTTTTGATGACGCTTTTGTCGTCACTGTTGATCATCACGGGAGAATGCTCTTTTGGCCTTTGGGTTGTTTTGCTCGCTTGTCGTTCCAAGTTTGTATCTGATTCTGCCTAGTTATTATTTTTGCGAAGATAGGACTTGTATGTCCACTTGTTTCGTTTATTAGCGATTGCCATATTCATGAAAGGATAAAGAAGACTGTTTACGCTGCTTGGTTGTTTGGTTCCCTCTCTCTGTGATTATTGCGTGGTCGATTGATCCGATGCCGTCGTGTTTGGAAAACGTTGTCCACAGTCAGAAATGTATGGACAACGCTCGCCGTGACCGGATATATTGAGCCGACCGATACCTTGCATGCATGGAAGTCATGCTCTCTCTCGGACAACTACCGGATATAATGGATTGACATGATTGCTGCGAGAACGAACGAACGAACGATCAGCGGTTTTTGGCGCCGGGTACCTTTCTCCATGACTGCGAACCTCCACGTGCAGATAAGACAAAGACAGACAATGGGCACGATGCTACACGTGTACACGCACGTACACACGTACGCACGCACGCACGCCGGCATCCGAATTGCCGGGTCCACTCACATTTTGTGACCAGATTTATTACACTAGTGTAGTGAACCACTACACTACAACAACTCGGCTGGCTGCTGGGGATAGAACTTGAGCAATGGTTGTTTGTTTCCGGGTGGCAAAAGAAACCTTAATTTTTGGTACGTATGAGAATTGAGAGATGGCTGGTTTGTCGCAGTTAGCCGGCTCCTTGCTTTTTGTGTAGTGTAGAGCTACTGTTATGAGCTAACAAGTTACCTAGGCCTGTCTGCCTGCGCTGTAACATAATGATGATGGTGGTGGTGGTGGTGGTGACGGTGACGGTGTGGTGGTGGCTTACTAACCTCATCCCCCCCCATGGCGCTCACTCAACATTGGTTCCTACCTACCTACCTACATACATACGGTTCGTCGTTTTTATATACTCTTGGTACGGTACCGAAAGGGGTGCAAAACCTGAGGTGATGAGATGAGTAAGTCCGTTCCTTGGCATGTATCGATTTTTCTTTTTTTTTTTTTTTTTTGTTGAAGCTCCAGTTTTTGGTTCATGATTCATGATTCATGAATGAATCGTCAACACACACACACACACACACACACACACACGGGGCACAAGATAAGGAACGGATCCTGTCAGTCAGGTAGGTATGTAAGGTAAGAACACATCCGAGGCAAGGTTGTATGTAACCTCAAGGCAGACAAAGACAAGACCCCGCCGGGATCTCGGCTTTCGGTACTTGTAGCGGTATACATACCTAGTGCATGGGCAGTCTAGTTTAGTGTAAATGGTGGGGTCTAACCCCAGATGTTTGTTTCGTTTTGTTTCGTTTTGTGTGTGGCAAGAAGCTGAGGAAATCACGAAGGCTGGTGCGGGCCCGCGCTGGATACGTACGTACCTACGTAAGCTTCTGCCGGGGGGAGAAAAAAAAGGTTAAATGTTGTGAACTCCGCCGTTTAGTGTGACTAGTAACAAAAAGACAGGCTGCTACAAAAGGCGTGACGGTTATGACGGCAAGAAATCCTAGTTTTCTGTGGGGTGGAAGTATCACGCTAACTCCCGTCTGTTTTATCCCCGGCAGAGAAGTGTAGATAAGGTATAAGCGACGCCGGGCCGAGACCGAGGTGGTGGCGGCGGGCGGAGAACCTGGATTTTTTTTTTTTTTTTATGAATTTTTTTAAACTACACTACACTCTCGGAGATCAGATCCCGCCCGGGACGTGTGGGGGAATTTCCACAATTTAGTGTTTGACTCGCACACTTAACTTGTACGTGCCTTGTTACTGTTTCTATATACAAAGAGAAATCCAACGATTGGAATACTTTTTTTTTTTTTTTGTTGAGGCCAAGATTCGCATCTTAAGCTTTCGCCGACACAAGCCGATGTTCATTTTTGTGTCGTCTGCAGTAATAAGAACATTGTCGCGAGAGACGATGTTGGCTGCTGTATCGAGTGTTGCTGTTGTGAGTGTGACATTTGAGAATTGGAGGTTGGAACAGCCTGCTGAAGACTTTCCATTTTGGAGAAGTTGAGCGTGACGGTGACATCAGAGCCATCTGCAGCCGCTTCGCTGCGTGGCTGGCACCTGAAGCGGTGCTCACAGTTACACCACCACCACAAGATTTGTAATTCGGCTTCAAAGACGCCTTTGGGTGATAATTTATCCAGGGCAGGGCAGCCCCCTTGGTTGTTCTGACGCCTACCATACTATCCCAAAGAGGGCAGGCGTGCAGATTCGTGCGTGGACGCCGTGTACGATGGAACGAGATCTCACACCAGCCGCGCTAACAAATAACAAAAGGCTAAAAAGCAAAGCCGATGACACGGCGGCTGACCGGCACCGGCGCGCCCCCCCTCCCCTCTCTCTGCAGGTCTCAACGGGAAAAAGGAATCTCGAACTCGCGTCCTGAACCATTCGTTCGGCATGATCGACTGGCCGTGAGTGGTCAGAATGTCTTTTTTGGCTAGCCGCTTGTCATCGGCACTAATGCCGATGCCGGTGCTCGGCTCATGTGTAAGTGAACAGTCACTAACAAACGTTACATGGAGGGATGTGGGGACGGAATGTGGGACACCACCACCACCACCACCACCACCGCCGCCTGCAGTGAGTGAGGGAGAGAGAGGGAGTCGTCTACGCTAAGCTTTTCCAGCTGACAGGGTTCCATGGAAAGTGCAAGTCAGATTGCACTTGACTCAAGTGGTGCTGCAGGTTACACTACATGACTCTACCAAATTGAAGCTAGTGGGAGTCAGTGAGGAGAAGGAAAGAAAGGAAGGAAGGAAAGTGTGTCGATCGCTTGCCTTTTCTGGGCTCTGAGATTACGATGGAACTGAGGAAGAAAAGGCAAGACAGACGGGAATGACAATGGTCAGTGGCCGAGATAGGCAAACAACGAGGACGGGGAGAAGAGATTTCTAGATAACGGGGGAGTATTGCATCTGTCGAGTTCAGTTCCTGGCAGGTGGTAGTGTAGTGTAGTAGTGTTGTGTAGATATCTCGGGTAGGTATATGGATGTGGTCGTCCCCCTCATCCATCGGTTCATCCCATCCTCCTTCTTTCCCTCTGTCTTGTCTTTTTTTCGTCTGAACGCCTGACGAACTCCAGTTCCTACACATTGACCTAGACGTGGGGACCCGCTCATCTTGTATTCACCGATCCTCACCTTGCGACTACCTACCTATTACACCGACAACCACCCACAGCGACCTTACTCTCCATATGTTTTAGACACCTGATTACCGTGACCGCCGCGACAAGGCGTCTACTTACACCGATACCTACTTAGCCTCCGTTACGACACCAGCCTACAAACACCGATACCGATTCCACATTCCATAATGGCGTCCCCCGACCCCGAAAAGGCGGGCTCACCCGGACATGGCTTGGGTGGAATGAACCACTCCCACCAATACACCGAAAACAACGGGATGAATACCATCATTGACGAAAATGGCCACGAACAACCACCGCACCATGGCATGTCAATTGGACAGTACGTCAAGACGCGATTTACGACACTCAAGCCGGCGATGCGACCGGCGCCCAACCCGATACGGTTGTTGAGGATGATTACGGGGCGGCAGTGGGCTTTCTTTGGGGTTGCTTTCTTTGCTTGGGTTAGTAGTTTTTGTTGTTATCATTTCCATCACCGCTTCGTCCATCATCATCGCCATCTCTATACATACCCCACATTGATTTCAGCCCCCATCCATTTCATGTCAACACTTCCATTTCCATGTCATCAACTTACAACTCTCATCCACACTTACTATATCCAATTACCACTAACACTAAACCTTGTTCAATGCAGACATGGGACGCCTTTGACTTCTTCACCGTCTCCCTCACCGTCGAAGAGCTCGCCAAGGACTTTGGCAAGACCAACACGGACATTACCTGGGGCATCACGCTGGTGCTCATGCTGCGCTCCATTGGCGCCATCTCGTTTGGTATTGCGGCCGATCGGTACGGAAGGAAGTGGCCATTTGTGGTTAACAATTTGCTTTTTATTGTTTTGGAGCTGGTAAGTTTTTCCCTCTTTTTTTTTTTTTTTTAATTCCTTAGGTATCTTCCTTAGACACATTGCCCCCCTTGGTGGAACCGGATTGTCATGATGACGATGACGATGAGGGGTCTGATATGCGAAGGGTCCGAAGAAATGGAAGAGGCGGAACAAAGTGATGTCATGGCGCCATGACATGTTGTTCCTGGATGATCCCCCGCAATTCCGTCTCGGGAGCAACCGAATGTCATGACTTGGCTTCACTTGGCAATCAATGCAATGCCTGTGGCGTGTCTGGTTGGGAACTAGGGAACGACGCAGCCAAGACTGCGCCCAGAAAACCCCCCATGGACATCGCTTGGCTTCGTGGCTTTCTCTTGCATCTAAGCGAAGCATCTTTTTTTTCCTCGGAGAAAAGCTTGTTTGGTTGTCTGTCCTTTTCGGTCTGTTGGGGGGAGATGGGATGGGGTCTTGGCTTTCGTTGTTGTCTCTTTCTCATTTCACCGTCATCAATGCCACCATCACCATCATCACCATGCTAGCAATGGCTTTGACGCACATCCACTAACATGACCACTTCCATTAGGGCACCGCCTTTTCGCAAACCTACTCCCAATTCCTCGCTTGCCGCGCCCTCTTCGGCATCGCCATGGGTGGTCTCTACGGCAACGCCGCCGCCACCGCCCTCGAAGACTTGCCCCCCGCCGCCCGCGGCTTGATGTCAGGCCTCTTGCAACAAGGTTACGCCTTCGGTTACCTTTTGGCAACCGCCTTTGCCCGCGGTCTGGTCAACACCACCTCGCACGGCTGGCGTCCGCTCTTCTGGTTCGGCGCTTGCCCGCCCGTCTTGATTATCGCCTTGAGACTGCTGCTCCCCGAGACGGAGATTTACGAGCAACATGCTTCTGTGCGACGCACTGCGCGCGCTAACGGTCACAACAAGGGTGGCGTCAGCGCAACTTTCCTGCGGGAGGGCAAGGTCGCCATCAAGAAGCACTGGCTCATTTTGATCTACCTTGTCTTGCTCATGGCAGGATTCAACTTCATGTCCCACGGCTCCCAAGACTTGTACCCCACCATGCTCCGCTCGCAATACTCGTTCAGCGCCAACGCCGTGACAGTCACCCAAGTCGTCGCCAACCTCGGCGCCATGTCGGGCGGCATCATTGTCGGCTTTGCCTCGCAGATCTTTGGTCGCCGCATTTCCATCATTGTCATGTGCATCATCGGCGGCGCCTTGCTATACCCGTACACTTTCATTTCGTCCAAGAGGCTCATCGCCGCCGCCTTCTTTGAGCAATTCGCTGTTCAGGGAGCTTGGGGTGTTATCCCAATTCATTTGATGGAACTGTCTCCGGGAGCATTCAGGACGTTTGTGGTGGGTACTTCGTACCAGCTTGGCAACCTGGTGTCGAGCGCTAGTTCGACCATTGAAAGTACCATTGGCGAACGGTTCCCTCTCGAAAATGGCGGCGGAAAAGTGGGGTACGAGTACGGTAAAGTTATCTGTATCTTTATGGGGTGTGTGTATGTCTATACGATTCTCCTGACGTTCGTGGGGCCCGAGTACTTGGGACGCAGCTTTGATGTGAGCGAGGATGAGGATGTAAGGGAGGTGGCGGGCGAGGAAGTAGTGAGGGGGGCTGTTATTGCGAGTCACATGCATGGACATGGACACGGAGGGGATGCGGAGGGGAGTGGAAGTGGAAGTGAGGGTGGGGAAGGGGTTGGTGGGAAGGCGCAGGGAAAGGAGGTGGAGGTGGCTTAGGATGCTTATCTTTGGGTTTTTCCTTATTGAGCTGAGGTGTTGGGGATGACAAAAAAGGTTTTTGATGGCATGTGTGATGAAGGAAGCGAGCGCTTTAACGATGTGGATTTATGATAGTTTGGATATACCTTACGAATTTATGATTGATTGACGTTAAAACTTGATATGGATTTTGGATAACAAACCGCCTACTGTTTTTGCCACTGATGTGATTGACTTATTGCGTGATTCTTCTATTGGCCTCACTCGTTGGATATTAGTCACCCCTTTGGGGTTTTATTTTGTTTGGGTGATGGACCCCTGGGGCAGAATCATGTGGAGGAGTTTCTCTTCGTAGTGTGAAGCAATGGAAAAGGGTAAAATCATTCATTATATATGCCAGTCAGCCAACCAGAGTCGAGGTATTCGCCTGCAACGGTTGTTTTGGTAGGTGGCAGTATTTACATACTTACATTAAACCGTACTATGGGAATTGGACTGACGGAGCGCTCCAGAAAAGAGATTCCCCTCCTCCTCCTTTTTCTGCTCCATGTAACGAGGACACACGGAGTACATATCATACTTCTTCAGTCGAATCCTACCTACCTACCTACTCCGCATGAGCTAAGATGGTGACAAATAGCTGCCGGTCATAGTATTTCACTTGCCAGGCCGTCAATTCACTTGGATCTCCGTGACTACATTGGTTCGAGGCATTAGTTGTGAGCTGATTCGCATGTCAGACATACAACCCGCAATGATAAGTCGGGTTATTATCGGTTCCATGGCCATCTCGGCCGATGAAAGTCGATCATGGCATAAACAACAAACGGCCTACTAACGCACAACAACAAACATGTAATGCAGCATTCCGCGACCTTTGTTTTACGCAGTCCCGTCCACCTTTTCTTTTCTCCAAAAAAGCAATCTCACGCCTTAACCAAGCCCTTCTCCAACGTCTGCACCATGACCGACCCATCCTCCATCCCAAAGTAAGCCGCCACCGGCTTCTGCGCACCCCCGCTCTCCACCTCCAACCCGCTCTTTCCATAAAACAATCCATGCTCCGCCACGCCCGGAATCTCAATCAACCGTCTCGCCAGCCCATCCACCGTCCACACGCCCTCCTCCCCTTCCTGCTTTCCCTCTGGCAGTTCCGTCAACAAAGGCTTAAACACCGCATCCACGATCCTCAATCCATTATCCGTGACGCACGCGCCCGCCTTGCCCGGTAGACCCGACCGCACCTGCGCGCTTAGACTCCCCAGTCGCTCCAACTCGCCCAACACCTGCGGCACCGCCATGGGGAACACCTCAATGGGGATTCCCTTCTTCCACGCCGTGCCCAAGTGGTTGCTAATCTTGCGCGAGTCCGCGACGCAGACGAACTTGCGCGCGGCGGTGGCGACGAGTTTTTCCTGTAGGAGACAGGCGCCGCCGCCTTTGATGAGGTTCAGGCAAGGGTCGACTTCGTCGGCGCCGTCGAAGCACACGTCGAGCGCGTGGCCTGGGGATAGGTCGGAGATGTAACCCAGGCGAAAACCGGCGGCTTGGATGAGGTCGCGGGATTGGTCGCCGGTTGGGTAGAAGGTCATGGGGGAGGTGATATTGGCGCCAAGCTTGGAGATGACGTCGACGACGTGGATGACGGTGGAGCCGGAGCCGATGCCGATGTGTCGGTAGGTGGGGGAGAGGTGCTCGGTTACGGCGCGGTTGGCGGCGAGGAATTTGGACTTTTCGATGAGCTGGGCGGCGGATGCATCGGGGGCGGAAGAGGGGGTGGTGGACATTTTGGCGGTGGTTGTGTGGCTGGGGGGTGTTAGTGAGAGTGAGATGAGGAAGGAGAGTGAAGGGGGAGGGAGATACTAACAGGTTCCTGTGTGGCTGGGTGGTAAAAGTGTTAGGGAGGGCTGTTTGTTTATCTTTGTCAGTGATATATGTGGTGGTTGATGACATGTCAGATGTGAGATTGTGAGTGGTTGTGAGAGACTTGAGAAGAAAGGTGGGGATGGCTCGTGATGGGGCAATGGGTATGACTCAGTGGGTTTGATGTGATGATCAACTTACCGGCTTGGTGGACAATGGTAGTCCGAAGAGGCGCTGGTGTTGAAGGGTTGAAGTTGAAGTTGAGGGCGGCGGCGGCGGCTGAGTGGAAGGCGGGCCCTGGTTGGTGAACACAACGAGCAGCAGCAGCAGACCAGGAACGACGAGGTATAAAGGACGTGACTCGATGAGGGTTCATGGACATGGTGTTGTTGACTTGAAGACCAAAACTGCCGGAACAAGGAGAGCCAAATAAAATGCACCCCTAACCCTGATCGGCGAAAAGATTTGAGCAGTTCGGCGGGTTTTCAAGACAATGTCGTTGAAATTTACAGAGGTCCCTGATTGGCCGGGTGATGTCACACGAACCGGACAGGCGGATGAGGCGGGGTTGCGACGCCGAACCGGAGGGGTTTGTTGGTGCTTATCGATAAGCAGCAGAGCAATGCACTAACAATTTCACAGCGACTTTCTTTCTTTCATTTTGTTTCATTTTATTTCGTTTTATTTTATTTCACTTCACTGGTATCCACGATTCATCTTCATCGACAACAACACCAACCGCCAATCCTCGAAACCACCATCAGTGCTGGAACCTGAAATCCAACCTCTTGTTCCCCTTGTCGGTCGTGGTCGCCAAATACGCGAGTCTCTCCTCCGTCCTCATGGCCTCCCACTTGCGCGCCTTCTGCTTGTTGCGGAACAGGTAATACGCCTTGACGAGGACATAGAGGGCAATGTTCATGCAGCAAATAGCTAGCAGCTGCTTGTTGGCACGCCTGTACAGCGGCGCATCGTCTGTTTTGCCTTAGCATCCTGAAGGAACCAAGGAAACGAGACAACAACTCACCCTTGCGATAAATATTCGAACTCACAACCCCTCCCGCCTGCACAAACATGTTATAACAAGCCGCCGACACCGTCCTCGACCGAACCGTGTTCGAGTTCCTGCTGTTCCACCCGACCTGAATGGGATGGGCATTCGGATACCCAAGCAACAACGTCGTCACCGCATAAATCACCCACCGATTCACGCCCGAGGTGTCGACGCTGTTGAGGTAGATGAGGAAAGGCAAAGCCCAGACCTGCCCCGATGCCGCGATCAGCGTCAGCTCGTTGAAGATCTCCCCGAGATAGGTGATGCCGAGCATGGTAATCATGTGTATGACGGTGTACGGGATGGTGAGCAGGTTGGCTTGGAACGTGTCAAAGTGCAGCCCCCTGAGAGTGAGGGTTAGGTATTGGCCTATGGGCGCCATGGGCATCTGGAAGACGAGGCCTAGGATGTAGATGGGCCTTTGTCTCTTGTCAGCATTCTGTTTTCCAAGTGGAAGGGTGGACGACTACTGTAGAGGTACAGGAAGGGAGGGAAGGGACATACCAGAGATCAAAGTCCTTGAGACTCTGCCAGAGAAGCCTCGGTGTGATGGGTTCACGGTTATGCATGTCGCTCTTGCTCGGGTCTTCGCGGATAACCCGGTTGACAATGATCTTCTCTTCCTTCTCGGTAAACCACCCGTTTTTTCCGCGGAACCAGCTGGCGGTGTGACAGGGACCGGCGGGCATGAGGACAAAGGCGAAGATGCCAATGACGAGTGTCATGAGGCCCTGTCAAAATATCAGTCAGTGGTCGTCACCACCTAGAGGTACTCACACCCCATCCACCAAGCAGGCAATAACTCACCTCAATCAAAAACAACCACCTCCACCCCGCATGTCCCTGTACGCCCCTCATATGCAACAACCCATACGCCAACAGCGCGCTCGCGATATCCGCAATGCTCATGGCCGTCCAAAAGAACCCCAGTCTCAGACTCAGCTCATGGTGCTTGTAAAAGTAGCTGAGGTACAAGATCACATCTGGAATGAAGCCACCCTGGAGGATACCCAGCAGGGCGCGACAGGCGAGGAAGGAGGTCCGCCCCTGAAGCCAGAACTGAGCGGTGGCGACGATGGACCACAGAACCATTTGCGAGGGAATCCACCGGTCGGGACCCATCCACTTGGAGACGAGTTGCGAGGGAAGTTCAGCGCAGAGGAAGGCTAATTTGAAGATGGAGTTGCCTAGGTTGTAGTCTGTACCACGGGTTAGCAGCCGTCTGGGTGGGTGATGGGTCAGGGGTCCAAAGAAAAATACAAAAAGACAAACACACCATTCGTCGTCATATGCAAATCCCCCAAGAAATTATCCGTCAACGCCTGCCCGATATTCGCCCGGTCCAGCTCCAGCGCCATGAACATGATGCACGCCCATACCATGATGCGCCAGTCAATCTTACGGATGAGCCGGTGCTCCTCGCCCCATGTCCAGCGCTCGAGGGGGTCGAACCGGTGGATGTTTTCCCTTTACATCCGAGTCGTTGTCAGCAACCGACCATCCAGCAGAAGCAAGACAGAAACAAAGGAACAAACTCACCAGTCCGGCCGCGGTTGGTACTTCTCTGCTGTATCTGGGTCGTCAAACACGGAAACCTGCGTGGCGATGGCAGTGGGATCATAGGACTTGGCTCGTTGGAACCAGAAGCGGCGCTCGGCAACCGCTACGCCTAAAGGAGGAATGGAAGAGAGGGTTTCGGAGGAGACATTGATTTTGGAGCCTTTGGACTCGGTTGGAGAGTTGGTCCCGTCTGCTGAGGGAGGGGAGCCGCCTTGTGTGAGGACTGTTGCCATGGTCGGTGGTCACTGGGCCGGTTAGGTGTCTGATGAGCAGCGGACTTGGTCCTTGTGTCAAGGAGATTCAAGGAAGGGGTGAGATTCGAGTACAAGATTCCGACGGTAGTGACACACTATAACAGAGATTTGGGGACCTAAGCTGCGCGGGAACATGGAAGTCTATATGAGCTCAGACATCTAAGCAGCACCAGGGCAACGATTTCGACATGGCGATAGGGCTGCACACCATCATGGAGGGATGCATACAATGCAGCACCAAGCACGACGTCGTAGCCAGCTTCCGCAATGCGTAGGTACAATTCTCATGGGCGGTTGCCACGGGCACGCCCAACCGTCGACTGAAGTGCTCGAAGGGACTCATACACGGTACTTCCACACGTCCAAGATGAGCTTTGATGCATCGTTCGCTACATCACAACACGGTTACAAGCTCTCGGCGCCATGGCATCAAGCGTCCAAAGAAGACTAAGAGGCATTTGAACAACGACGCAACAAGTAGTGTGGAGGTCTGGCCCAGCGCCACGGGTTGTTAGACCGTGTAGACGTGATCCTTGGCTGGAATGAGGTTGGCGTGGGAGGCGATAAGGGTCTGCAACTCTGCAATAACATCTACTGAATGGGAGATAAGTCCGAACTCTGGACCAAGCCTTGAATAGGTACTATTTCACTGCTCCAGCCAAAGGGTTCGTGGGGTGGTAGGCTTGAGCCTCACGGATGAAGTGCGTGGAAGGTTTCAACCAGATGCCTGGTCTGAACGCTCTGGACACCGGAATATCTCGTTTTTACCATATCCAGCGCAATAGTAGGCAAGCTGAAGACGTCCATAAGGGTCCAGCACCAGTTTATTCAATTCCAAGCACAGAGTCCTTCACCTCAAGGCGAGTGTCTTAACACCATCTTTGACACTCAAACGCCATCGCATTCTTGGAAAGAAAGCCGCGATTTGCGCAAGTCTAAGAACCCTCAAAGCAGCTGATGATAACGGAGGCAATTGACGGTCAATATCGCGGGGTTCCTTCATCGTCGCGTGGGGGAGACGGGTAATTATTGGCGATTCGCCAGGTGGTGATGGCGTGCCGGTGTTGACGTGCTCGACCCTGACTTTGACGCGAATGACAAAGGCGACGCAGTCATTGGTCAATTCGATTATCGCGACAGCAACCTATATGGTACGGAATTTCGGCACCCCTCATTACCAACCTGAGGAAAGATCTAAGCATCAAAGTACACTGATTGTTGACTGAGATAAGTGTGTCTTTGGCAGTCGTACCCGTATCCACGCCTTCTGGCCGACACGAGGATGCCAAAACGACCCACCCAACCAAGCTTTCTCCTCAACACCGGTGCGGGATAGACCCAATTTGGTTGTTACACCACAACCGCTGCGAATAGACGCCAAGATTCACGACATTGTCGGTCTGATGTTGAAATTCACTACACCCTCATTCGGCATTTCCCCGCACATATGGCACCGATATGGCTAGCGGATACCGATCGCGGCATCACAAAAAGTGCTATTCACGAACAGTTGAAGCGCCGAAAGGCATGTCGACACCAACTCGCCATATCTCGTCATGCATTTGATCGATGTGATTGGTGTCACAAAGCTGTTAGATAATAATCTCACTACGAATAACAGAGATAACCCTCTCTTTGAAACGCAGAGATCACGAACAATGCATGCACAACATAGCATGTGGTCTACTGAGCCCCGAAAACATGCTTGAACCTGATGATCATCTATATAAGAGGTTGACTGATAGGCCATCGATTTGAGTTTTTGTTCTTCACTCAGGCCAGTTACATCCCACACCCACTTCCCTCTGATAGGTACATCAACACTCGTCTCAATACTCGCGACCAACACACCAACATGGCTCCTTCTGCTGTCGAAGCCGTCCAAACCACCATCAACGTCGAAAAACAAACTACCCAGCAGTCTGCTCCTACCCAGCACGCCCAACACGTTGAGCCCCTCAAGCTTGCTGGCGTTCTTGACCAGTATGAGCACTTCGACGTGACTCCCATCATCGGCCGCGAGTTCCCTAAGGCCGACCTGGTTGAGTGGCTCAATGCTCCCAACTCTGATGAGCTCCTTCGCGATCTCGCCATTACCAGTTGTTTCCCCCATCTTCCCTTTATCTCTCTCCCCACCTTCATTCCCTTCCCTTTGTCAGTTGTCTGCCCACTAACCCTCATACCCCTCGCAGTCTCCCGCCGCGGCGTCGTCTTCTTCCGCGCCCAACACTCCCTAACCAACGACCTCCAAAAACAACTCATCCTCCGCCTCGGCGCCCTCACCGGCCGCCCGCCCACCTCCGGCCTACACATCCACCCCATCCTCAACTCGGAGCGCGAACTCGGCGGCAACGACCCGGAAATCTCCACCATCAGCTCCATCCAACACCGGAAATTCTACAACCACACTCCCGAAGACGACGACCAACTGTCTCCCAAAAAGCAGTACACGGCCCAATGGCACTCCGATATTGCCTTTGAGCCTGTTCCCGCCGACTATACCAGTCTGCGCCTGGTGCAGCTTCCGAAAACCGGCGGCGACACCCTCTGGGCCTCGGGGTACGAGATTTACGATCGCATCTCGGAGCCGTACCAGAAGTTTCTGGAGGGGTTGACGGTTACGTTTCAGCAGCCGGGGTTTAACAGGACGGCGGAGCGGATTGGGTTCAAGATTTACGAGAAGCCGAGGGGCGCCCCGGAAAATGTGGGGAGTGAGCTGAAGGCGGTGCATCCTGTCGTCAGGACAAATCCCGTTACCGGGTGGAAGAGCGTGTTCCCCGTGAGAGGCCATGTGAAGCATGTCAATGGGGTGACGAAGGAGGAGAGTAATAGGTTGTTGGAGTGGTTTTTGGAGATGTTGCAAAAGAATCACGATTTGCAGGTGCGGTTTAGGTGGACGGGGGAGAATGATATTGGTGAGTCTCTTTTTGATCCAGGCGGTACTAAAATGTGGGAAAGAAAGAATGAAAAGAAACTAATGGTGAATGAGATAGCAATCTGGGATAATAGGAGTGTCTTCCACACTGCTACCTTTGACTATGATGGGTACGGCGAGCGGTTCGGTAATCGTACGGTTGGATTGGGCGAGAGGCCGTATCTTGATCCGCAGAGTACTAGTAGACGGGAGGGATTGGCGGCGGCGGGTGAGCTGGCTTGAGGCAGACCGCGCAAGACTTCATTCTTGTACTTTGTGTTAAATTCCCGACAACAGATCTTGCCGTTCAACCCCAACATGCCTCACGCAACCACTATTTGGGTCTTTCAGATAGCCGCCCGACGAGAATATAACAAAACGAACTATTAATGTACATACCTAGGTAGATATTTGTCCGTCCAGCCTCGGCTGGGCTGGGTCATGCACCTCACAAAACCAACATGAACTACTTTTGACTTGTCCAGAGTCTTGTCCTTTTCAACTACATATCATTATCACCAATCAAACAACAACCTAATCGACATACGGTCAGGAACAGCCATCAAGATGACCCCGACCTCTTGGGACCTCGTCGACGACGAGATTGTAAGAACTAGAACTATCTATTGCATCATGCTGTCAAGACATGCGGCGCGACTTGGTTACTCGCGGCCAGCTATATGTCCACCACAAGGAGGCCAGAGAGGTCGGCCTTCAAGAGATTTACGAAATGGGCTTCACTGCGATGGTTGAAAGCCTTTCAAGTGCCCAGAGCCCGACTGCGTGTTGCATCCTGCGACAGGCGAGTGTCAAAGTCCCTGTCTGTCATCTCTGTATGCACGTCCTCCTTCATCTCCTGCCTATGCTGCCAAGGCATACTGCTCCGCGGCTCCCGAGCCGTGGGTAGAGGTATACACCAGCGGGTGAGGGGGCTGGCTGGCAATACGACCACAGGGTGGAGTGGGCTGGCTGCTCTGCCTCGGTTGTGGCAATACTTGCCCACGACTGCGGGAAGTTCCCTCCAAGTCGGCGAGGGTAGATGCCGGAGCAACCTCCTCATGACTGGGGGTGGAGTAGTATCTAAAGGTACTCAGGTGATGGAATTGATCTAATGAAGGATCATACCTAGAGGTATTCTGTGGATATATCGGGGCGGTGCTCGAGGAGTTGACTCTCCTCGTTGCTACAACCGTCGGTGCTGACCAAACCTTACAACTAAGCCAGTGAACCCGCACAAACACGTCGCCGACGAATGTCATACTCCTCAAATCACAAAGCAAAACTGCTCGCGCTGAGCTCGTGTCCATTCCTTCTCTAAGGTACTCTCGACATACCTTTTGAAATCGTTTTGGTTCTGAATAGCGGGGTCCTCGATGGTTAAGACATCGTCTGCTGCACCTTTGAAGCTATGCTCAACAAACATAGGGCCGAAAATGCGGAACCATCTCATAAGTTGAGTATAGAAGAGATCGTCTTCAAAGCCCATAGGGTCTCTGGAGTACGCTTGTACAATGGATGAATACACGTTACCAATGCGCGTGGCTTGGATAGTGTAGTATTCATTCACACTCTGCGGAGGGTTGGCGACCCACGAGTAGGTACCTATTGAACTCATGCGACATGGCGACCTTTGCGGCCTCATACGCAAGGATCGTCCGTAGATGTGGGTTGCGAACGTGTGCAATCTTATAATCTCTCTGACTGCATGTCATGTCAACGTCCCCACACGCAAAGAGACAGGACTGGACAGTATCACCCACGCTCACAATGGACGCTGATCACCAAGAGGACAAACACGGCGCAATTATCACCCGACTCATCGCCGCTCAGTGGCAGACGGGAGCACTGGATCAGACAGCCATCAGAGAAGCGGACCAGTAAGCCGAAGGCGAAGAATGCCGCTGCCGATGAAACACCTTTCCAGTGTCCAGAACATGACTGCAGCAGGGCCCTTAGAAGAAAGGACGACTTCGCCAGGCAGGTCAAAGTGGACTGGACCAGCGCTCCGTTGAAGCAGCCCTTCTCGATCTTGATCACTCGCTGTTGCCTGGTTTTAGCGGCGGCACTCTAGCTCGAGCTCGGTATATTATCTTTGTCCGATCATGGCTAGAAACAGGTTGAAACAAGAACCGTCCACTCAAAAACTGCTGATATGATTTCCCCAGCTTTCATACATTTTCAACGCGTCGTGAGGAAACCCTTTGGAAGTTCCAGGTCCACAGTACCACGACCTCAACCACCGTAAGCTGGGTTGTCTACTCGCCGAATACCTAGTCATAAGAATTTTTTCTGATGAACTGACCGTGATAGAGAGGATTGACAAGGCTGTTGTTCATTCTGCCCCTTTGGGATATGGGCCGCCCTTCCAATTGGCGCATAATGGTCTCCTGCGCCATCTCTGCGGGTGCACGTGGCTGATCTTTGAGAAGGTCGTGTTTCAAGGACCCTGGATCTTGGGACGCAGTGAGTGAAACGTTGTACGGTTCATGGTCGAGGTTCCATGTCAGCCTGTAGATTCGGATTTTGACTTTGGCTGGGACATAGGCTCGAGAAGGAGATCTTGCTTTGAATTGCCATTGTAGAGTTTGGTCTACGTGTGCATCACGGTGTTGATGGCAAAGGTGAGGTGGCTGCCTGGTATTACAACAGGTCGACACCAAGCTCCCCGCTCCGAGCCGGGACAGGATGCCAAACCCCGGATAAGTTTGCCAATGCACACGCCATCCCACAAGGACAGCCGCCCACTCAAGTCCGCACTGGGAAATCCCACAAAACAGAAAGAGCAAAACCGCAATGTTCGCAGGGTCCCAACCTAGAAATGGCCGTGAGGGCGGATTCATTAACTCTCTTTGCACAAGTATTCCCCAAAGTTGCCTTTGCGGGCAAGAAGTCTGAGATCGGACAATACATCCCAACCAAGTTGTCGTTATGGGAACGGAAACAGTCGAAGCTACGGGGTTAAAGTTCTCCAATGGGCTTTCAGACCAGTCATCATACAAGCCCATAATCCGCCTAACCTCGATGACTTTATGGATCTGCCTGGAGGTGGGTATTCCCGTCAAGACGAACCTGCTTTCTCCCTATACCTTTTAATCGTCCAAAAAGTAAACGCTACGCCCTTCGTCCATGTAGCCAAGCAAAGTCGAAGAAGCGAAAATGGAGGGTTACCACCTCATCACCTATCAGCAACTCATTACAGATAGGTAATCTGGCTTTTACTTGTTCTAGCGATCACGGAAGTCTTGGTGGCAGCTGTGTTCTTGTCCGACTCGACATCCGAAGTGACGATGGTAGAGGCATCATTGGGTGTTTGTGTCGTGGAAGTATTGGGTTTGAGGGCTTGAAACTGTCAAGATAGGTACAGTCTGATACACGTACTTTTGGTCGCATTCAGAGCAGAGCTACCCCGGTTGGCCTTGCTGGCTTTGCGCTTCTTGGGGGCTGGCGACGTCATGTTGGTCGTCTACCGGGAGAACAACAATGTGCTTTCTTGCCTTCACTACGGCTGCATTGGTTGAATGGGCCCTGATGATCAGCGTAGAGGTAAATAACTTGGGGTTTAAAAAACACTGACTGTACATGGCGGGAAGCTTTGTCCAATGTTGGCCTAAAGACCAGTTCTATGACAGAGCGTCGGTGTAGCAATAGAATTTTTGATACGCGACACTTCTGCCAAAAAATCTATCTATTCCAGTCTGGCCACACTGATGCACATTATCACCATCACCAGCATCTGGTGTTTGAGGGTTAACATTTCCAGACTTCTCGTTCTACCTGGGTAGGTACCGACCTTCTCGTAAACCCTCACGTCACTTTGGCTTTTTCCCTTCTTGTCTTGTATAACTCCATAGTATCTCCCCTCCACGCCTGCCCAGGGGCAATTTCACGAAACAAGTAACGCTTTAATAGACTTCACTATGGATTCCCCATTCTCTTCTCCATACAGCCCAAGCCCAAGCCAAAGCCCAAGCCCACCGAGCCCACACCTGCCCATCCTGGTGTCCACTCCGGGTCGTCGAAGAGGTGTAGACAACTACGAGTCCGAAAGATAAAAGTGATGATATCCCATCCGCCCAGACTAGTACCAGTCACGACCTGGAATCCAGTCAGTTCCTAGGTACCTAGTGTTCCTGAACCTTCTGCACCTCATGAGCATGTACCTAGGCACTTGTCCTAGTTGACACTGACTGGAAAAACCGAAATCCCCATAAATAAGTAGCCATTGTTGAAACCCACTCCAAGATTCCATCTTACACGGTTGAACCAAAGACTGAGAGACCACCTTATCTACCCAGAGTTAGGTAACTTTGGAGTTAGAGCAGGTTATAGAACGGACGGTTGACAGCAAGCAGAACTGTAAAACTGTAAACCTCGGCCATTCGCAGCTACATCATCGTTCATCGGTAGAGGTATGACAAGTGGAATGAATTCATGAGTAGGTAGACGCCGTGAAGCATCACTCGCGCACCTGTGCTTGGTCAACACTCACACTCACTATTTTACGAGTTTATGAGTCTACATGTATGACCTACATCAGCTTTACTGTAATAATGCCGACAGTGACCCGTCCTTTCGATCAGTCTACCTAGAGGTACCTTGACTGACCTACTTCTCTCTACAACGGTTAGGTACTCATATGCACCTTATTCACGTCGACCATCCTCTACTCCTTATCATGGACCTTGGAGTGATCTTGCACCTTACGACAGGACCTACCTAGGTATCCACAGCATGCCGATGTTGCTCCCCATTGAACCCATACTTACCCCAAATGCAATTCACCTAGAGGTAGGTATTCATGTGAACCCGAAATTAGAACATCCCCTGACATGTTCTGTTCCTCGCGGCTCCCCAACGTCGTGACCCAACGTCCTGTCCTGAACCAGCCAAAAGTGCCCCTGTCCAATTTCCATGGCCACCTACACCAGTGATTCTCCTCACATGACATCGATTGTGCAGCTTTGCCCAGTAGTCCAGTACGCCCAGCTTCGCCCAGATACCTCTACCTATCCCCCTGCCAATGTGAACAAGCAGTCAAGATACTACATTACATTACTTGGAGGAGAGCCGAGGGAGCCAATCACCATCAAGACTTCACTTTATTTTACTAAGTTCTGTCCTCCCATCCTCATCATCCCCCCCACAACAAAAACAACACCAACCAAACGCCCAAAATGGGATGCCCGGTTACCTACCTACCATAGGCGAATTAAGCGAGCAAGCCTATCATAATACTGTATGTACACTACCATACCTACCTAACCAAATTGAAGCTTTGGCCTGCCTAGGTAACCAAGCTGTTGTAAATCTAGGTAAGACCCCCCATCCCTTCCATCCCTTCGTTGAGGCCCCTGACCCACATTTGGTAGGTATCTTCGATTCAAAAGGTGTAACCATAACAAGCTTCAAGCTTCAAGCTTCAAACCAAAGTAACCAGCCAAGCCAGCTACGGAGCCAACGGTTCCGGAACAAAGCAAAACCAAAAAGAAACAAAAAAGTTTAACTAAAACAAAGACTAAAAAAATCAAACTCCGAGTCCGAACTAATCCTGTCGGGGCATATTTCCGGCTTGGTAAAACTAGGGCCGTATCGTATACACTACCCAAATGGACAACTGGTTGGTGGTCGACAACTGGAACATCATGGACATCCGGTGCCGTGCTGTGCTGTACGGACGGTGCTGTGCTGTGCTGTGCTGTGCTGTGCTGTGCTGGAAGGAGGCGAAGGGAGCGAGCTGGAGCGAGCCAGCTGGAGCAACGAAGCCAAGCTAAGCTAAGAAGAGAGCTAAAGAAAAAACCGGTGAAGAAAAGATTTGCGGTTAGTGTCAAAAAATCCATCGGAGCTTTTGTCCTGAAGGAAGATTTCCTTTCCAAAACTCCACTTTTCAGGTACGCCGCGAATGAACGGTCGCGAGTTGTCCGCAGCCAGCTCACTTGAACCTGATTGATTGACTGACCTTGGAAGCTAACGAAGCTTTTGGAGAGAACGGTCAGGATCGATCTTCGTCGTCCACAACTGACTGGGGACCAACCACCTGGGGAAAAAGTTAGCCTACCTAGAACAACGCTGGAATGCAAGTATAGGGCCCGCTACGCCTTGTGCTGTGTGTTGTTTTTGTAGACCCCCCCGGATGGATCCTCACCCACTCTCACTCCATGGCGTGTGCTTCACCGACTAGGTGGGTCACCATACTACCGTCCACTCCATGGTGTGCACACTACCGTGATGAGCCCCATTCAATGGCGGAGTGAACTTCCCACTCACCTTCCCCGGGATTTGGGCCGCCGCCGCATGGCACCCACGGTAGTATGTACCACGGGGCCACCAAACCACAACGGAGATGCTGGAACCGACGCGAGTTGGGCAAACGAGAGAAATGGGCACCGCTTAGAATGAATGGGCTGATGCGGCTTTAGCCTGCATTTCATCAGCTACTGCTCACTTGCGTGATTTTCCGGGACTTGCATACTGTGCTTGATTTCTGCGCGATGAGGAGCATGCGCGATGGGGTGGAGATGTGTGTATGCACATCAGCTGAATCACTGGATCAGTGGTTTGTTAGTAAAGTAAACGTTACCACCCCCATTGCCCTGTCATCTGTCGGCAAGATATATCATCGGGACGCGCGCGCAACGTCTGTACATAACCCAGATCCGTCCTGGACAACCGTGGACTCCCATTCGCTCCTTTTCCGATGCGATGCCAGTCTGTCCGCCATGTCAGTGGGACGCATACATCGACGATCGCGTGCATGGCATTTACTGCAGCGAGATCCCAAAAAGGCGGTACTTACAGTAGCGCAAAACAACTTTTCCCATGTGGTGATTGCCATGGTTTCGGATGCGTTTCAGATGCACGCTGAAAAAGTTGTTGCACGTCCATGAAGATGACTTCATCGCCCGGCAACATGTTCATCCGGAGACTAACGGCCGGAATGAAGATTGAAGCACGGAGCATCGTTCCCATCCACGCCTCGTCTTGTGCGGCTTGTGACTTCCACGTGCCAGCTCCAGCCTCCAGATCCAAAGGCCTTCAGGAGTTTTCGGTCAGTCGGGACCTGATCACAGCTTGGCCAAATGGTTGCCGCGGTTCGCGCGCCCAGATATCATCCAGCAGTCCCAAATCAGGGTCATATCCAAGAGCGGTCAATCTGTAAGTCATCGAGATCGCAACTTAGTCGCTGCCACGACAAAAGTTACGTTAGCAGGGAGGAGAAGTGAGGCAGATTGCAATCAGGGCAAATGGGGCAGCCGGAATTGTCGTCCATGGAAGCTTGGCTCGTGCCACCGAGCCCAATCCCACCTTTACTCACCTCGCTTTCCGGTTTTGACTCCTCGACAAGCCCAACAATTCCATCCTAACCAGCATGCGAATTCTGCCCAACATGGCATCATGGCAATCAGCCAACTCGCTCGCTCTGTCTGCGTATCGTCCGACAATTCGCATCGATAGGTCCATTGGACCACTGTAATTCCATGGTTCGGTACGTTCTTGAGAGCCGAGGAGTGCCATCGAATGAATGCATCAAGAGAACCCCTACCCACCTCACCGAAACTGAGACCCGGTACCTGAATCGGCATTCAACTTCAACTCCAGCGCCACTCGAGACCGTCTGACATCCGACATCCGTCCGTGATCCGTCACTGGACGGCAGGACCGTGATAATTACCAAAGGTCTGGTATCCAATGCTTCGGATCCCAGGCTCAGATCCCCTCGTTGCAGCGTTGTTTGTCCTGCCTATTAAGGCGGCACATTCCGCCGCCGGTGTCTCCGCCCATTTTGTCTTACCCCTTCCGCTGGGACTGACCGTGAGACAGTGGACAGTAGGATCTTCTCCCCCTCCACACCCACTCAGGACGAGTTGCGGACTGTTGACCCACTTGTTCCCGCATTTCCCCCTGGCTCTCGATGTGGTTCCTCACCGGTCGGTCCACTTGGGCCACATTTCATCGGGAACCACT